TCCCGCCCCCCCCCCCCCCCCCCCCCCCCCCCCCCCCCCCCCCCCCCCCCCCCCCCCCCCCCCCCCCCCCCCCCGGCGTTGTTTCTTCAGCATCAGCATCAGCGTTAGCGTTCTCATCAACATTCCCAGCGCATTGGTGATAGAAATTTTCTTTCGCTATCTCTTTCCTGATCTGTTAGGATGTACACCTATATTCTCTGACAATGAGTCGGAAGGCGTTCCAATGACCAAAGAAACCAGTAACACACGTATGTCTATCTTTGAACTAAGATCCTCATCTTCGGACTTTTCCATCGGAGATGCTATGACTAGTACATCCAGAGATAGGGTCCGAGGAGATTATTGATTCTGTCAAAAAGCCTCAAAAATACTCGCAGGAATATCCCCCACGTGGGCAATGGAAATTTTCATTGCAATTCATCGTAGAAAAGTACTCAACCCGACGGAGCGCTCTATCCAGGTTTGAGATTAGACTTTGATTATTGTTTATCGCGGATGAAAGTGCGCATTCTCGCTCAAAGTGGCATGACTAGAAATTTGAGATGGAGACATTGTTGGCTAGGGCTTCCAATGCTGGCCAAGCGGCCTGGACTTTCTCCTTCAACTCTGCTTCGGAATACGTCACGCCCGCCATGATCTGCGTATAGGTGATCTCGATGACCCTGGCGAAGGGGCTGTCGGAACGAAATATTCGAGGCGTATGGTCATGAAGATAGAAAAGGAAGCCAAAATAGAGCACCCTCAGCTGTACACCGCCCTTGGCAAGTTCCTCGTAGAGCTCTTCGTGTGCAGCGCCACACAGCACATTAATTAAAGTTGATACAGCCCATGCATTTATCACGCGATCTGGGTGAAACTCTTGCGGGTACAGTGCAGGAAGTATCTCTATATGTAATTTGACGCCGATCCTGAATGCCTCGTAGATGAGCCCGGACTGAAGATACTGTGTGGCAAGACGACGACAAAGTTGTGGAATAGGCTGGCGCTATATGATCCAGGAGTCAGAGAGTATGAGCTTTGTGAGTGTGTGTGTGGAGGGCTCCAAAGCAAGGTATAATCAACTTACCGTCCAAGACCACATTTTCGACCCAATACACATTTCTATTGCCTCTTTCGTTTCACCGGTGCCCGCTTGGTCATTCTCCAGTACACTATACGCTTCGGCCTCCATAGCAGCTAGTCGTTTTTGGGCTTCATTGTCATTATCAGACAACAAGAACTTTGAAAGTTTCGTCTCGTGACGATTGACCAATTTATCTGCTAATTTGCGGTACTCATTCTCAAGATCCTCAGCATTCACAAGGAATTTATCTGTTTCCAGGTTACCGCCCTTCAGGCATCTTGTGCATTGACAGGTGAAGAGATAGTTTTCTTTCAGCTGCATCTGCCTCACATTGAAGGGATTAGTGGCCTCTACGTAACTGATGAGGATTTCCTCGCCAGCCTTGATCTTCCTCAAAGCTCGGATTTCATGCCGTGGCTGGTTAAAGACCAACACTGCATTTGGGTCGCAGGAATGGTTTGCACTGGAGATCAGCGGATCGAACGCAATTCCTAGAGGAACTCCATCAAAGACGGATGACAAAATAATGGCATTGCTCATGATCTAGCCCGGTCAGTGAAATGAATGCTTGGTGGGCAACCTAACGTGGGACGCACATTAGACACCACCTTTCTGGAAATAGATTTGAGGTCCAATCTGTCGGCTTGAGGCTTTCCACTGTAAATCCAAGCAGCATGTCCAAGGACCTGAAAATCGTCAAATCTCTTCTTGTCCAGCCTGTGAATTTCGAGCATGGCGTTGGGATCTCCAGCAGGCCAAAAATTAATGATCTTGTGCGTATGCATGACTTCGTTGTCGGGGTCCGCTTTCGAGCGACCTATGATCTTGATGGCACCACGGACACCAGGAGGTAGAGGGGGGAGGTCTTCTACACTGATGACTTTGCACTCATACTTATGTTCGCGCTTCCAGGCCTTAGATTGGCACGCCCTAGAACAATACGCAACCTTGCGACAGCCAGTGCAGCTTTTGACCTCAGTAAACCCGTGGGGAAGACCCATGGACGCTGCCGTTTTCCGTTCTATAGGATCTGTCGCGGCGCGCTGACAACACCAAGCACAGGTATCAAGCATCCGGTCAGCCTCAAGTTCTGTTACAAGTGGTCTGTCCACAGAGGCAACTATCTCGCCCGGCGAGAAGGCGACTTGGGCATATAATCCCTTGCCGGCATCAGGCATCTGGGACTGTTTTACCTCAACCCCATTATCGGTTGGCATCTTGGCGTTTTCTAGGATCCTTGATGGTATGAGACGATAGTTGTGATCCTGACGGCGAAGCTCTGGAATGACGACTAGAGCATTTGTGTATCTACCCAATAAGAATCGTTGATAATTGGTACCGAGAAATAAGCGATGCTTGCCAAGACCCGATACAAGGATATTTGGATAGTGTAGATGAATGATGAGCAGGTTGGCAGACTGTTCACATCGATTTACCTAAAGTTCCAATATTCAACTCCACAACACACCGTTACACGTCTTTAGAACAGCTTTATCGCCTGATACACGTTTTAATCTGAGGCTCTGCGTAACAGCCACTCCCTATTAAGTATATGGAACCATTCGGTCATTTTCGCAATGAATCATCGGCGATAATATCAATTGTATACTCGGATGCATATTTTGCAAGTTGACAAATATCGGTGCATGCGGCCAAAAGCACCATCAGTACTACGTACATTAATTAGAACCCTCGACTGGAGGACTCAGTACCAGGAACGGCAGTGATCTACATACAATGCTCTTAGGTACCTATTTACATTGGCAGTCTATTGATCGCCGCACTGAGGCTAGAACCCATGAATCTCTTGGAATGAGGGGAGGGAAGTCTACGAAAACTCCATTGTGACCTTCTCTGTAGCCTTCTCATTCCAGATACCAGACAATATATCAGCCATATTTTTGTAAGCTTCCTATGTTAAGGTACCGGTAGATAGATGTTGCGATTAACCCCGCAGTAGCTTTTCCTTGCCCAGCGTTACATTGTAAGAGCCGAGAGGAGTCTGGGGTAGACTAAGCCAGCTAACCTTGTTCAAAACGTGGGGTAACGACGACATGTATTGCGGAAGCAGTCTTATCTGGCCTAGCTTTACGACGGCTGGAATCCAATAGGCGATGAATGCGGATACGCCGACCTTTTCATCTAACTCGGATTGGAGACATGGCCGTTATTGTGTTCTAGGCCAGTGCTCTTCCAAGAACCAAGGAGCTACGGTAGCAACGCAGCATATACATGCCCTCTATTCGCCTTATTCTACATACACTTGCTCGGTCTAGCAGAGGGAGTCGGGAGTTTCCATCTGTGTGAAACTCAAGATAGTTGTCTAAAAATCGGCACTGATTTGAATATTATATTGAACCTACAACGGAACACTACATTAACAAACATCAAAACTCTTGCCAGGTCACCGCTTCATACTTTGATGGGTGCGTTAGCCGCTAGTCACGTATCACGCCCTGCTGTTATGACCTTGTGATCGACAAGACACACTTCGCCAAGCGGATGCGGGGAAGAACTATCCTTGGTCATACACGAGCAGGGTATTGAGTCTGCTACCCCGGTGGTTGGTAAAATCAGGTGTACGAGTAGAGTATAAGTAGTAGCAGAGAAGTGCTACACTAGGATCGTGATTGACCGAGGCTGGGGTATGAAGTGAGACACCGTTGTCAACCGCCTTTAAGTCAACCTACTACTGCTAAGCTACCCTCTTCTTTCACACTACGTATCGTTTTATATCCCATGAGGTTTTAAAGCTTTATTCACCTAGCTTCATAAATCACTGGTTGTGGTGGTGCTACAGACTTCACCATGGACAATGATAGTGACAAAGGCGCCTACGCCTTCGACCAGATCGAGAAACTCGAAACGGGTCGGCAGGTCGCATCAGATGAAGTAATTGAGCTTACCGAAAGCGAAGGAAAGAAGATTATCCACAGAATTGATCGTAGACTACTGGTAACTATAGGTTTTATGTACTGCATCAGTCTCATAGACCGAACGAATATCTCGCTTGCTGCTATCGCCGGCCTCGCCCAGGACCTGGTTCTCACTGGCAATCGATACGTAAGTGAAGACTACTTTGCTTGTTCTAGATTCTGGTAGTAGTGCTAACATTGAGGTTTAGTCGATTGCTACTCTGGCCTTCTTCCCTACCTACATCGTGTTCCAGCCTACGTCGACCGTGCTCGTCCGCAAACTTGGTCCCCGCATCCACATAGCCTTTATTACTGCCGCCTGGGGCGCCGTTATGCTTGGAATGGGCTTCGTACAGACGTTCGGTGCACTTACGGCTCTGAGGGTTTTGATAGGTATTTTGGAGGCTGGGTTCTTCCCAAGCGCAGTATATTTGCTGTAAGATACACACCGCATCCTATTCTCGTCATGAGTTCAGCTCACGAGCTTGCTTCTGTTTCCGTGCTTTGGCCAGATTCATTAAGCTAACATCACTGCAGATCAACGTGGTATACAAGATGTATGGTCTCAGCGCTCGAAAACAACAACCCTGTGATAGCTAACGAGGATACTAGATGAACTGGGCCGACGTTATGGATTGTTTTATCTGATTGGCTCAGTGACTTCCGCTTTCTCAGGCATCATCGCTTTTGGTATCACCCACCTTGAGGGTGCTGGCGGGCTCAGAGGTTGGCGATGGATTTTCGTAATCGAAGGTAGATTATTACCCGGACCCTGACATAATTCATGACCTGGGGCTCACCGTTAAAAGGCATTCTCACTGTCCTTCTCGGCATAGCCGGATATTGGCTCTTAGTAGACTTTCCAGATTCCGATCGCAAGAACGTTAGTAATTTTCCTGGATTTCCACTTATTGATACCCCCAGCAGGGAAATCTATTACACATTAAACCATCGCTAACGACCAACCTCGAAGTGGAAATTTTTGTCCGAGCAGGAACGTGCCTGGGTTGTTAACCGTGTAAATGCTGACCGTGGCGATGCTGAGACACCTAAGTTTCGGCTCGGTCACTTTCTCAGGGCTGGGCTTGACTGGAGACTCTGGTATGGTTACAAAAGCTTGAAGACCGTGGCTAGTACTGATACATATCATTCAGGGCTTACGGTGTGATCGCATTCGGAAGTACAACCGTGACTTATGCTCTGGCATTTTTCCTACCCATCATTCTTAACGAGAACCTTGGCTTCGACGTGGGCGCATCTCAGGCCCTTGTTGCGCCACCCTATGCCTTCGCAGGACTTTTCATGTATGCTATGGGCTGGCTAGGAGATAAGTATCGCATGCGTGGACCCATTGTTGTCATCAACATGGTTGTTTCGCTCATTGGACTGCCTCTGCTCGGCTGGCATCCAGACGCGAAAGTCAGGTACTTCGGTTCATTCCTCCTCGTCGCAGGAGCAAACTCCAACGTACCGGCGTCTCTGGCGTACCAGGCTACCAACATCCGTGGACAGTGGAAGCGTGCTTTTGCCAGTGCGACTTGGGTCGGCTTCGGCGGAATCGGTGGTATTGCTGGAAGTTTGGTGTTTAGGTAAGCTAGAGAGAGGCTCGATTCGGCCTACTTCAGGCCGATGAAAATCATCGCTGACGACCAATAGAGCGGAGGATAAGCCAGATTACCGGCCGGGACTCTGGGCTTGTATTGCTGTGTGTGTGTTAAACATTCTCGTCGTTGGCGTCTGCACTTTGTCATTCTACCTTGACAATAAAAAGGCAGATAGAGGCGAGAAAGAACTCGAAGCTGAAGATGTAAGTGGTCGTTGTCTAACTTCTAATCGTATGTGATACGCATGCTGACTTAAGAATAGGAGGGTTTCCAACCCGGCTTCCGCTATACGTATTAGTACTAGAAATGGATCAGTAGCGTGTGTGATTGAATGCTACTGGGACTCCGTGTTGGCATCGTGGATCATGAGTATATAACTATATTAACTAGAAATATAGATGAATATTGTATATTGCAGAAGCTGGAAACGCGATGTTAGATGTATAGTAATCCACCTGGCACCCACATCATTGCTGTGCATAAGAAGACTTTGTCTACGATTAGGTAACTATCCGTCCTCCGTGGCGCAATTGGCTAGCGCGTCGTAAGTTGAAACCCCGAGGTTTAGACACTGTTGATAAACTAATCTAACCATATATGTAGTGACTGTTAATCAGGAGGTTGAAAGTTCGAGTCTTTCCGGGGGAGATTGAGTTTACTTTTGCGGATTCCCGTATCTAAACTACCTAACTATGTGTTTTTGCTTTTTAACATTTCCCGGGACAGACCGCACTCGTTAGACCCCATTAAATATGGATATATACTTATGTAGGTATGTAGGTACGAACCAATCCTCACATTAAAGACGTCCTAGGTATTGATACAATGTGCTAGCCCTAACCTACATAGGTATACACTATTACCTGCTGCATCGAGAATGACGTATGCTGCGCTTCCTTCCTCGTGTTCATGCAAGTAGCTAAGTCAACAGGCACAACGTTTGAGGACTCATCTTTCAATCAATGTCCCTTTCTAAAGTCAATTCTCAAAAGCTATCAAGATTTGACGTAGACAACAACATGGCCTCGGTATTCCGAAAAGCCGGTGACACTTTCCGCAGCAAGCCTCAAAATACAAGCAAGCAAGAGGAGGGTGCATCACTGACCACGGTACTGGAGACAGTGGAAGACCGCCAGGCGTTCACCTTGCTTGTATGCGACATCACCGAGCGTATGCGGACACGATTACTTGATACCTTCAACCCAAACGAAGGGGATCAGAGAAGCGAGGCGTATGAACAAGGCGCCGGTGCCGATACCGATGAGCAGGCACAGAAGCAAGAAGCCCTCGAAAGACAGAGATCCGAGCTTGCCAATCAGAAGGACGAGGTTAGAAAGGAAGCAACAGTAGAGCTCAAGAATGCTGCGCTCAATTTCTTCGATGACTGGCGTGACAGTGTAATACTGAGAGTCGGCGAGGCAGTCAACGCGAGAAAAGAAGCCGAAGAGCAGTCTCATCACCCCAAGCCCGGTACTTCTACGTCGGATGACAAGCCGTCATCGGCTGGATTGAAAACTGATGAGCAGGACGCCAAGGTGGATGAGGTATTGAAAGAGATATATACCCCCATAAAGACGCCACTACGAGACCTAGATGAATCCAGGAGGGCCTTGATATTGCACTCGTTGCTTCTGCTTATGTTGAGTCTGGAGCACTACAACGCATATTCGCGCATACTACTACTTTACTGCTTGACATCCTTAGGCCTATCTATCACGATTCTCGCAAAAGACGAGACACAGGTCGCTCAAGGTCTTCTAGCAGCAGCGAAGCATATGTCAGCAGACGAAGAAACAAAGAAAAGGGCTGCGGATAACAGTATGGCTAGGAAATGGAAGATGGGAACTGCCGGTGTTGCTGGCGCTGCTCTCATCGGCATCACCGGTGGACTAGCGGCGCCGTTTCTAGCTGCAGGAATAGGTACGGTGCTGGGTGGTATCGGCCTCGGGGCTACTGCTACCGCAGGATTGCTTGGATCGTTAGCTGGGAGTAGCGTGCTTGTCGGCGGATTATTTGGCGCGTATGGAGCCCGTATGTCGACACAGGCCATGGAAAAATATACAAGAGATGTTGAAGACTTCGCTTTCATCCCCATTCACGAGTCAAGCAAGGACGATGCTAGCCTTCACCGTCTTCGAGTCGGCATTGGAATCTCTGGCTGGTTGGGAGACACAGATGATATTGTGTTACCGTGGACGGTTCTAGGTGATGGTTTAGAAACCTTTGCTTTACGTTTTGAGGTCGAGGCATTGGAAAGTCTTGGAAACTCTTTGAGGACGCTGATTACCTCGTTGGCCTGGAAATTCGCAAAGACCGAGATCATCAAACGGACGGTTTTTGCAGCATTGATGGCTGGCCTCTGGCCAATGTCTTTGACTAATGCTGGCCGAATCATTGACAACCCCTGGAGTGTAGCAAGTCAGCGAGCACAAAAGGCGGGTGAAGTTCTTGCCGATGCCCTCATCAATAAAGCCCAAGGCGAGAGGCCCGTGACCCTATTGGGTTACTCTCTAGGCGCCAGGGTCATATACGTATGCTTACAAGAGCTTGCCAGGAGGAGGGCTTTTGGGCTTGTTGAGAACGCGGTACTTCTGGGAGCGCCAACGCCGAGCAGTTCCTCAGAATGGCGTGCAATACGCACTGTTGTAACGGGGAGAGTAATCAATGGCTTCAGCACCAAGGATTACATTCTTGCCTTTCTATACCGAACCAGCAGCATTCAATTTGGTGTTGCGGGACTACAGCCTATGCTTGCCGTGAAGGGGATAGAGAATGTAGATGTCAGTGACCTCGTCGAAGGTCACACACTTTATCGGCATGCGGCAGGACCGATCCTCGGACGTCTCGGATTCGAGAATGTTGACATCAAAGAGCTTACACGTGAAGAGCGGAGGCTCAAGGAACAGGAGAAGGAAGAGAGACAGAAGCGTGAGGAGGCTGGCAGTATGTATCAATCAGGGAATGATGAAAAGGCAATCCTCGATGCCACCAATGACGAGATTGAGAAAATGGAAAAAGAAAGGGAAGTCAAACAAGCAACACATGAAAGACAGAATGCATCGGGTGCTAGCGAAAAGCAATCTCTCAAATAGAAATAGACGATAGGGAATGCCGGCTACAGCTATATCTATAGAAATAACACGATATTTTATGGCCGCGTTACAAGTTAGTAAGTATAACGACTCCCGTCAGGTGAAATATACACGCCTGAGGTAGTACAGTAGATAAAACAGCGTTGTAACAGTGGGTGGGTAGGCAAGCTGTGTTTGCTCACACAACTTCGATCGCATTTCCCCTCCCGCCCGTCATTGATGTTTTCTTTTTTCTTTTTTTCCCTTTTTGGGATATTGATGAGGTAGCCAGATATCAACGACGTTGCAGTCATTGATAAAGCCACGAAGCGCAACGATTGTTTCACACAAATTGCACTCAACTTGAAAAGCAAGCGAAGACCAGTGGGATGCGCGCGGTGGACCCTGCTGAAACCGCCAGAACTGCCAGAACTGCCATACCTACTCCATGGCCAAGCTCAGTTTGCCTACTTGTGTATGCGCTATGGAGTGTGGCTGCCGATGGTGGTCACGAGTACCCTGGGCTCCTCCTGACTTGCCCGGTGCAACCACCTGCACTCTCTCCATTTCATACCCAATATGAACTTTGGTTTGTCGCTGTTCAACAGCTCGATGCGATTTCGCTCCGTTTCGCATGTCATCGCCACTTTGGCAGGCTTGTTTGTGCGTAGTGGTCTGGCTGAACCCATTCCTAGCTAGATAACCTCGTTCGCCCAAGTACGACAAATGTTTTTATATACCCTTACGTCGCTCTTTCAGCCTGTCACGATGCCGTCCCCTATGGTGAAAGCTACCTGTAAGTCGTCCTGGCAGGGATTCGATGCTTTTGTCGCATCGGCTTGTTTAGAAGCTTCCTGTGTCATCGACAACCTGATAGCTCATATTCGCAATGGCGATGGCTAAATGAAGTATTAACAGTGGCATCCGTCGCCCTATCGGGTGCGTCAAACTTCCTTTCCCAGGTCCTTGAAGCGTACCAGGACGAGCGCTCCTTTTCCTTCGACGTTGCCATGTTCCTGCGTTTCATGACCGTTACATTCATCGTCACCCCTCCGAACTACATGTGGCAGGAGCTGCTCGAGTGTACGTTCCCGACATACGAGCACAGGCGCCCCAGTGCCGGCAGCGATAATGCGCGCGACCTTGAGAGGCAGACGATAGAGACAGCCCTGAAAGCCGGCGTCGGCCCCGAGCCGAAACCTAGTCTCAACCTCAAGAACACATTTACCAAGTGCTTCATCGACTGTATCACGCTTGGCGCCCTCGTCAATACAGTCGTTTTCTTCGTCCTCATGGGCTTACTCAAGAGGCAGTCCGTCTCCGTCATCGGCCACAACATCTGTACCGAGACAATCCCCGTTATCATTGCGGGCTACAAGATTTGGCCCTTGGCGTCCATCATAGCCTACAGCTGTATCCCTGTTGAGCGCAGGATGGTGTTCTTCAACTTTGTAGGTTTGCTTTGGGGTATTTATATGAGTCTAGTTGCGTCAGCCACTTGATTGGGATACGCTGCTTCATAGACTTTCTTATCGGCGTTCTTATCTCTCATGGTGATGTCCATTCTGCGCTGCTTTTCTGAGTAGTCTGGGAAGGATCGTCGTGTGTATATTCATTCCATGTAGCCAGTCGAATTCTTCTAGAGCAGAACTGGGAATCTTGACAGTTCATATAGGTTTACAACTTCGGGCACATTTCAGCTCATTTGGCTCGATGTTGTTAGAGCTTTGAACGGGATACTTGCATTCGCGCTTCAAGGCTTGTAATCTAACCCCATTTAACCTTAGAAAGGCAATTTTATAAGTTAATTGCTTCATTTAAAGGCATGCGGTAGCTATTTAGAGCCATGTTGCCTTGCCTTAGACACAGTCAACTTCACACGCCTCTTCAGAAGTACCTATAAATCCAGCGAGTCCACCCAGATTCAAATTATCTTCAGACAATGCACCTGTTGAGATTCGCTTGGCATTCTTGAGTTCATATGAACGGTTCAGCAAGCATCTATATGCAGCCGAGTCCACCTGTTTGGCCCATATCTGGCACGAGCTTATCGAACCCTCTGAAGTCGTATCACTATACGAAATACCAGGGAAATCATCGCTCGTGGCGCTCTTCGGACGCGGAGTCTCTTCGTCTGGTAGCTTTGTGATTAGCCCAGAGCGCTCAAATGACTCCCACCAGTCAAGCAGTTCTTCTATCTCGTCGATTTGCTGTTCCTGCTGGCTTTCATAACTGCCGTCTAACCAGTCATGAGCCGTTCTGCGTAGAGCGGTCTCGTACTCGTCACATTCCAGATTGACATCCAAGTTTGGTTCTAGTGCAGCCGGTGGAATCAACCGGATGTCTCCATGTTGGAAGGTAGTGTTTGGTATGCGTGCCGTTGATTTCATAAAGACGTACTCGGAATCTGAAATCATATTGTTTCCTAATACAACGATCTCAGAGATTGGCTCTAGGGGCGACCGCGATTTACGTATGTACCCTATTTTGGCGTGAACAGGATGATGATTGATTATATGGCAATCCCTGTTTAGTTTCTTTGCTTCAGGTATATGCTTGACGCTGCTTTTGGTGCCGACCTGGTGTGCCGGCTGGATGATCTCTTCAACCTTGCTACTGAACCTGTTCGACAGCACGCTAAATAGGGATCGCGTGCGTTGAAGCTTAAGACCGTTTCTGCGGTATAGATCGTCGCTCACAAGGCCGCGGAGACTCCTGACTCTTGAACTCAGGCTTCTTCTCGTACTATTAACTGGACGCTGCTCGCTGGTTGAGGCCCGTAAAGACGCAACGGGCGCCATTAATTCGCCCCCTTCATTCTGCGAGGAGCTCATCTGCATAACAGCTTTGTCTAAATCACGCATCGCTTTTCTGCTGTGGGATTTAAAAACTTCGATGGTCTCGATTGAAGGACTGCTGGCTTCAAGATTGTACATGAGATCTTCAGCCGTTGTCATATAAACGTATGGTTCAGGGTTTGAAACAGCAATAACCATACCGCACAAATCTGTGCCTCTAGTAACCCAGCTTCCTGAGACACCACGTGCTATTCATTGAGTAAGTCAATGTCGCACGCATGAGTCGAGGGACATACCAAGAGGAGCCGGTGTCCTTAGCTTCCGTAGTGTGAACATCCTACCGCCCATAGCAAGGCAGATAGATGCAGGTACCAATTGCCCAGCTACGGGCGAATCTGCTTGACAGAGAATGCTGACCTCGCCCTTAGTGAGATCTCTGTTGCTCGTGTACGTCGTGACGTCGATAAAGCCCTCCGACGGTGTTCTTCTAGGGCGATATTTATTATCCCACGAGGAGCTAGTGTCTTGTGGATATCCTAAATCTATCATTGCGTGATCTGTCTGACTCGCTTGATCATTATGCAGCGGCAACTGGTCCTCTGTCGCCACTGAAGTTCCCATGAAACTGAGGAAACCATGGCGAGTAACATTTCTCCAGCGTGGTACGAGTTGAGGGTCTCGATACCCTTCCCTAGGTTCGTTGTCGTCCGAGAAAATAGGAGAGTGTGGATTTATGTCTCTATCAGCATCATCGACCCCATCACTTGTACTTGCAGCACTTTGGCAATCCCATGTGGTTAACGAATCCCTCTTTCTTAGCTGCCTGTGCCACCACTGTAACAAATTTTCTCAGTAAACATACCACACGGATGGCTGAATGATGTATATGGATTATAGAACTCTCAGCCGTAGTCAATTAAGAGACGAAGAGGTGATGAATGTAATAAGACTAAGAAATACTCACTGGATAATCTAGCATCCCATGAGCGGTTGAGACACCATATTGAGAAGACTTGAGGGTATTAGTAGCTAGGACGAGGCCGCCAATGCGACTGAAGCGATGCAAGTAATTATCGCCATCTTTTATTGTCGCGCAGCAGAGGAGTCCACATGACGTACTATCCGCCAGAGAGTCCTCGATGTGGATATAAAGTATTACGCCGTTTCCAAGATGACACCCGTTGGCTAGGTCCAACTTTTTGACATCAACTTTCCCTTCAGCCCCCGATGGAATCGGTACGCGACCCTCGTGAACTTCTACTGGCAGCGTCAGCCACGTAATATGCTCCATAGCAGTCATTATATCTTTGCATGCCCAAGTGCTACCACATATGATCCAAATGCTGGGCCGGATGGCAACTTGATTAGCATCGCGCGGCGCTCGGCCTGACATACGAAGCTCTAACACAACGTCGTATTCATGAACTCCTTGAGGGATGCCTAACGAAGTCCTGTGTCTTCTTGACTCACGATCGATGCCTTTACGGTAGATCTCCATGATCACCTCGCTCAGGTCTGTTCTAAGCCTGCCCAAGTCGGTGGTCTCCCATTGTTCCAACACATCCAGAGGTATTTCAATATCATCGCGAGCCACATATATTATCAGGCTGGTCTTCAAAGGTTTATACAGCCTAACAGAGGGACTATCCACAGAGCATGTCACTCCGCAGGTCGCAAAAGTACCCGATATTGATGTTGCATCAGTGCCATTGCTGAATATTGATGGATACGATTTTCTACTGAAAATAGAAGCCGAAGTGAGGGAACCTAAAGACTCTGACTGCAGGGGCCGGGATTGGCTCGAGGAAGTGGCCGTATTGTTAAGCCTGCGCCTGAATTCCGAGAAGACATGTGCGCTTCTCGTCGTTGCAGTGGCAGAACTTGGGCATCTACTAAACGTGAGGGACTGAGCATCTTCAACATGTGGCTCGTTACTGCCTGGCTGTAACCACGAGTTCACATGCTTCTGAAATTTGCTCTTCCAAGATGACGATGGTGGGAAAGCTTGGGCTGCAGGAGTTTCGTCTTCCCTGTTGGAGCTGATTCGAGTGAGAGGTGGTAGGGTTGTCGGAGGGTCGGCTGGGGCCATTGTGCGTGAAATTATTACGAACTCGACATTTGAAATGTATCCTCAAAAATCATAAAACTTCCTGAACTTCCGAACTTTTATCATTTTAACCTTATTGACGGTGAAGTGCTTGTGTGAGATTTGAGCTGAGGCAACTAGGTAGTAAGAGGATGCGGGGTTATGAAAGGAGGCAGCCTACCAGCCAGGGGCTATGCTAACGTCGCATGGATACTGAACGATACTACGCAGAATATATTTATACACGAGGGTCAAATCCTTCCACTGTGTTATGCTATTTATCATCTTCATTCACTTGGACTCTAAGATACATGATATTCTGCCACGAACCGTTGGCGACCATCTTTCAAGATCTAGCAGTGAAGTTCCTCATCCTCCCAACGAAACATACACACCATGCTGAGAGAGGAATACAATCAGATATGTCGTTCGATATGGCCCAATCTAACAAAGGAAGAATATTTTCGAAATGTTTATGCAGGTATGCAAAGGTATTTTGAGAGTCAGACTTGCCGAGAGGGCCGCGACGATTGCGCTATCATTCTCTCTATCATAGATGAGCTGATGTCAAAGGAGCACACGTTAGTCTCCAGATCTAGCTACATCGCTGCTGTCAGAACCAAACTCTCTAGACCGTCATCTGAAGCGACTGTATTGAGCTACAGTGAGCGAACACTCCGAATGATGTTGAACCTGGACATTCGGGTTGGACAGGGACGAGAATCTATATCACGCGTCGGGTCATTTACGATTGACTGGGATGACCTTACTTCACTGGGAGAAGCAATTGAGAACCATTTTGCCGTTGACAGCCGTCGTGCGGTCACAGGTCGGATTGACCCAGCCCTCTCTTTGGGCTACCTCTGTACTCATAGAGGTTTTAAAGTATTCTGGACGTCAAACATCAGCGAGCATTTACACATTAGTTGGAAATCCAAGATAGTGATGGTTTATGAGCACAAGTTATTCCTCTGGAATCATCTCCGCAACTCAGAGTCACCGATCATACCACGACTAGTCCTAGAGGAGGCTATCGACACACTCAATTTACTCTTCCCTCTCAATGATCGTCTGACTACTAAATTTCTAGCCCAGAATGGCAAGGAATTTCAAGGTCTCGGCTACTGCTCCAGATCCAGGGACATATGCCTTGATATAGGGAACTTCAAAGTTTGGAGAGAGCGCATTGCTGAGCTGGTCGAGGTCATGAATGAAGAGCCAAAGGGACTGAAGCAGCTGGTCCTAGAGAAAGATGGAAGGAATCTCTTACCTTTTGTCACCTTCTGGGTCGCGGTTGTTGTTGCTTTCCTATCACTCCTCAACCTTCCATTTGCGATGGTCTCTATGAATTATTCTATCAAGCAATATGACCTTGCTCTGGCACAAGCGGTAAGTACAGGTGAAGAGTGTGCTCTCGGGCACATTGGGAGTCGGGGTACAAGACAAGACGACAAGCTTCCAGTATCATCGCTCTTCAGTTCCATGATAGGTTCCGAACTGGCGCGTCTATCTTGCCTACCTTTGTGATACTAAAGTAAAACGCTGACTTATGACATCGCAGTGCTCCGAACCAAATGCGCAAAACACACTGCCTAAGTATTGTTCAGCATGATGATAACCTAGAAGAGGTAATTCTTCCGCGAGATTGGTAAGCTAATGATCATGAATATTTTGAACTATCACCCAATTCAAAACTTATGACACCCCCCCCCCCTCTCCCCGCAGAAAGAACATCCCGAGCACAGCAATTCGCTTCATGAATGACATATTCAGTGTTCAAACCTACTAGAATTCTCATAACTCACAGTACTTTAACGTCTTTCTTCAGCTGATTGATCCTTCGAGGACGTGTCACAGGCAGATAACAGTTACTACTCCCAGAAAGTCCAGCTAGAAAGGATTCTGTTTGGAGGACAATTGCCATTACGCTGCTATCGGCTGCAACACAATTATGCCATCAAGATTCCATCTATTCTCGCTTGACTACTTGGCTATTTGGCGTTCTTTAAACCCCAAGAAATTCTTGCCTCAGTGGGCCAGCTTGTCTTTAGGTCCAATCATTTCCGCCACAGCAACAGATCCCTTCTATGATTTTCCACGCGCATGGAGTTCCCATACTCTCAAAGCAGTTATAAGCACCATAAGTGTCCATCGCTCTCCCAGTTCGCCAGAAAGGCCACGTCCTACGAGCTTTAGGTCAAGGGGGTGCTTAGGGCTCGTCAAAAAGCGCGAGAACTTCATCCTGACATACAGAAGCGCCCTGATTGCTACTTTCGCTACCTAGGGTTGTCCGCTTAGAGTTTGGTGGTAGGGCGAAAAGCTTGAATCCACCGTTCTCTGCGTTATCGGCCCTTTCATTCTTGTTGATGTTCCTCCACTCGAATGCCCAGCGTCGCATTTCTGAGCTGCAGCCGACCTCAACTAAGAATCGAAAGGCGACATGCTTGTCTGGGGTAATATACACTCACATCATTTCTTCAGTTAGGCCGCCCATTTTGTGGACCGGGAGGAAGATGTGGCTATTATTATTCACTAGAAGGGAGCGAAAAAACCCTGAATCATCGCCTATTACCGCCAAACGCGGATCTTTTGTTGTTGGCCCATTGTATAAATGCAGGTCTTGCTTCTCGAAAAGCGGTGCTCTCATGCTGTATCCTGAGTGTATTTTCACGGCAAATAGGCGGTCTCGTTGATCTATATCGCATACGTGGAACGTTCTTAGCCCTGAAGGACTCCATTAGCAGTACACCTTCATGACAGATGGAAAAGGGCAGTACGCAAGCGCTGTCGACCACCCGGACATAGGCATGTCCTCGTCTGAGCTGTCAATTACGTTTTTGTCCGTCATATTGTTGTTGAGTTTGGCTAGCAGAGTTCAGGGAAGTCTAGATACATCCACGAATATGGATGTAGGACAGAGGACATAAATATATATATGTGCTTGTCAAAGCCGGTAGCAGGAGACACTTCTCAATTGGCCATCTTGCTCCTCACCCCATTCAGGTATATCGGGTCAGCTCTGTAACGATACCTAGGTAGCTTTACTGTTGTATAATCAAGCACAGAGAAGAGAGATAAAAGAGAAAACAAGCACACAACAAAGTAGAGTGTAATGAGTTATCTAGGATGAACGTCGGCGTTTTGGGAGATTAGAACATTTGCTTTAGTGTCCCCAATTTCTACGAATGCTGTGTTTCCTCTGTTCATGTGCTTGTGTTCCCTACCTATCATAAAGAGATGATTACCCGAGGTCAAGTTATCTGAGTTGTCCACAGCAAGGGCCTCTGCGGTCTCGTTTGTACCTCAATATCTATGTAGACCAGCTCCGCAACCGGCATTCTCCAACTGCTAGGTTTTGCATGATAAAATGATGCGGGCTCCAACAAGTCGTTCCACTAGAGATCCATCGGCCCATGGCGCAATCGGCTTTACTGGGGTCTGAGCACTTCATCTACCTACTCAAAGACGATGTGTTGGTGACTATCACCAAGACAATCAATCTTCTCAGATCTCAGTAATATCATCTTAAGCCCTGGGCCTGTATTAAATACCTACTACCTTACTTAGGTCATAAGTATCTACACAAGGTACATATGTAGGTAGGTACTGTACTAAGTATGTAAGTGCATCGTAGGCACATGGGGAAAGCGGGGTTTGCACTACCAACGGCCCGCTCCGGCATCCTCACCGCTGCAGCAACCATTGCACCTCTAGGTAGGTAGGTAGAGAGTACTTAACAGCCCACCTTTGCCATCTACCGTTTGTCTACTCTACCTCTCTCCCAAAATCTTGGACAGTCAATAATACCAGATCTACTTCGTATATCTCTGTCTCTTGTGCTAACAAATCTCAATCGACATGGGCGCTGATTGTTGTGGTGGCAAAAAGCCGCTCCCGCCTACTGAAGAGGCTCAGGACTCCTGCTGTGATGATTCATCGGTGAGCGATTGCAATAAGAGTATCGCTTGCTGCTCTCCCGGTAATGAAAAGTGTAATGGTGCGCATCTTGCCAGCAACTTTGTTCTCGCTCAAACTAATTGTCTTCTGCTGCTCAGAGGAGTGCCTTCTCTCCGTTGCTGCTACACTATGTGCCGAAGAGGTTGGCCATCATACCACCGGCCACAATGCCTGTAGGTTAACCATCGCCATTTTTCAAAGGTGCCCTTGACATGTATGCTTATAATGCGACTTAGGCTGTGGTACCGGATGCTCTGAGAAACAACAAAAGTCTGCTTGTGATGCCCATCTCCAGATGGCTTTTGATCGATACCAGTCTTTCTTGGATGACGTCCGATGTATCTGTCGTAACATGATAGAGCGTGGGTACAAGTCTTGTTGCAAGCCTTCTGAAGGCGAGACCAACCCGAAGACCAAGGCGAAAGTCTATCCAAGCCAGGGTAGTTGCAAGGTGACTGAGGAAGATTGCTGTCGGCCTGCGCCTCCGCTTGCAGCGGAGCCTGCAATTGCCGCAAAGGCAGGTTGTTGCTCTGCTGACGGAAGGAAAGGTCAGCGCCAGTGTTGTGGTAGTACTCAAGAGCCTGCCGCAGCTTCAAGTGATCGGGAACAGTCCGATGATTGCTGCAGCGGCAAGAAACGAACCAACGACTGTTGCAGTAGTAAGAAGACGACACCAGGAAACGCTGTTATCAACCAAGGACCTCGCAACTGTTGTTCTACCGAACAGAAGCCTGATGATAGTTGCGCTAACAAGCGTGGAACTGGTGACTCTTGTTGCGGTAACAAGACGCTCAGCTGCTCTATCAATACTAGTCCACCCATGGCATGTCGCGATGAGTGCTGTGGAGGTACTGGCACACCCTCACCAGACCCGTGTTGCGCGATAGAGAAACAGGACCCAGGCGCAGATCCTCGAATGGGAGAGAAAGATCAAGTCATAGACATCGAGAGCGCCAACGGCCAGGCAGTTCGCATTGGGGTTTCTGGTATGACCTGCAATGGCTGTAGTGAGAACCTGTCACGGAATCTCGCCGCAAATGGCGGGCGTAACAGTAAGTACATCAAACAATTCCCTTGTGCTGCGGCCAACCCCAATGGCAATTACTTCTGCTCTGTCCCGGTGATTTTAGCAGAGATATATCAACACCGAGGGCGTTTCTTATCTGACCGGGCAGCCAATAACTAATTCATATCCTAGTCCGAGTCAATTATCTACAAGGCCATGCGGATTTCACTATTGAGAACGGCCTGAGCGTGGAGACACTTATAGCAAAGACACGAGAAGCCACTGGATTTCAGATCACGATCATGGGTGGTGATGAGTCAATTACTGTCCTCGCCCCTACTTCGGCCGCATCTACAGCTCTCGGTCAGGTCGATTTAGAGGGCATTAAGAAGGTAGTGGTTCTGAACAAGAGGACTGTTCGCATTGATTACGACCCCACAATCATAGGAGCTAGAGATCTCTTTCGCGAGATCGGACATTTACAGGTCGCCCTTGCGCCTCCTCAGAAGGATCAACAGTTTGCCTCAGGACGTAAGCGTTTTATCAAACTTCTAGTGCAGACAACTGCCTCGTTTGTTTTTACCATTCCTGTGCTGGTTCTTGCCTGGGGCGAGACTCGTGTGGAGGAAAACACGAAAGCAATTGTCTCCTTAGTCTTGGGCAGTTTGGTTCAACTGCTGGCCGTGCCCGCTTTCTACAAGCCTGCCCTTAAGTCCTTGATTCTATCCGGCACACTTGAACTGGATATGCTAGTAGTAGTCGCCATCACGGCTGCATATGCCTATTCTATAGTAGCGTTTGGTTATCTCATATCAGGCAGACCCCTAGAAACCGCTTCGTTTTTCGAAACAAGCTCGCTTCTCATCTCCTTGATAATGCTTGGCCGTCTTGTTGCTAGCTATGCCCGCATTCGAGCTGTGGCGTCGGTATCAGTCCGGTCTTTGCAAGCCAGCACTGCGACTCTTCTTGAGAATGGACTGGAACGCGAGATTGATTCCCGACTCCTGCAGTTCGGTGATATCTTCAAAGTCACGCCCCATAGCCGAGTCCCAACGGATGGTATTGTTATATCAGGAGTCAGCGACGTCGATGAATCTATGGTTACAGGAGAAAGCCTCCCGATCACCAAAGGGCCTGGCGCAGATCTTATTGCCGGCACCACCAATGGTTCCGGCACGCTTGTCGTTCAGCTAACTCGACTTCCTGGGAAGAACACAATAACGGATATAGCTCAGCTTGTGGAAGATGCTAGTAGCTCGAGACCGAGAGTTCAAGAAATCGCCGATAGAGTGGCGAGCTGGTTCTTGCCGACAGTACTAACGATAGCAGTAGCGGTTTTCATCATTTGGACTATTGTTGGCATTAAAGTGAGAAATCAAACAGGTGGTGAGGCTGTTGCCACTGCTATTACGTACGCTGTTGCCGTCCTCGCCGTTTCCTGCCCCTGTGGTCTAGGTCTAGCTGTTCCCATGGTCCTCGTCATCGCTAATGGAATAGCCGCGCGTCACGGTGTAATCATCAAATCGGCCCAGTGCACCGAACGAGCGCGTGGGATCACCGATGTGGTTTTTGACAAGACTGGTACTCTTACGGAGGCGACTCTAGACGTGGTTGCTGAAGAATACTTTGGTCACGAGACAACGAAGGCCCATGCCATCACACAGGCGCTTATCGGCGACAGCCAGCATCCAATTTCTGTGGCTGTGGCAAAGCATCTTGGGCCTGATACTCAACCATCCTCCCTAGTTACTGGCGTGCAAAGCATTCCCGGAGCTGGCATTGAGGGCTATATTTCTGGCGTTGTAGCTCGTGCCGGAAATGCCAACTGGACCTGCAGCGATGATTTGCCAGAAGTCCGCAGGATGCAAGATGCTGGTATGAGCATACTTGTGGTAACACAAGGGTCTACTCCTATTGCCGGCTATGGTCTACGAACACGGCTTCGATCTGATGCAGCCGCAACCGTTGCGAAACTGCGTGAAGATGGTATCAACGTTCACCTTGTCTCTGGAGACCAAAACAAAGCTGTACAAGCGATCGCGGCGGCCGTAGGTATTGACCGAATGAATGTCGTCTCACAGCAGAACCCTCAACAGAAGCAAGACTACGTCGCTGCACTTATGGCGCGGCCAGGTAAAGTGGTCGTGTTCTGCGGAGATGGCACGAATGATGCAGTGGCTGTCGCTCGGGCCGATATTGGTGTGCAACTCAGCGACACCATTTCGAGCGAAGTCACACGCAGTGCTGCTGACGTGGTCCTGCTCTCCGGGCTCAGCGGCATCCCTTTCCTGATCGAAGTGAGTCGTGCTGCGTTTGTGCGTACTACATTCAACTTCGTCTGGTCGGCCATTTACAATGTCTTTGCCATCCTCCTTGCGGCTGGCGCCTTTGTCCGGATTCGTATTGCACCAGCTTATGCCGGTGCTGGCGAACTTGTTAGTATTCTACCTATCATCATTGCTGCTTTGACAATGCTGCTGCTCAATCTTCGCCCGAACTGAATAATGGCCTTCCCGGCACTGTCATTCTGATTTCCGGAAGCTACACGCTTACGTGCTTGGGCATACTCAACGGGAAAGCTGACTGGTGGACTCACAATCCTGATTCCTGGTGGACGTCGAGAAGAGCTATAATAGTAGGTACTAGAACAACACTTACTACCTTGTGACATTAGAAATTATAGTTCAAATGCAGATGGAATACAGCACACGGCTTATATACACCTACATTTTCTTGGCCGTGATCTATGCTTGTGTATGAACAACGTGGCTTGAGATCTAGAGCCATCAACTTGACGTAGCTGACTAGCTAAAAGCACAAACATTAATTAAAAGTGAACATGTTCGGTTTTCTTGGGCTTGTAACTCGTCGAAGCGATATTAGGGGCTGGGATGCGAGCTGGTGTCACGTATAGAGGATAATTTGGTGTGTTAGGCAAGGAATGGCAATGAGCCTATAGCAAAAGTATTGATTATGTGTGATATGAATAATGCGATGTGGAATGGACAATAGAGGTTGGCATGTCAGAAAGGGAAGGCGGTGATACTTGCGTTCCACATACTGGAATGCTAAAAATCTATATATAAAACCTTTATCTAGCCAGATAACTATATTATAACTTAGACTTTTAAATAATCTAATAGGATTATATATATTACTTTTAATAGGTTATAAGCCTGGACGTTTATTTAAGTATATCTTTAACTATTAAAGGTTAAAATTATACTTTATTTTTAACCCTTTACTATTTATAAATATAAAATAACAATATATATTAAAATTCTACTTTATTAATTCTATAAATGAAGATTATATTAAAATATTACTACTTTAAATAATAGTTAATAAAGCTAGGTTTTAAAGGCTAATTTAAAGAAATTTTAACCTATTAAGTTTTTAAAATAAATAAAGGTTAAATTAATTATATATAACTAACTATTTAAAAATTTTTAATTTAACTTCTTCTTTTTAATAATTATAAAAATAATTATAATTATATTATTAATACCTAATAGTAAAAATATTATTAAATACTTATTATAACCTTTATAATTAAATATAACTTTAAATATTTAATATTATTTATTTTTTAAATATTGAAACTTTTCCCTATTTTATATATAAAGTTTTAATATAGCTTAAATACCTTTTTAATTAAAAAAATATAAATAATTAAAATATTAACTTAAATTTAAATTATATTAATTAATTACCTTTATCTTTATTATTATTATTAAAGGTATTTAAAGTTTCCTTTTACCCCTTAATGCTTAATAATTAAGATCTTTTTAATTATAAAGTTAATATTTTATTTAATTATTAAACTTTAAAACTAATTACCTTAAAGGACCTTTTTATTAACCTTAATACTCCCCTTTTTAGTATTAATTTTTAAACTAAAGACCTTAATTTAAATTTACTCTTTATTTTAATTAAAAACTTTTAAAGTAATTACCTTTTAAACCTTTTTTTATTAAACACCCTTTTAAAAAATTTATATTAATAATATATTATAATATTAAACTTTAAAAAAAAAATTAATTAAAAATTATTAATTATTACTTAACCCCATATTATAAAACACCTTATAACTATTAACCTATTTATTAAATTAATTAAGCTAACCTTATTAACTATTATTATATTATTTATAATATTAATAATTAATTAAAATATTATTAAATAATATTAAAAAGTTTAAAAAGGTAACCCTTTTTAATAGTTTGGAATAATAATTAAAGTGGAGTTAAAATATATAAAAAAAATTTAATATAAATAAATTTACTTAAATACTATTAAAAGAGCTTTATAAAGTAGCCCTTTAATAAAAAGAAAAAGAAAATAAAGAAACCTTTTTTATTAAAAAGGATAAATAGTTTAAAAAATATAATATAATTAATATTATAATTTAAAGTAAATTATTATAAAATACCTATTAATAAATTTAACCTATATTAATAAAACTCCTTAATATATTTATTTTATTATAAAATAAGCTATATTAAAATTATAAACTTAAAAGAAAAGTTTAATTTATATAACGCATCTCCCACTTGACCTGGCCACCCAATTGAGCTGGCCACCCCCCCAGCCCATACAAAAAACGTCGGTGCGCTAATCACGTGATAATTTAATAACTTTACGAATATCAGGCGTATAAAATAATAAAATATACCATTAGATTCGTAATAAAGAGAGCTATTTAACGGTACCCTCCCCTAAATCCTACGATTTATATTCGCGGAGTTATTAAGCAATACGCTAAAGTAAGCGCTAAAATAATCCTTACTTAACGCCACTTTAGCGTATTGCTTAATATCTCGCTTAATAAATTTTATAAAAAATAGTAAAAAATACCATTGGATTCCTTATTAAATAACGGATCTAATAGTACTAATTACTAAATTGTGGGGCTAATATTGGTTAAGTTATTTTAGATTGAAACATTGGATTTTTATATAGGTTAAGGGGGTGGCCAGCTCAATTAGATAGCCAGGTCAAGTAGGAGATGCGTTAGTATTATTAATAATAAAAAGAAATAATATTTAAATCTATTAATAACATTATTTAATTTACTACTATATTATAATAGATTTAAATAAATATAATTAAGCTTAATTTAGCTTTAATTTAATTATATTTATATATTATTAAAAAATTTATTAATAGTTTTAAATTTAAATTTAATTCCTTTTTAATAATTTAAAAAATTAATACCTTTAAAATTTTAATTATTAATATAATTAAAATTATAATATAAATAACAATTATTTTAAAAAAGGTAATTAATATAATATTATACTTTAAATAAAGTTAAAAGGAATAAATAATATAAACTGCCCTTTTAACTATTAAAGTTAATTTTCTTTTATTTAAATAATAACCTAACAATAAAAGGAAGGTATATTTTAATTATAGCAAAATATATCCTCCTCCTTATTTTATAGCCTACTTTAAACTTAAACCTTTAAATTAAAATAAGGATATATATTTATAATAAATAAAATAATATAAAAATAAAATAAAAAGATTTAAAGAGAATAAAAATATAAGGAAGGAAAGAAAAATAAACTTTATTATACTTTTTATATCCTTTTAAAAATTATTATAAACTTTATTTATTATTAAATTTCTTAAATATATTATTTTTATAATTTACTTATTATTAATAAATTAACCTATTCCTATTAATTTTATTAATGCTATACCTAATTTAATATTTTTAATATTTAAAGGATTTATATAAAAATTACCTTAAGGTAACACCTTTTAAAATAAACCTAATATTAAAAATATTAATATTAGAGCTATAAAAAAACTTTTAAATAATATATTAAAGGATAGCCACTTAAAAAAATTATAAAAGTTTCATTTATTATTATTAATAAAAATTAAATTAATAGCTTTATAAAAGTATTAAAAATAATATTAATTATTAATAATAATATTAACGTTTTTATATTTTTAAACTTAATTAGCTTTATTAACCTATATATTACATTATACCTTATAACTATTAAAATTAATAGATTAATAATATAATTAACCTAATATAAAAACTATACCTTTACTAATATAATTAATAGGATAAAGAAACCTATTATATTAAAGAATATAATTTATTACTTAATAATTAATATAAACCTAATCTTTATATTATACCTTATAAGACTTAATATTAAATTTCTCTTTTAAAATAATAAAGCTTACGCTTTAAAAAGGAATAATATATTTTTAAAAAGTATAGAATATAATAGTTTATATATAGTTAATTAACCTAAGTTAAATATTAAAACTATTATTACTGCTTTTACTACCTACTCCTTTTTTAATCCTAAACTTATATTATAATATAAACGTTTTAAATATATTAATAAATCTTCGATTAAAAAATTAATAAACGTTAAATATATTAAGCCTTAAAAACTAATTTATATTTAAATTAAAATAAAGGAAATACCTTATTTAAAAAAGCTTTAATAAAGCACTTACCTATTAGAATTATTATACATTAATATTATAAATATCCTTAAAGTAATATTTAAAGGCTATAAAAGCTTTATATATATTATTATTATATATTATAATTTTATAAAAATAATATAAATATTATTATTTAAAAATAAAGGAAAATTTATTTAAACCTTTAAATCTTTCCTTAAATATTATAAATACCTTAAATAAAGGTACTATATATTTATATTTAATAAAGCTAGAAAAAATATTAATAGGGAATTTAAATATATATATTAAAGTTAAAAAATCTAAATATTATTTATTATTATAAAATAATATTAATAGGATAATATTTATAAAAAAATAATAGGAATATATAAATCCATTATAATTCCTATAATAATATAAACTATAAATAATAAAATATTATAAAAATATTAACTTATTATTACTTAAATAGCTTATTATATAATAATATATTAATTTAATAATTAATTTAAAATATTATTATATAAAAAATAATATAAGTAAAGGCTTACCTATAATTATATAATAATAATAAAAATTAATAAAAGATATTTTTAATTAAATAAAAAGGGATTAATATTTATTAAATAAACCTTACTTTATAAAATATTAAACTATTAAAACTAAAGTTCCTATAATTATATAATCCTTTTAAAAAATAAAAGGGTTATAAATATTAATAATATAAACTTTTTTTAAAAGATCTTTTACTTTTTATTTAATTTAATTAAAATGGTTAATAAAAAAAACAAGTTTAATAAAGCTTTAAAAATAAAACTATAGGAAACTTTAAGAAATTAAATATAATAAAAGAATAAAAGTTTAAAAGTTTTCCTTATATTAAATTAAAAAACTATATATTAATTTAAAAAAGAAAAAGATTAAACCTTACTATAATAAATATTGTATTAAACATTATATTAATTATTATATTAATTATTATTTTATATATTATACTTAAGGCTTTAATAAATAAATCCTTTAATAAGACTATTAAAAACTTTAATAATATTTTAAAGCTAAATAATAATAATAACTTTAACTATTAAAAAATATTATTTAATAATATTAAAAATTAATAATAATAATAATAAAAGTATTAGGTTTAAAATATAAATTCTAAAAGAATATATAGGGCTTATATTATAACTTTATTATAATAATATATATTTTATAAATTATAGCTATTAACTATTTACTTTTTACTTTATTATTATTACTTTAAAAGCTATTAATATAATTAAAATTATTAAATTAATTAATTATAAAGCTATTAAAAGGAATTTATATTAAAATAAATAGTTAAAGGTAATAAATAATAAATATAATTCCTTAATTAATAATATTACTTAAGATTTTATATTAATATTATTTAATATAAAGGTATTATTTAAAAAGTAAGTTTATAAACTTAAATAAAATAAATTAGGAAAAATAATTAAATATAAAGTTAAATAAATAATTAAAAGATTTAAATAAAAAAATAATATAAATTATAATAAAATGTTTACTTTTATAATTAAACTTATAAGTTATAAAATATTATTTATAATTATTATTATTTTAAATTTTAAAATTTATTAAATAGATATAAAAATAGCATTTTTATATAAAAAAGTATTAAAGGATATTTTTATTAAATAATTATTAAAGTTTATAAAGGACTTAAATATAATATATAAATTTAAAAAGGCCCTTTATAAATTTAAATAAGTACTTTATATATAGTATAAAACGTTAACTATATTTTTAAAAAGCTTTAAATTTAATAATTTAAATTTAAATATTAAAGTTTTTATTTAAGGAAATTATTATATTGCTATTTATATTAATAATTTTTTAATTATTAAACTTAAAACATTAAAAATTATAAAGATTAAATAAATATTAAATAATAAATTTTAAATAAATAACTTAAGCCTTATTAAATATTACTTAAGAATAGTTATTAAATAAAACTATAAGGTATATATTTTAAAGCTATTATAAAAAGCTTATTTAAAAAAAATACTTATAGAATTTAAATTTTAAAATTTAAATAAATTAAAATATTAAAAATTAAAGCTAATTTATACCCCTTTATTTATTAAAATAAAAGTATTTAAAGATAACTTTATTTTAAATCTAAATAATTAAAAATAGTATTAAAGGGCTATAAACTTATTAATATATATAATATTAAATATTTAATTTAATATAATATTTATTATCTTTAAATATAATAAGTATATAGTTAAACTTAATACCTTTTATATTAAAGCAGTAAAATAAATATTTAAATATTTTAATTTTATAATTAATTTAAAATTAATATATAAAAAAGGTAAAATTAAATTATAAAGCTTTATTAATTTAAATTAAAAAGTATATAAAGAAATTTATTAATTAACTTTAAAGTATATATTTAATTTAAAAAGTAATACTATTAATTAAAGTTTAAAAAGGTAATTAATAGTTTTATTATCTTTATTTAAAGCTAAATTAAAAAAATAAACCTAAATTATTAAAGAAGCTATTTAAATATAAAAACTATTAATTAAATTAAATATTAATTTAAATAATATACCTATAATTATTTATAATAATAATTAAAAAGTAATTTTAACTTTATATAACTTATTATTATATAATAAAGGAAAATATATATTAATTTAAAATTAATAATATTAAAAATAAATTATTATTAAAAAAGTTAATTTTAAATATATTTTAACTATTAATTAAGTAATAAATAGGTTAATAAAAGTATTATTAAAGCTAACTTTTAAAAAGTTTAAAAAATTATTAAGCTTAAAATAAATAATAAAGCTAAAATAGTTTATATATAAAGCTAAATAAAAAATCCTATATTAAAATTAATTTAAGTTAAAATACTTTTATTATTATATCCTTTAATAATAATAAATAATATAAAAATTATTTTTATAATTTAAAAATATAAAATTTAAATTATTAAAAGTTAAGCTATAAAATAAATATAAATTTAAAGAAAATTATTAAAAATAATTTAAAAAAAAGTTTAAAATAAAATTATAAAGCATTTTAAAATAATATTTTAAAAAGTAAAATAATAAATATTATTAATTAATTTAAATTAAGTTTTTTAAATACCTATATATTTAAATATAATAAAATTAACTTTTAAAAGATACCTTTAATAATATAATAATAATAAGCTATAAACCCTTTAAGGTTATTTTAAATTAACCTTATTTATAAATAATAAGGTATATATTTATTTATACTTTATATCCTTTATTAAAGCTTTTTAATATTAATAATATTTAAAACATTATAAAAATAATTAATATAATAATATAATAATAAAGGCTACCTTAAAGGAATTTTAATTAATTATAAAACTAAATAATTTAACTATAATAGCTTTATTTATTATACTTATAATAAGCTTATTAATTAAATAAAAGGTAAAAAATAAGGTTTAATATATTTTTAATATTATTATAATAAAGGAAAAAAGTTAAAAAGAAAAATATATAATAATTTAAAACTATAACCCTTATAATTAATTAAAAAAAGGTATAAAAGTTAAAAAAGCCTTATAAGGTTTTTAAAGGTTAATATATAACTATTTTAAAATAAAATTATTAAGCTTAATAATTTAATATAATATAAATTAATAATAAAATAAATAAAAAAAATATATATATTATTTTATAAAAAGAATTAAAATATAATATAAAATAAATAATATACCCTTTTTAAAAACTTAAAACTTATAAATTATAAGCTATTTATAACTTATATCTTAATAAAAGTATTAATTATTAAAAGAAATAATTATAAAAATATATATAAATGGTATAAAAATAAAAGAAGGAAAAAGAATACTTATAAAAATAATAAATATATAATATATTATAGCTATTATATATTATAGCATTTTAATTTTAAAAGCTTTATATTATAAATAGCAATTTAAAAGTAATATTAATAAAACTTTTACCCTTTATAATATTTTATTTTAAAGAATTTAATATTACTTCTATTTATTATTTTAATAGCTATAGATAATTTAATTTTTAAAAAGTTTTACTTTATTTATTTTATTTTAATAGGCGTCCTTTAAAACATTACCTTTATATTATTTAATATAACTATTTAATTTATCCTAAAGGGAGCTACCCTTAAAAGGAAGTTAATTAAAATTTATAGCATTAATTAATATAAGGATCGAAAGGAAGTGTTAAAAAGGGAAGGCAGTAATACTTACGTTCCACATATTAAAATGCTAGGAATCTATATATAAGACCTTTATCTAGCCAAATAACTATATTGTAACTTAGACTTCTAAATAATCTAATGGGATCACATGTACTACTCTTGACATGGCAAATCTTCATAACACCTAAATCCCTCAACAAATCAACGCCGGAGTAAACGCCGTTTCAGCCGTCGTAATTCTACATGATAAACATATAATCCAAGTTTCGTGAATAGTAGTTGCTGGGTATGCCTAAAGCCTATTGCCCGGCATCCACAAGACGGTGACGTCTCCTAGCCCCTTCCATGGCACTCCTCTCTATTGTTGGAGTACCCCCAGATCCTTGACAATCCAATCCACCGCTCGTAGAAGATATGACATCCCATCTTGTTATAGGCTCATCCATACCTGGCCACAAATCTGTTGGCAAATGATCTGCGACTTCTTGACGAAATAGATCTCGCTGCCGATTGTCCGCATCAATAAGTTTTTCGACGCTCTCTTTTGCTCTTCGCCATATACCTTGGATCTTTTCTTCCACACCTTTTCGTCGTTCGAATTCAAGGATAAGGTGGTCGTATGTGCCCGCATACTTCTCATAGAACACCCTCAGCTCTTCCATGTCTTCCATCTTGGCATGTATGGTCTCCTGTTCCTCTACCCATCTGTCTCGAAATTCGTTTTCTGCGGATATGTAGCTCTGGATTCGGGTTCCAATCTCTTCTAATGTGTGGAAGGCATCTAGTGTGCTGAAGTAACCACGCTTAATCTGAGTTGTGCGCTCGTCTAGGTTGGTATACTCAGCCTCTACTGCTTGAAGACGTTCATTCAACTCTTGTACTACGTCTTCCACTTCCGAAGAATCTTGTACAAGCACTTCTAGCATCTGCGCCCGATCTTCTGGCGACAATGGCTCCAGATCATGTGCGTGTGATTCTTGGTCAGTTATGACACCTGATATTGACACGTCATCTCCTCCCTGCGATTGGGTAACCTCGGCAGCCTTGATCCTAGCGAGGGCGGGGCCCCCCTCGGTCGTTCGTACGGCAGTAACACAAAGGTCAAAATGTTTTGTTAGGGAGGTAAGAAGCTCGGCCATTGCGTGAGAGTGGTCTACCATGGTGGTTACTAGATGTAGAAGCGGAGGGCCGCTTGACGATGCGGATGGGGATGTAGGCAAAGGAGCAGAGGATATGATAGCTCTGAGGCTGCGTAGGTCCGTTTCGAATTGGAGGAGGTCTCTATCAAAGGACTGCTGTGTAGTCTAGATAAATTAGCCTTGTGCAGGGTGATTGTGATTAAACAGCACCCAGTCCTCCCTAGCAGTGCATGGGCGAATAGTTACCTGCAATGCCTGAATGTTTTCTTTCAAGGCTTCCCTCATCCTATCTACTTGGGCCTCATCTACAAAATCGAGCAAGCTACGCTTCTCTTCGCCCGCTGGCCGAAAAGCACTGTCTACGCCCCGATCACGGAGGACGTTCATAGTGTCCTCTAGCCGGCTGTTGGTAGCGTCCAATGTCTTGATGATATGTTTGAACTCGCGCTTGCCGTCATCGTATGTGCGCATGAGATCTTTTCGAATGCGCAGAAGTAATCGCATTTGCTCGCTGATGCCGCGGCGAAGGAACTGGGTTTGGGCTTTTAGGATGACAGATTCCTCGTGTGCATGGCGGGCAACATGTACAAGCTCATTAGCACGCAGAACAAGCCCCATCGAGGACAGCGACCGCTTGGCATCAAGAAGATGCTGGACGAGAGACTCAACGGGGACGGAGTCGAGGTATGAAGGAGGCACATGAACAGATGCCGAGTGCGAGGCGGAATGGGAGGAGGCTGAACCTGTGGAAGCCATGGTGATAATGACAGCCCATGTATTGGCTACGGTCAATGTAGTCGATGATATCGATTAGCGAAGTAAGTATGGATGATGGGGGCAGCTCAACGCTGGATAGGTGCTGTATATCTACATTCTGGCCGATAGCCAAATGAAAGTTGAAGACAAGAAGAAATAATGAACAGAGAGTTGTGAGAGGTTGAGAAGTGAAGAGGCGGCTTGGAGAAAGATCATTGATTCGACATTGGGGGCGGTGCGTGAAGCTCTACATACCTACCTAGGTACCTAGCTCTACTTACTTTGTAGAGCTAGGATGATGCCATTAGATATGCACTGCAGGTACCTGAGGTACCTACCTACACCACTGTACGTAGTACCTCCAATGTACATAGATACATAGGTACATAAGTACATAGGGTGGTATGCTACCTTGGTAGGCTTAGCTGTTGTACTGGCCGCCTATGGATACACCAAAGGCACGTGCTGTGAGGGGCTATAAGGGGTCTACAGGTGCCATACATATGTACCTACCTACCCACTAGGTACGATATAGCTTCCGATTTGATAGATTTTAAAGGTACCTCGTTCCCCACACCCTGCCACACTTAAATTGGTACCGCTGTTCTGCGCTGGGAATGGCCTGTAACCCGCTAAATTAACAGCATCGTGCTCCATCCTCTCTATCTGGCACCTACGTAGGTACTTACAAACATCAACTCATTTAATAATTGATGTGGAATTAGTTTCCAACATATACGGGCGCCAATTCGATATCACCCAGGCAGCCAAGCTACTTCTCAATTGAAATAGGAGTCGCTCAACTTTATTAGAACTTTCAACCCATCTGGTACATCCTGATAGACGCTCGCCCGTAACCATGGTGTATCTGTCTCGACCCCCTTAATCATCAACGCTGCAGAAAGCGTGCCAAACATGAACGAGCTACAGAGAAAACCTACCGCCCAAACATCTGGAACCTCTCTAGAATCTTATGATCTTCTTGATGATTTGATTGATGATTACCTTGAACCATTTCCTGCTTTAGGCAAGACGTCTTCTGCTGTAGATGCCACCAACCAGCTTCAGATAGCTTCGAGTCCTTCCCATCAAGGCTCAAGACAATTTGCGCTTCGAGCACAAAAATCAACTCCTGTGCTCGTCTCAGGTGCCTCTCTTACCTCCGGGGCCTCTTCTCCTTCTGATGCAGAAGCTGGCGTATCGTCTAACTCAACATGGAAGACTGTCGTTGATGAGACGGTTTACTTTGCTGGGGGACTAATATCTCATCCCTATGAATCTACCAGGCATTTCAGCATCCTTCGCCACTCATCTGCGTTGGTGTACTACAAGGGTCCCTCAACGAGTGTCACGATCAGCGTGTTTGGGGACTCTCAGCTGCCCTCGGACCGGTCGTTTTGGATCCAGAGGAAGGGTTTCTCGGGAAATATTGGCATGGCCACGAGCGCTCTGATGAGGACAATGTCGAATTGGATCGATATCACGCCTTCTGTCGAGTCTCTGGCTTCAAGCGTTCCTGTCAGCGATGAGCGAGCGTGGCAGAGAGACATCAAGAAATTCCTCAAAAGAGCTTCAAAGGATAAGCGACTGTCCAAGCATGTATTACGGGAAACATGTGTTCTTCGCATCCCAGCCGTAGCCACGGATGGTTATTTACGAGTAGTCATGTGTACCGGGGAAAGCTCTAAGAAATCACTTTGTCCATCTCCCACTTTTCGACTTGCGAGCACCTCTTCCGATGTCAGTGTCATACGCGGTGCGAGCCTCACCACCTTACCCTTGGAAATCGGGCTGAAAGCCGCATCTGTGATTGGCAATCAGTATGTTCAGCGAGTTATGGGCCCTGCCCAAGCCGTCGTACAAAGTAAAATCAAATATATACAGCCAAATTTTGTGAAGAAGCATCCCGAGAAACTGGCGCTGGCGCGAGCTGGTATGAAAGATCAATTCGATAACTTTGAGGGAAACTTCGACGCTACACGAGATGTCTCGTACCGCTGCTTTCATGATGAGCATACTCTTGATGAACCGCCCGATGTTATTGGTAACGATTCTGGCCCCCAGAAGCCATTTCCTATCCAATTTGAAGGGAACATTGTGCCTGGAACTGGTCAAACTCGGGCTGCACCAACTGCCAACTTGTCTAATGTCCCTGAAGAGCTGCTGCTTCGTCTGGGCGGCATCTACATTGGTTGGGCGTCAATTGAGAAAAGTAAAGCCATCAATGAGAGTCTTCATAGCTGGCACGAAGCCATCATCACTATTGGGCCATCACCCTACGCATCACCAAAAGTCATTCCACGAAAGATGGCTACTGTGCATATCGTGTATGATTTTGGACACGGTACTACATTCTTCAACACCAAACTCAAAGTAATAGTGATGGTACCCTTAAGAGGTATCCCAAAACATTCGCAGTCGCCGGCCGAAATCCTGGCCGCTGTCTCTCGTGACAAGGAAATTGCACTCGCGAGCTTGAGTCGGGTAATGTGGCAGCCTGGTGCAAGTCTTGATATATTGTCTGCCGAGAAAGCCCAGAAAACAATCACAAATCGATATATAGAAATGCGGTCTCAAATACAGAGGCATGTTGATAGTGTTCCCGTACACCGAGTAGGGATTCGTACGAACAGGGCTGAGGCCAAAGACGAAGCTTACAGAACAGGCGGCTTCTATATACGGAGATAATGTTAACATCATTTTAAGATGGATTATAATTTTATACCCCTATAATATGCATTTTCTCAGTCCCTATTTAATTAAACTAGAGAAATATCGCTCTACCATTCATGACCTAGCATTCCTTCGCCCTTTGTCTATACCAGTAGTATCTCTCCTTCCACTCCCTCTCATTTGTGCCATTTTATCGTCTAGTATAAAACTCTCCCCCCCAAGCGTACCGAATCCTCTATGTCCATCTAGTTTTTGTAACCCTCGTCCATTCGTGGGGATGGCCATTTCCTCACCACCCGGTCATAACAATCTCCATACAAGTCTCCTTCTTGCTCGTTAGAGCGAGGGCCGGAACGCGTCATTGCTGGGTCTGGGCGTGATAACCTGTCATCGACCATGCTAACGACGGGGTCTCCCCAACCCAAGGAGAGGATTTTTCGAGATGACAATAGTGGGTAGCGTCTCGTTTTTCTGTGTTGTCGTGCGGCTTCTTTCTCGTGGGTTCGCATCGCTCTCTCGTAATATGTAGGGCGAGGTGCACCATACTTCCAACAGAAATATGCCATTGATATGAGAAGCGCTGCGGCAAAGAGGCACCCCAGTACTGTCCAAACGAGACTCAAACCTTCTAGAGGTTTGTCTGCTCCATTGGTCTGACCCCATGCATCATTGAACATGTTCTTCGTTCCGTGTAGAGATCGTTCTAAGTGGAAATTTCTCATGGTCACTGTCTCTAGGCGTTTGCCTGTGAATTGAAAAGAAGGTGGCATGGTTGATGAGCAAGATGCATGGCTCCTGAGCTGATTACGTACAAGGCTTCCAAAGCCTTGATGTGACAGCAATGCGAAAAGGATTTTGTTCGAGTGATTGAGGATCGTACATACGAGGTAAAACGAATTGGTTCTATCGTCCATGAAAAGGAACCAAGCACCTTTATTAGACTCGTATTCAAGTGACGTCTTCGCGCCATATTCTGCAGCGAGACAGGGAAATGGGATAAGGTTGCTGCATCTAATAATTATACAGGATCTGATTTCTAGACTGATATGTGTTTCGTTCTTATCTACCCGTATCGTGAGGTGGCTTGTCTGAATCTCTTGTAGAAGTGTGAGCAAACTTTAACTCCATCGAGGAGACGAAGTGTATCAAAAGGTAACTTCGGGTTCGGTGCCCGATGCTACAGCTACCTGTACACCTCGTATGGTGGTAAATTCCATGATGCTCTCTCTCATAGTGCATATTAAATTGATATATAGGTTCGCCTAGCTGGGCGTGTCTGTATAGAAATTCTCCTAATCTATGTCTGGCTTCAGCTATTAATAGCAACGACTCATCGAGCTCAATGCACGTAGGTCTAGATACGTGGTCCACGTATCACGGCGTATAAGGTTCCAAGAGCCCGTAAAGATCATTTAAATGCGGTTTTGCATCGGTCCGTCGCGCGCTCAAGGACATCCATCAATAGGGAGAGGACGCCGGTTATACAAGGCATCCCAGCGCCACATTGTACGATTACAGAAAACTGAATTGTGTCGAAATGAATGTGGGAGGGCTAGATGAGCCCAGACTCAAGACTCTACTGAGTTAGGGAACGTGTTTGTTTCTATGAATAGCCAACCAACCAGGTTCCCAGGCATAGCCAGAAAATGACTGCAATATTTTTGCAATATCTTCCGCCTCCGAAAGAATGCTTGCCACAGCATGGGGCGACATTCGATTCTTAGCAGTTCTGCCTTTTTTGTTCAGGAGATCTGAGGTAAGTGTGTTGCAGAAGTTAAGCCACTATGTCGCAACAGAGTTACAACTACTCCAACTGAGCACAGTCAACGTTGAGCCATCTCAAGGATAGGCGAACGAATTCGCAAATGGTGGCCTTTTCAGCTCAGCGGGATAACTACTTTCGGCGGAGGGTCAAACCAGGAAATACATGACGTCGGCTAAGACAGAAATGGCGACAGAACCGGGGAGTGGTTGTTGTCGTCCCATTTAGCCTGCGAGAGCAACTTCTTCCGCGTCTCTCTTTGGGAGGGTTAAGAGCTGGGCAGTATACCTAACCGCCGTGATGGGCGAGAAGCCGTTAATCTTATAAAGATGAGGATGGCAGCGGCTGTCTGGAAGTCGGCACCAGCGATAGATTATCGGGAAACCGCAATACCAGTCAGCTCACTCATTCGTTGAGCCGTTGATCACCTAGTTCCACTCATCGCATACCGCATTGTTCATCGCACACAAAATGTTCCGCCAAGCCCTCGTCTTCCTCGCGCTCGTTGCACTCAGTATCAGCACGCCCATTAGTCTCAACAGCGCCAGAGCAGCCAGTGGATGCGCGCGGGAAACGGGCGTCTATGATGTCTGCGATACTCTACACTCGTTCTTGAGGTGCCGGGGCTTTCGGCCGATGATGGCTTTTGACTGTGCACATGCGCCTAATCATTATTGCCTAATACAAAACGATAAGGGCAGCTGCAATGGTCTGCTTCCACCACCTCTCAATGGAACCGTTACCCATTAAGCGCTGTGGTCTGTCTAGCTAGAAGCCTTGAGGTTCAGCTACGACATTTCGCAAGGCGCGATACAAGGCGCAGGAGGGTGCGGCATGGTTCGGGTTGATAAGGAACATTTCACACTACCTATCGCTGTTGGTTGGCACTTTCGTGCATACAGTCGAGTGCGGGGAAATCATTGGGACTACACGAAAGCTTCTAGGATGGGTTGGAAAATATAGAATGGATTGTTCAAAAGGATGTTATCTGGCAGTTTAGAGACAACAGAGCTATAACTCCATCTAGTCCCCATAACACTTCTCTCCCTTAACTGACATAGCTGAATATAAACAACATCAGAGCATATTGTATTGTCCGGGATGCTATTGTGATGATTGCTAGGCATCTTACCATATTAGTTATAAAGAAATTGATCTAGCTTTTGGATCGTTATTAACAGCTTTAAGACCGCATTGAGCAGTCCAAGATGAGAGCTGCGGTAAGGTCGGTTCAGCCATGAGACTGTTGGAGAGGCGGGCATAAACGTGCAGAACCACAACCTGCCATTGGTGCTCGCCAACCGTTTCTCGGCGTCGAAAGCCTGCACTGTAACGGCGACACCAACACCGCACAGAGACTTGGCAGGGGTTTGGTGGTTGGTCATTTGGCACATCGCGATTAAGTCCCCTGACCCGCTCACGCCTATAACCTGCCAGCTTCCTAGAACAGCTTGGTAGGATGCAGACATCGTGACAATGGCCGCCGCTAACATCCAGATGTCCCATTGTCTCTCCACTCCCGGCTCAACATCACAAGGGGCCACGGCCAACTGCATGATACCAACATGTGAAAAGAACGAGAGCCTCCTGCCCAAGAGGCAGATAAGTGCTTATATACGCTGGGCATTAACCATGGTTTGGTTCCCGCCTCTCCTAGTCTCTTTGCCCGGCAGAGAACTATTACCGTAGGACAACTCTTCTTCACGGCCGAAAAGAATGCGGACAACCATTTTCGGATTTCTTACTGTCGGCGTGGCGCTTGTAAGTATCCCAGCTTCCCCCGGCAGCATATCACTAACTCTCTTCAAAGGCCACGCCAATTGCGCCAGGCCAGTCAGCGTCTCGGCCGGTGCCCAGGCCGATGAACCCTCCACTGTACCGTCCAGTGTCATCTAATTTCACAACCTCATCAGTCCCTTCAAACAAGACAGCCCTTGTGACTGATGACATCTCAAGCTGTTCAAATGTTTGGATGGCGATCCCCGACGTTACAATCGGGAGCGGCACGGATCGACGTACGGGTTTCACCACAGCCGTCAATAAGTTCTGTGATATGGCCCATGGAAGCACGGTTTCAAGCCAGGATTACCTTTCTATGGCCACTGAGGTATTCCTAAACGATGGCATGGACCCTACAAAGTACGGATTGTTGGGTTACATATACTGTGAGCAAGAGGACATGGATTTCCAAATACATGGTGAATTTCTCACATCAATTAGTCGAAATCCACAACAAGCTGGGCTCGGCTCATACAGTTGATGGTCAGTCGTCTTACCTTACTCATCTGCAATTTTGGCGCTCACAGTACCTAGCTACTTCTTGTAAGAGATATCTCGGAACGCTTTCTGCGACAGGGGGCCAGTGCTACGGAACCACCAATGGTGACACAAAAGGAGGAACATACCAAGTCGGAACGAATGGCATCAGCTATCATGCATTGGGCAACTCGGTGCCACCCAAGCAGGATGCCCTCAACAAGCTACTCAAGACGACAGTATTGGAGGCTCAGCGTGTCAACAAAGGGTCAGCTGCTCCGCTTAACCCATGGCCCTTGGACTCGCTCAACAGTGTTCTTCCAGCTTCATGCCATAGCCATAACGATTACGACCAAGATATTCCCGTCTTTGCGGCCTTGGCTGCTGGTTGTATTGGCATGGAGGCTGACGTGTGGTTACTCGCTGGAAGCCTCCTCTTAGGCCACCTTCTTCCAACTCTTGGGCGGACGTTTCAGGCTCAGTATGTTAACCCCCTCAAGGCGATAATTGACCACAACGGAGGATCAGTGTATAAAAGCCGGCCAGGCCAGACACTTGTTTTGCTCGTCGACTTTAAAACTAGCGATGATGGTACTCTAGACGCTGTCGTATCAGCGTTGGCGCCTCTTCGTCAAGCAGGATATCTAAGTAAGCTGGAAAATGGTGCTTTCACCAGAAAGGCAATCACTGTCGTGGCGAGCGGCAATGCGCCATTTAATCGTATAAAGTAAGCAATTGTGTTTGTTCGTCTCCTTGGTCTTCAGGCAACTTTGTCAGATATTGAGGCGCGCTCTCACGCTCCGGTACCTTGCCCTGGAGGCTCACCGCAGTTCAAAAGTGCCCCGAGATATGGTGGTCACTAACACTAAAATTGTAGTATCGGAGACGGAGTGCCTGAGCGTGATATCTTCTATGACGCCAACCTCGGTGCTTTAGGCGGCACGACTTATACAGCGCAGAACTCTTATGTTGCCTCTGCAGACTTCCAGGATGTTATCGGAAAAGTCAATTCAGCAACTCTGACTGCTGCTCAAATGAATACAATTACGAGCCATGTCAGCCAAGCCCATGCCAAAAGGCTAGTCGCTCGGTACTGTGAGTTTAGAAAACATCCTTATTGATAGTGCTGGGTCGGCCTAACATTGGCGATAGGGAATCTGCCTGGCGAGTATCTATGGGAGCCGCTAGAGGCACTAGGAGTCGACTTGCTCAATGCCGATGATCTGTCAAATACGGCTAGAGTTCCACGATTGTAGTAGGTTTGGGACGATGAAGACATGATATAAACGATGTATATAAGTTGATGGCATTCATGATCATGGGGGTATTAATAATGACTCATGCGAAAATGTCCTAAATTAGGTTGCTGCTTAGCAATATATGACAGGCAATTTTAGTGCGCGGTGATATGAGATCAAATGAGACATGTACAGATTCCCGCGGATCTTGAGAGCCGAAAATAACATTCCAATCCGATGTACGGAACGAATCACGACATAACTCTGTTCGAGCCATGTATAGGCAGCATCACGATTTGCGTTCAATGAATGCATTCAAGCTCAAACTCTGCTCACATAGTGAGGGGTACATATTTGCAGGTCATCATCTACAGTCACTTTACCGGTTTGCCCAATGTTCAGCCAATATCAGAATCACGAAGTGGATTTCTGCGCCAAAGCGAACTTATTGATTTCCATTCGTGGTAGGTCTCACTAAAACAGTTAATGATAGGCGGGTGTTGTAAGTAATACCGAGCTGAGAGCTCTTCTAGACTCTTCGGACAAGCTGTCTGAAAACTTAGTAATCGCTCTAGTAATCACCAAGTTGACCGCTCTCTATCCGCTCGCTATCTGTCCTTCTCTCTTTTCCCTTTCCCATTTGGGTTGGAGAGTTTGGTGCGCGCTGGTGGAGACCGAGAGCGGTGGACCGGGGATGTAACGCTGCCCGAGCCAAGATAAGAGAGAATTGCATGCTGCATTGTTCGTGCCAGGCGGCTGAGGAAAGGTTTTGTGAAACGGGCGCTGAAAGAGCTGTAGACTTGTTGATTTCCCTATTTCTCTCCGTTCGCTCCCCTTCCCTTACCTTTTTTCTTCCCGCGACCTCTTGAGAGTAGGCTGTGCCATGACTGTTGAAAAGTCGCCCGAGACGGTGGCGGCGTCTACTCCCATGGCTTCTTCTAAGGAAGCACACGAAGTTTCTCACAGTGTCGATGCAGAAATGTCCGACAGGACCAGAGATAGTGTCCCGGAAATCGAATCTGATAATGCTCTCGAAAGAAGCTTACGCCGCAAGGTCGACTTGCGCCTCTGCACGATTGCGGGTATTTTGTGCTCATTGAACTTGCTGGACTCGGGAGTCATTAGCTCGGCCGCGGTGACTTCATTGCCAATGGACTTGGATCTGACTGGGAATCGCTTCAGTATCGCCATTTTTATCTTCACAATTAGCTCGATTGCGTTCCAACTGCCGTCAACATTGGCCGTGCGTGCATTTGGTCCAAGGTGGTGGTTCTCTTTTATAACCTTCGCGTTTGGCGTTATCACCATGTCTACTGCTTTTATCCAGACTTGGCAGCAGGTTAGGTCCCTAAAGTCATTTATTCCCACCTTGGGCGGGTTTTAAGTCTCATTGCTGTAGCACACTCCTAAAACATGAGCTGAATCCTTTCCCTATCTGGCAATTACTGACTCCGGCATGTCATAGATGATCGCTCTTCGCGTGTTACTCGGCGCCGCGATGAGCGGTATTTACCCTGGCTTAACCTATCTGATATCAACGTGGTATCCGCGCCGAGAGCAGCAGACTCGCTTCGCATTCTTGCAGATGGGCGAGGTGACCATCTTGGCAACCGGTGGCATTGTCAACTTCGGTCTCAATCAACTAGACGGCAAAGGCGGAATCACCGGTTGGCGATACATGTTTCTAGTGCAAGGCCTCATTTCTATCGTTATCGGCTTGGTGACGTACTTCTGGATGGTTGACTTCCCCGAAAATGCGCATCGCTCGCTCTGGTTTCTTACCCCCGCAGAACAGGAGCTGGCTGTCGCCCGCATCAACGCGGATCGAAAGGATGTCGAGATCGATGAGTTCGCTTGGTCCAAGGTCTTTTCGCATGCTAGTGACTTCAAGATATATGGCTTCGCTGTCATGTTCTTTCTGCTCAACATCGTTTCCACGTCGTTGTCGTATTTTCTTCCTAGCATTTTGCAGGGCGGCCTGGGTTTCAGCGAAAATCAAGCCATCCTGCTTAATGCACCACCATACTATTATGCGGTGATACCAGTATTGCTGTCATCAATAGTTGGCGATAAGTACCGTCTCCGGGGCCCAGTCATTATCTTCAACTGCGTTACCTTGATCATTGGCTTTAGCCTGCTAGGTTTTGCCAAACAAGACGCTGTGCGATATTTCGGAACATTCCTAGCTACAGGTGCCTACGTTTCGAATTGGGCGGCTTTATCCGCGTATCAGGCCAACAATATTACCGGGCAATGGAAACGTGCCTTCACAGCAGCCACTGTGACAGCCTTAAACGGAGCCGGTGGCATAGCAGGCAGCTTCATTGTCAAGTCTCAAGAAGCACCGTGGTATCCCACCGCGATATGGGTCTCTATCGGGTCACACATTTTGATAATTGCCATCGTTTTGGCCTTCACCGTGTATTTCCATTTTGCAAATAAGCTGGCTGCGAGTGGCAAGATAGTACTCGAAGGGGTAGAAGGATTCAGATATACCATGTAGATTATTCTTGATGCATTTGTATATTATTAGGCTCTAATTGCAATGCTATCTATATACATCACTTCCAATTCTATGTTCTAATGTAGCAATGCTAATACTATATACAAAAACGCCTGTGGTGAATCTGGGTTAACTCGCCGCGACACTCACTCGGTCCTATGTATCACCAGCCAAACTTCTCTACTCGCAGATCTATGTTCATTCCCGACCGAACTTCTCGCGCACAGGTGTTTCTAACAGTCCTGTTTAGCCCATCGGGTCCCGAAACTACTACGCCAATATCAGCTACAGACGCGCGAGCAATTCCCGTAATATAGTTAGCGATATTCGGCCTGCCTACTTCGACTGTAGGTCGTGGGATAACAATTCTGACACCAGCTTGGCGCAGTTCATCTAATCGATCCGCTGACACCCACGACCGCTGAGACCTAGAATGGATTACCCACATGAGGTAGATTTCCCTTCTCCCCGGGTGTGTTATGGCTAGGTCCCAGAGCAGTGGAAAGACAACGGCTATACCGGAGCCGCCGGCGATGAGCACAGCTGTCTTACTTGCTCTGAGTGCGTTGAGCGGATCCTGGGAGCCATAGGGGCCATCGATTCTTACCGAGACCGTAGAGCTCAATCGTGCATGCCCAAGGAGTTCTGAAGTGAACCCGGAATATGCGCGAATCAAAAGATCGAGCTGGGCGCGTGTGGCGATGCCGCCAAGACCGGGGGCTGCGGATGCAATTGTGAAAGGGTGCGCCTGCAGAGCATTGCTCCCGCCAAGACTAGGGATTGATATAAATACATGGTCAGCCGGTAGCCATCCATGCGATATGTTCTGGCCAAAGACCCTCCATGGCGCTCTCTTCAGATCCTCAGGCGAAATGTCCCAGTTAGCGGAGAGTCGTACGGTGTCGCCATCTTCGAGAACCTCGACATCAGCCGTTACAGTCACTGATTTCATCCCTATACGCCACACGATTCGGTCTGAGACGAAGATCACCAATGAGGCAAGAACGTACGGCCGACTGGTGAAGAAGTGAAACCAGACAAACACAAGCGCAGCGATCTGCAGTACGACGTGAGAGGCGAGAAACAACTCATACCACCTCTCCCGAAAGCTTCTAAGTGACGTGAAGTACAGCAATTCATAAGACACAAATGCACCTATCCCCTCGAGAACCAGGGGGTGCGTGAAATAATGCCAGATGCTTTCGGTAGCGAGCCATTCAGGCTCCAGGCATAGCCTCCAGATAACCATGCCGACAAAGTGGACAAGCGCCTCGAAGCACATCCACTCACCCACTCGTCGATGGTAAATGTTAAGAGCCTCATAGGAATGGCCCGTGAGCCGCTTCAGTGGCTGATTCTTGGCCGCGAGGAGATATAGGAGAGGCATGTTGACGATAAATACAAAACCTGCGCGATCAGCAAAAGCGAAAAAATGCTTCGCTTCGAATGGAAGCTTATAAAGATGTGCGAAGATATTAAGGCCGTAATATCCGGCCACAACAATCGATGTTCCATTGGAGGGCAGGACACGGCCGAGGACGGGGCTTGGCTGGTACATCAGCAAGGAAGAAATAAAAGAAAAGATGCTGCGTTGCGGTCGTCGCCGGCTCCCAAGAAGTGGCTGGCGCTCAACATCAACATGGTCATGTTTGAAATGGATCAATCTAAGGTGGATGGGCTGGGGGAGCAGCGAACCCTCTAGGGTGCTGCTAGATGACGAATCGGCGCCATTTTCGCCGTCCTCGGCCGTCTCGGGAACGGCATTTCCGGCGGTGCTGGTGATGTCTCGCTCGATGTTTTTCCGCTTACGACGGTCAATAACATGCCTACAGACATGCGATACAGTGAGTAAGAATAAAATAAAAAGGAGGGCAATGTTATACGAGGCAGCGATGACACGCCCCTCTAAGATGTAGCGGATTAGATCCTGCACCCATTTCTGGTTCTCCGGGTCATCCAGACGACCCGATGTGTTGTTGCTGGAAGCAGACACAAGTTGAGATGTTCTGAGACTTTGGCGAAAGACGTCGCGTGCCCAGCCTCGGTGACCAGTGCCGATGTCTGGAAGCATTGCGAGGTCATCCAAGAAGGAAGTAGAGTAGATAGGTAGGGAGAATGGTCTAGGTATATTGTAGGTAGTCTCCTCGAGCGAGGAGTTAGGGATCTTATCAGATTGATAATCCAGAGTGGATCGACATCTCCGTGGGGGCGCCAATGCAACAACCAGGCAAGTACGAAGTACGAAGCTGACCGATCTCGCTGTTGGAGCGCTAAGAAGAACAAGGGGCCTGTAGCGTGTGCTACGCTGCACCAGTCTGCGCGCAGGATTTCCTCTTGCCGCTCATCAGGCGAGATGAACATTGCTCACATCCAGCGGCGAGTTGCCTGTGGAAAGACTGACCATTCTAAGCCGGTCCTTCTGGGCAGGCTCTAGACAGACATCAAGGGTCAAGGATTCATATTTGACGCGGTTAGTTTAGGTTTTTCGAATGCAACAACCCGTACCAGAGTCGGCAGAATATGTCAGCGGACCCAACACCCGAGGCCAGCGTGCAGCAGGATGCTGAAACACTATACGAGTATCATCAGCTGCACACGGATATCAATGAGAGGGCCGATGCCATCTTCTGTCTATGCAGCCTTGACACACGTGTCGCCGAGCGAGCCGCCCAGCTCTTTCTCTCTGGTTTCGGAGATCACCTCATCTTCTCTGGGGGCTCCGGCAAGCTTACCCATAACCGCTTCGACAAGCCCGAAGCCGAAGTCTTTGCAGATATCGCTCGCCGCATGGGTGTGCCCGAAACGAAGTTGATAATCGAGCCGCGCTCGACAAATACAGGCGAGAACGTTCGGTTCACGTATGCTTTACTTCAAGAAAAGCAGCTGTCTATAAGCTCCTTTATTCTCGTCCAAAAGCCTTACATGGAACGCAGGACATTTGCGACCTTTAAAAGGCAGTGGCCCGATTCCAGCACACAGATCCTCGTTACATCGCCACAACTTACCTGGAAGGAATATCCGAACGAGGACAACCCGGTAGATCTGGTCGTCAATATCGCAGTTGGTGACCTGATCCGAATTCGAGAGTACCCGGCCAAGGGCTTCCAAATTCCCCAGGAAATCCCAGACCGAGTCTGGGCAGCAGCAGAACGACTCATTCAGAGAGGATATAATAGCCATCTACCATAGTACATATGCTTTCTCCATGCTTCGCAAATCGCATCTTACCCTTCTATGTCTTCTTCAAGCCTGCCTCTCGTGCCAAGGACTCAAATTCATTGACCGTCTCCGCCATTACATCAACGTGCCACATGAATTCTCGCGTCTTCTTATCATTCCACTTGTCTGGGTTTGTACCACTTCCTATATTTGCGGCTCGAATTGAGTCATCTCTTCTTCTTTGCTCCTCGCCGTCTGGGAGATGCAAGGTATAGCCATTACTTGTCGCGCTAGCCTGAATCCACTCACTACGATGCTTTCTGATGAATTGGTACAATTCAAGGGCTAGTTCTATCCGATCCGTGCAAGTGAATGCCATCGCTAAGGTTCCTGCATCTTCCAATGCATTCGCTGCTCCTTGTGCGACATAAGGAAGCATATAATCTAAGACGATTATATTAGTATGGGAGATGGTAGTCGAGCAATACCAGCCGTGGAACGGCGCAGGCTGTGTGTACTAAGGAGAAAGTACAGACAAACAATCGGACTGACTCACGGCATGCATCACCGGCAAGGGCTATATGCCCTTTCACCCATGTCGGCAGAGGGGGCATGTTGTTCATGGGAGTTTCCAGGGCCCCTGAACCAGGTACGTGGCTGATTAACGCGTGGATTATGGGACACCACCCGCGATAGTATTTGATGATGTCCTCTTTTTTCGCACGTGTCGTCCAAGTTATTTTTTGTAATTGTTCACTCTCGGCTTTCCGTACGAGAACCACGTTGTATAGCGTGTTATTTCTCAGAGGATAAGCCACTACCAGCACCTGGAGTCAGCGATCGTCATTCCGACGTTCTTACCGCAAACAGGCTTGCGCAGATCCTTTTAAAAAAAAGAAAAAAAAAAGGGAAATAATGCCTTCAGAAACTTGCAGTCGTCATGCTCAAGTAGGAATTTGCTCCAAGGATCACTTACTGATATGTCCACCAGGTCCCATGTACCGCATACCATGATTCTTGCTCAGAAGAGCCATCGCTTTTTCATCGTGCTCAATCGCCTCCCGCGGCAGCAGAAACCTATATGCTAGCTCTCCAGCCGGAACGAGCTGGTCGTCGTGGCCGCTCGCTATAGCCATTTTCCTTCGCACAATCGAGTTCATTCCATCTGCCGCCAGGATGACATCGGCCGACATCCAGGTCTTGACACCACGGCTGCGTACGAGCAAACGTCTGACCGAGGAGGGGGTTAGCTCTGCCCAGTCAAATATTTGTCTCATGTAACAGTAAAGAGTGAGACACCCAGCAATCAGTGTTCGCTAGGAATAAGGAGTATGAGGTTGGCATACTGTATGCCAGTTAGTGTCAGCCGGTGCTCGATTCACCATCAGGAAATCCGTCCCAGGTGCAGATTTCAGTGCTCACCGGCAAGAATTTCTTGTCTATATCGACCACCTCGTGGTCTTCTAAAATTTTGCACCCGCAATCTATTGCGGCGTCTAGAAGAATACGCTGTAAATCAGCTCTATGAATGACCGCCAGTGGCGCGCCGAAGTTCTCCTCGATATCCGGTACCAAAGGCACAGAGCCTAGCTCCTCATCGTCTTTCCATCGCCTGACCCCACGTTAACGGATTGATCTGATGACCAAAGCTGGAATGCTTTTATCCGCACTTACCTCAAGCTGTTTCTTTCAAGTACTGTGGCATACTTCATAACCTCGCCGAGAACGCCGAATCTCCGTAGGATACGAGATGCATTTGGCGGAATTTGAATTCCAGCTCCAACTTCGGTGATCTCGTGCCTTCTTTCCAGGATTCCTTCGCTCTAAGTCAGATTCAAAGATCATGCTGGAACTCCAACACATCGATCCAACCAAGACGAGAGTGTCCGCTCTCCGATATAAAAGAGAGGCAAGATAAAGGAATAACACGTACGAACATCGTGGCCTGTCTTCCTCATGCACAATCCAATAGCCAGGCCACCAATGCCGGCCCCGACCACAATAATCGAGTATGGTCTCGAAGCTCGCCTTTCCGAAAAAGTCGAGTCGTTATGTTTCTCATCCATCTTGTTCCCGATTGTCTATCGTCATTCCATTCTGGTTCAAACTCAAAGGCAAAGGGATCTTGGAGATTACGTTCCTTTTATTTAAGCAGGTAGGTGTTCTACATAGGTTTATATACAAGTATTATTTGAGTCACGCATCGTTGAGACCTAAGTCCTATAACCATGTTTGCCCGGCCAGTTTGCCTTTCCATTACTAGCGTAGAGGACATCTCGTAAGCACAATGAGGCGCTTACGCAGCATTCAGAGGTCACCTGCTATTCCCGGGCATCTTTTAATAGTTCATAGCTTCGGATGGTGCCACTGGGTTTGTCCATTCTCTCTACTCCCTTAGGATACGACAAAGCCATATACCTGTTTCGCGGCTCCTTGCCTTTTACGTACCTAATGATGCAACCAGGCTGATAGTCCCTACGAATGTGACGCGGGGGTCGTGGCATGACGGGTAGGTATGTGAATGCCAAGAGCCACTTGGAATCCCTCGGGGGCCCTTTACCGTCCCCCAAATCACGACCACACTCGACTGTTTTTACAGTATATGCCTGATCCGAGGCAGCTGAATCACCAACTTCCTGCTATGCTCGCTTATACCGACCCTAGCAAGACATTGTTGTAGCGAGGGTTGTCTCTTCATTGGCGCCTTTAGTACAGCAGGGTTTCATTGTAAATCCTAGTGTTTCCACGGCACGGCCCACTAGTGCCGCGAAAGCAAGAAAATGTTCGATATTCGGGACATTGGCTTGAATGAGCTTACTCCCTCACGACTAATGAAGTATCGGAAATATTACAGTGTAGTGGTGTGAACTATATTGGCTACATATAAAGCATCCGGTACAGTGGGATCTGCGTAGCATAGACCTCCAGTTAAGGCTTACAGGCGTCAGCCGCCTTTGCGACGCCAGTCAGCCATGTATTGTGTATTGATACTGTATTGACACTTCTATTGTGTGTATCCGTGTATACACACACGCGCTTCTGCGGCACTTTGTAGATACGCCCGTGTCTTCGGCCACCGGAATGCGCATGCCAAGCAGATAATAAGGAGGATTCGAATAACATAGCCTAGATAGCTGAAAACTAATCACATAATCTTAGGTCATTGAAAAGATAACCACACAGCCTAGGTATTGTATGTCAGCTTTGAAATGTGATCGGGGCACTCAGCCCAGCTGGGATGCCTGCAACCCCAAGAGGATCATACGAGCTACCGGTGCATCATGAATTCGCCCTCTGCAAACCATGGCTGTCAATCATCTTCGGCTCTAATGCGGGGCATTATTGACCCGCCGCCAGTTTACATCTTATGTTCAGAGAACATAGCTTTAAGTACAGAGTAGGTTCAGCATGCAGGACTGTTAGGCCTCTTTTGTTCAGAATAAGTGACATATGAGTTAATTGTATTAGACATGACAACACATCTCCGATCAACGTCATAGTATTCTAGATGATGTAGAAAGACTGAGGTAGGATCTATAACTCATACTCATTCCAATAATCATACCTCCTTGCTACTGTGCAGTGTGTAGGGGCTTCACTTAGATACTTACCATGTTCAACAACCTGTTCTTTCATCGTAGATTATATGCTGGTTCCCAGCCATATAATACACACCAATAGCGGACTTTGTTCTTATATGCGCTGTATTCGGGCTCAGTCTCCAAGGTTGGGAGAATGTTTCAGGTTTTAATATCTAGCTCTGTAGCCTTTATATATACTTCAGGCACAAGATAAGCGGTTCCAATTGGTTTGGAACATCAATTTATCGACGCAATATCGCTCCTGATATCCGAACTCTCTTTCCTAATAACATCTACCACGTGATTCACATTCTGGGTCCAGTATTGAACATGTCAAATCTAGATGGTAGCGAGATATAGAGTGCGTAGCCGGAATGTGACTGAGCATGTACGCAAGCAGATATAGTGAACCGTGGCGCACTATCCATGTTCGGAGGATCTTATAGATGAACTTGAGGAGAACTCCCCTCGAGATTTTTGAGCATAAACAGTAAATCTGCGCTTGTCAGCATTTTGCAGACATGAAGTGTGCCGAGCGGCTGGTAGTGAGGATAATCCTTACAATGTCAGGTAAGCATGTACGTGGTCGGCGTCTGCTAACTCTTTGAGAACTTCTGCTAGAAGTGATTTAACAGCCTCTGGTGTCCAGCCCAATGCTTCGGTAAAAATAGGCATAGACATTGGTTCAAGGATCTTGCTAACATTCAAGTTCATCATAGATCCGAGTCTCTGAAGGCTTTTTCCTGGTGGCCATGGGTTCATTGGGACTATTGCAGTGAATTAGTCGGCAATTGTTTGAACAGGGGTGTCGCTCGCGGCACAGGGTCAGCGATCACCAACGCCGAAGCCAATGTAGAGACACGTTAAGTTCTGCTAACGATAGCACTAACCTGCATACTTTCTCTCAGTCACGTTTTTAAATCCCACTTCAGTAAGTAGGGATCTGTATTGTAGTGGGAAATGTACGGATCTCCCAAGTTCCAGTAGGCCTGGAAGCATATTAGAGACGAATGCTTCTTGATTTCCGAATACTCACCTGAATTCCAGCAGCTCATCCACTTATGAACAGATATAGAAGTCGAGGAACCTTGAGTAAACTGGACCGAAATAATCCACTCAGTAAACTCTGCCCACTAGACGCTTGTTAGCTTCCTGTCCCCCGAAATATTGCTTTAGACTTGATTTCTGTGAGAAGTGCAGTCTTTGAAGCAGATGAAAGAATGGACTCACCCCCCCTGGACTGAGGGTTTCATATATTGATGTCACGACATCCTTCTTCGGCAACCGGCCGTAATGCCGTAGATGAATAAAATCGAACTTGACGTCGTACGACCACTCCTTATTGAAGTCCGTCACTTCGAACCGGCAATTCGGTAAACTGAAAGAGGACTTTACAGGATCGATGTCTATACCAAGGACTATTGCATTGGGGTTCCTCCTGGCTGGTCGTCTATGAGTTACGATACGTGGTGGCATATGACTCTGTGCGACTCTGGTGTCTTCTTACCAAACTCTAACGCCCAATCACCAGGGCCACAGCCCAGATCCAAGACTCGACGGGCATTGTTTACCGGTGCTTGATGTAATTTTCCGTCAAAAGTCTCCAAGCAAATGTTGTGTTGAAGGGCTGGGCCAATTTAGCTTCAAGGTTCGGCGTGTAACCAGTGTAAGCAATAAAGACCTACTGTTTCTATCCTTTTCTTGCTAATCAACGCGCATATCGTTAAGTTGTGGCCATTCTCCTGAGGGTTCACGCCAACTTACCGCGTCGTTTGGTAGAAGATCGTAACCTGGGACGATAATGTTCGTTTCATCAAGCCAAAAGCAAGAGAGGAACAGTACTCACGTTTATTGTAAGACCGGCCGAATCTCTGCAGTATCGCCTTGATTTTACGGGCGGTGCTGCCCGATGTTGAAGGGGTCGTTCTGTGTAGCCCGGGCTCAGTATCTTGATCATGGAGATAGTGCTTGGCCTCGCTCACCTTTTCAAGGTGGTATCGCACCCACTATCATCGGAGTCTGAAGGTGGCCAGAACTCATTCGGTTCAAGGTTGAGATCGTCAATATCTAAGCTGGTCTGCGATTTGTCAACCTGGCACTGAACCTGAACTGATCAAAGTTCGAGACTCGGCGTGTGCCAAACTCTCACTTACAACAGCTCTGCTACTATAATAGCTTTGACGGTTCGGGTTCCATTCTGGTATAATTCCTGATTGACTTGATGTTGAAGAGGTTGGCGGGCGGGTACCTTCACGCCGGCTCGACGCTTGTAGCTCCGTCTGTGAGTATACAGCGAGTGTCGATGAGATTGGCTGCAGCGCGAATTCACTTGTGTTGGACTTCCTCGAGTCAGACATATCTCATTGGGTGTAGGCCACGCCGAAATGTGCGCACCGCTGCCGGCCTAATTTCCGTCCTAATACTTTAGCTGTCTGATCGTTCAGCATACCATAGGCAATAAGGCTCGTGTTATATTGAATGCGAAGGGCCTAGGATTCGATGCGGGCAAAGTCGGGTTTCGTGTCCCCCTCCAAGTAATAGACGTCGTTAAATGCGGAAGGGGAACACAGAAGCAGTCACGAAGACGGAGAAAGCAAGCATAGCGTGCCGCACTACCTATTATCGTCATCGCCTCCTTTCCTACGATCAAGTTCTACATAGTACACCCTACCTGTACCACTATAGTACTGTCGCTCTTTTCTCATGCCGGTCCTTGTAGGTGGGCCTGACAGAGAAGACTATGCCATAATAGACTACCTACTCACTGTAAGATCCGGTGACGGCTGAACACAGCCCACGCCACCTAATCACAAATAGTATTGGTGCGACGAGGCGGCGTGCTAAGTGAGGACAGGTCTGGACAGGCATTTGAGGGTATAGGATCTGCATACCGTCACACACACTTGCTGTTTTGATCTTGGTATTGTTCATTATTATATATATTGCGCTGGTCGTACAGGTTCTGTACAGGTGGTCCGATGACTCCCCAACCCATATATATCCCTTTAAGGCCCACGAGCGCTCCAACACCTTCAAGACCCAGTTTTTTTACCCCCTAACCCACACCACCCTTGTTTTTAAAAGGTAACATCATTAATACGTAGCACTCCCATACCTACTTTAATTGCAACTCGCTCTTCAATCAACCAACAAAATAGCTTCATTTAAAATAGTTATACTACTAGAAAGCCCTAATTCAGCGCTATCTACAGGTTATTTTAATTTTTCTAGATTTTAAGGGGAATAATGCTATAAGACCTAGCGAAACTAAAGGTAGATAAAGGTACGCTTAAGCCTAATATACCCCCTTCCACCCACTTAAGTAACCCTAAAATCTTCAAACCTTTTAACCTTCCGCTACAATTAATAAAGGTTAATAGCCTTTTAAATATAATAATTAATCTTTTTAAAGCCTTCTTACCGCCTTAGCTTATAGCTAAATAGGTTAAAAATAATAATTTAAACATTATAAAGATTTATTACTTCCTTAACTACCTAATTTATATAGCTCTATACCTTAAAAGCAATATATATATATATTAGGAATAAAGTAACCTTTAGCTAAAGTATATTCTTCCTTTATTTATTAGTAAAAACCGCTTTTTTAAATTATATTATTACTTTATCTTTTAAAACCTTAAAGGTTTAAATCTAAACCTTTTAAAAGCTTTTTTAAAGGTTTTTAAAGCTTTTAAAGTAATTAAAAAAGCTAGCAAACAGCTAATTAACCTTCTTTTATCCCTTACTTTCGATAAAGGAATAATAGCCTTTATAGGTTGTTCAATTATTACAACCTTAATTAAAGGTAAACTAAACCCTTTAAGCTTTAAAATCTAGGCTATTAATATATAAAGCTATATTATTAATTAGTTATAATATATAAACTATTAAAAGCTTATTAATCTATTAATTTTAAACGTAAAGCTTTTAAAAAACGCTTTAAAAGTTAAAAAATAGCTAAAATAGCTTAATCTAATATAACATATAATTATTAAACTATTATAAAAGCTTCCATAATAAATATACCATCTTTTTTATAATAATCTTTTTACTTTAATAAAGCTATTAAAGTATTTTAAAAATTATATAAGCTATAAAATAATAACTATTATTAAAAATTATATAGATTTTTTTAAAAGCTTTATTAAAGTTAAAAAAAGGGATAAAAAAAAGACTTACTAATTTAAAATAGCCTTTAATTTAAAGCTATAAAAAACAGCAAAATATAGCAATTTCTATATAAAGGCAATATTGCCTACTTATTTACATTAACAGTATATTTAAACAATAAAGTCAACTTTTTCACCTTTAAAAAACGCTTAAATATTAAATTTAAAAAGACTTATTTTAATAAAGATAAAGCTAAATTAATTACCTTACCTATTATTATTTATAATTATAATAAATTTAAAGCTAAAATTAATACAATTAATTAATTATAAATATATAACTTTTAAAATTATAAAATTTATAAAAGCTATAAAAAGTATATATTCCTTTAATTTATCCTTTAATTAATTATTTATAATACCTTTTTATTATAAAAGTGGTTTTAAAATATAGCTTAAAAGCTATATAATAACTAATAGCTTTAAAAATAAGTTATAATAGAAGCTATCTTTAAAAAATATAGCTTTAAATTATAAGCTAATTAATAAAGCTTTTTAAATAAAAATAGCTTTAAAATTAAGCCTTTAAGTTATTAATTAATTAAATGGAATAGAAAAGGAAATTATAAGGCCTATAAAGGCTTTTTGATTAATAGTTAAAAACGTATTATTTTTAAATAATATTAATAATAATATTAGTAAAAAACGGTTTTAAATAATTTATAGCTATAATAAATATAATGTAGCACTTTATAATAACGATCATTATAGTTATATCTAGCATAGGTAAAATTAGTATAGGAATAGAAGTAACTATTATTTTAGCTATTCTTATTAGCTATAGGGGTTTAACTAATGCCTTGGCAGGCTTTGGAGCGCTCGTAGGCCTTAAAGGAATATACTATATATACCTGGCTCGCCTTCTTACAGAACCAGGCGAGCAGGTTCGTTAGCTGTAGGTACCCGAACTTGTAGTACCGTGGACTGGGGACCTCTCCATTGATCGACGGGGGTCTCCGGCAAATAGCAAATCAGCGCGGAGTAAATTTCTTTTTGGGTAGTTTTTGCTGTCTTTCCTTGTCAGCACCCTTGGCGACAACGTACTACCAAGTATGTAGGTAGTATAAATGCTGGTATAGGACCGAAGTTTGAAACAAGACATACATTCTACGTCATATAACAATACCGCACAGGGCTTGTGATTCGACAACTCGCTCTGGTATTATTCTAATACGATAGGGGTGGGACACGCGATCTTCCTAAAAACTTTTCCGCTAACATACGAAGTACACTACCTACTTCTTCATTGAGCTCTGCGAGCCCTGAAACATCCTTAGCGCCCTCGTCCCACCGTACATAGCGCTGGCAGCATATGCAAAATTATATCTCTATAGATTCAAGCTGCCCAACGGACTTAGCTACGATGGACTGCTTTTGGGGGTTGAGGTGAAATAAGTACCGTTGCCAGCAAGTTATCATTCTCCGCGCCTTTATAAAGCTATGTAGCGTGCAATAGGAGAAGTTACGTAGTTCATCCCATACGTCGCCGACCAAACTGAATTTACAAACCTATCATCCAAACCCGCTGCTCGCCACAGGTGTGCCAAACAGTTCTTACCAATGCAATACCTAGTCTACCATATTGTTAGTAACACTTTCAGTAGGCAGTCTAACTACCTAGCTTCTACCGTTGTTTACGATAACTTAAGGGCGTCCCAATTCTGATGATACAATCACCGCGGAACATGCTCCACGCGACCAAGAACATAAAAACCCCCGCTGCAGAATCAAAGGGTTCATCAAGTCGTGTGGAAAACTGCTTCTATATGTTTCTTGCAGCACCAGCCCACGACTGACGACCTTTTCTGGCTTCAAAAGAAGTTATTGTCATTTCTGAAGATTGATACTTACCTACCTACCTACATACCTAGGTACCTAATCTTTATTCATTCGCTGGCTGCTGACGATAGTACTTGCCCCAAATCATGTTCATACTTAAAGGTATTCCAATAGATTGAAGGATGTGTAATGAACCTTGGTACCTAGCACGTACCGTATACTTAAAGTAACCCCTCTCCCCCACAATAGGGTCAAGGCTATTATATAATGGCGGGGTAGGGCAGACAGTAAGCAGAGGTAGGACACGCCATCATCATCGACACCATCATCGTTCCAGGGGACCAGGTACCGAAGTTACCGGTAGTGTAGGTACTTAGCGTACCGGTAGCATCTCTCGAGATACCTACACAACCCATTCCTTGGATTTGTACCCAAACACCAACCCACGCTCTCCTTGACCTGCTTGGAGAGACCGAGAAGGATATTCGGCTCACCAACATAGGAAGTCGGCAGACAGAATGCAGTCTGGCATATCAGGTGAGGAGTCGCTCTGGGCTCTCAGCTCTCTATCCAGTTCGATGCCCTATGGCAGCCTCCATTCCACCGGGGTGAAGCGAACAAACGCCTCGCTTACCAAAGCCAACGCGCCTGCTTGTAGCTTCGAAGGAGCTCGTCTCCCAGTTCAACAACCTCCTCTCCGACAGTTCGCAATTCGGCCTCCTCGCCACCATCTCCTCGGAAGCCATTACACCGCTGGCCTCCCTACCCCGCTCTGCGTCCGACTTCAATGCCAATCTCGATTCATTGAGGCCCTACCTCAAACCCGACGAGCCTGTTTACATCTTTCTTCGACGCTATGACACTACGCCGTTCCTCGTCGCCGTCACGTACGTCCCTGATTCCGCCAAGGTGCGGCAGAAGATGCTCTTTGCTTCGACACGCCTTGCCCTCGTGCGCGAACTCGGGTCTGAACACTTCCGCGAGACTATCCTTGCCTCGACTGCCGACGAGCTGAGTCCTGCCGGCTTCGACAGACATGATAAGCATACAGTCTTAGATGCACCCTTGACGGAAGAGGAGCGTACCTTGGGCGAGGTGAAGCGCGTCGAGGCCGAAGCTGGCACAGGCACCGGCGTACGCGAAATCCACCTCAGCTCGACCATGAACATGCCCGTCAAGGCCGATGCCTTGGCAGCATTGTCAGAGCTAGGCCGGGGCGATGGACGCGCTTTGGTAATGCTGGTCAGTTCCCTTTGACGTCCCCTGGCCTCTGCGATGCAGTGGTATTTAGGTTCTATGGAATTTGTGACCCATCTAACTCGACCGTGTCACAGAAAATTAATTCCGAAGACGAATCTATTGAGCTTGTCCCCGATGCCTCGAAACCTGTATCCATTGTTGAAGCAACACAGGCTATCTCTACTTCGGAACCTAGGTTTACATTCTTTCGCTATCGCTCCTCCCGTGCCGGCGCCGATGACAAAGGGGTCCTGCTCTTCTTCTATACTAACCCAGCGACGCCCGGCACCAAGGCTATCAAGAACCGCATGATTTATCCACTACAGAAGAGGGCCGTACTGACCCTGGCTGAGACAGAATGTGGATGTATTGTGGAGAAGAAGTTTGAAGTCGAGGATCCCAGCGAGATTACTGAAGAACTTGTTTTAGAAGAGCTGTTCCCCAAAGTAGAGACGAAGACGGCCTTCAGGAGGCCAAAGAGACCCGGTCGGTGAGCAACAGTCAACAGTTGATGTGATTTTGTGGCAAGATTCATACCATTATTCACTTGGTAAGCGAGCACCGTTGAAAGTATCTACAATTATATTGTAAAGGGATAGAGAAAACTCGGAAGGAGGAAACCGAAAGGTCAACTTCTACTTTATAACTCCTCACTTACATGAGTCCCGATGAAAAATGTCGCCTCCCACAATGCGAATGCCGTTTATGGACACGATTTATACAAACATATACAACCAGTCTCACACATCGCCCTGCCCAACTCCAAACTATCAACGTTGGTAGTTGCTCCCTGTCAATGGCAACGGTCGGCTGTTCTCCAGTTTATCTTTCAGAAATTCGTACACTGTGAACGTAACAGCCTGGCCAGGTGCGACACGCATGATCCGGGGCGTGATACCTTTGTAGAAAGCATGGAAACCCTCTTGTCTATAACACATGACTCAGTTAGCAACTCAAAACCAACATGCTACCAAGTCATAGCTATGAAGATGTTCGAAACCTGGTGTGCAATCACAAAACTTACTTGAACATATCTGCGGCAATAGCAGTGATCCTCTTGAACGCACTGACACCTGGCTCCGCAGGCGTTTTCTGCAATCGTGTCTTGATGGTGTCGATGGGTGCATTACTTAAGGGGCCCATGGCGCCACTGACGAGGCCAATGAGTGTTGTCTGCCAGGTAGGTAAGGCTGCGTTGTCGGGCTGTCTACGCAAAAGCGCCTCCTTGAAGTAGGTGTATGCGGTGAAGTTGACAGCTTGGTTGGAGCCTTGACGTAGGGCCGTGAGACTCACACCACGGTATAAGGCACCAAACCCTTCTTCTTTGACAACTGTGTACAGAGCGTGGGCAGCGTTGCGGTACTTGGGAACATCAAGAGGATCTGCCATACTATGGTGCTGTGCCTGCAGACGAATCTTGATAACCTCCATGGGCGTGACGACAGCCACCGCCTCAGTCACACCGGCCGCAAGTCCAGCTAGGAATGTACTGGATCCCGAAACGACACCGGTCTTCTTGTCTGCGAGAAGCTGCTTGTACGCTTCGAACGATGTAAATCGGATCGCCATTTTAGGCACGATACCTGTCAACACTGCGCCCAATCCCTTATACAATCCTAAGGGTGTCTCACGTCGCACGATTTCGGCGCCCGTCTTGATGAATCCGCGTGATGGCGCCCCTGGTTGACGCGCACGCCGTGAGAGTTGCATGCGCACTTTTATCGTATCTATAGCCACGCGGGTATAGTGTCAGTTGAAGACATTTGCGCCTAGAGCCTCCGGCATAATCATGTCGTGACCAAGGGGCTTGGGAATCTGCCTACCAAGAGGATGACACACGAGAGCCTCCATCATGCCTGCACCTCCACCAGCTACAAATCCACGACGTTAGCAAAGTGTTCGTTAAGGCCGGCCTTCCCACCTCTACGCAAGGCCACACCACAGGGAGTAGTTTTCCAGTGTTTCGATACTCACCGATCAGGTTAGTCGCCGCAGACGGCGGCGTCTTCCCATCTTTACCACCTAGTTTGCTCGACATGGTCAATTCGAAGCTCTATTAACTTGGGCTTGCGCCCTTTGTAGCGCCTTTTGTACTGAATCCCAACTAGTGGAAATGCCCACACTTTTCTATCCCGCTTTCCGGTATATATATAACGCGTAAATTACGTTAGGATCACAGCACGGAACAGATCCAACAAGCTTTGTCTTAGCCTTGCAACGATTTGCTACGTCAAGGACACTTAATCAAGTGAAACAGCCAAAATGCCACGTGCAATTCCACCCGACGATGACTTAACTATATCGCACGGATTCCGATCAGGTCGGCAAATTCGGTAGGTCGTGAAGAGGTAGGTACGTATGCGGCTCAAGGGTAATAAAACCACCCAAACTCTGGAACAGAATAAAAAATATGGCGTCTAGAACAAAGAAGGCTTTGTCAAGGGGTACCGAAAATATGAGGGCAAAGGTGGGCATTCGACATAAGAAGAGCGAGCTTCCCAGGAACATCATATCCCGAGGCCGAGATCTATATAGTAATAGGAGCTAGGGGTCCTTCGGAGTCATAACCACGCCAAGGATGTCTAGACGAGCTTCAGTCACGCGCCCACGCCTCTCCATGTGCCGGGCTAGAGGCTTTCCTCCGATATAGTACTACAGACAAAGGCCATAGCTCCGCGGCTTCACGCAGTGTGGGGACAAAGGGGACGAGAAGCCACGAGCGAATGAACGAACTAGTTTAAGGAAGAACCCGAGGAGCAAGAAAAGGACCAGCGAGCTAGACATCTGATTTGCCTAGACAGTCTAGTGTGTTTTATTTTAACTTTTACTCACCACCCCGGGTCCAAGATACAATACCTGGATAGTGGAGAAAACGAGCATGTCATCTGTGGTCGGGCGGTAGGTGCCTATGGAGAGAGACAATGAACAAAGAGTCAAGGGAGCACCAAGCCGGATATGCTCGATCCTTGCCTTTTCCAGGGCTAGGCGCCGAGGTATCTGGTCTCATTGCGATGCGGCTTTTACATGTATGTACCAGGTATTCTTTCTGGGCTCCCCGGTGGACCTAGTTAGAGTGTTATTTTCATGGGCCTAAAGTGATACTTGCTAGACATCCAACACGGGTGGCCGGAAGTGACTATGCGAGGAATTTCCGGCGAACCGGAGCTCTAGAGTTTAGCACGTCGGGCCCTGGGGCTTTGTAATTATTCAATCTGTTGATTCCAAGCCCATTCATTCCCTTACTGTGAACCCATCCACTGCCCTTCTGAAGAAGGTAGCATACGAGTTCTGATCAAGGCCCGTGATTGCCATGATCCCAACCGCAGGACAAATGTATTCGAGTTGTGAAATAGGTCCTGTTCCGTGGTTTCTTTGTGGTCGATGATAGCCGGGTGACGTCGTTCCTATTGAGCTGCTAGGCCGAAGCCGGGTTAGATTGTGGAGGCTTAACCGACAGACAGCCGAGCTTGTGATTTTGCGGGGTGAGCTGAGACTACATGTACCTACATGGAGACAGACAATAAAGAGGGGGAGCTGAGCTAGCCAGCTTCGATTCCTCCACCGCGAACACCCCTGGCTGGCGTTCTCTACATTTTACAATACTTTATTCTATACTACCTGTTGCTTTGTCTACGATGGAGATTCTATATACCCTAGTATATTGAAGAGACATGATAAGGAGACCATGCATACGCTGTACTCACGTTAGGTATGAGACTTTCATCTACTTGACCTTGTAAATCCAAGAACTTGAATAAAGAACATCCGAGACTGAAGCCAGAGATGATTCTTATTACGTCGATGCAAGGTACATAAACTCATGGCCTTCAACCGCGGGCTAAGATACATGTCTATCTGTAGCCGTTGATGAAATCGGAAGTTTTAGGATTGCCGTCATTGCGAAAGATCTACACAATGACGTGGGTATGCACTTTCACATGTGATTTATTTTTTTCAAAACGAGTCAGTGTTCTAGAGAGCAAGATGCCCCAACTATGTCTATTGCGATACGATTTACGACACGTGTTCACCAAATTGGTACACGAGGAGAGCCAGACACTATTTTGGCAAACAAGTTCTTTTCTAATTCATTAAACCATTGCCATCTTGAACGGCATACAACGATGTACAAACGCCTGGGCTTCAAGAAACGCTAGTACCTGTTCTAGCTGAAGCTATGCATGTCATCATTATATGCACCCGAGCCTTTTGTCGTATTCCCCAGTATGTGTGACGCCCCAAAAATGGAAATAAAGAAAGGGTATATTCGGCGCTTTAGATGAGATTCGAGAAATGGACTGAACAACCAGTAACCTGACCGACGCGGTGAAACGGTTACTGTGAAAAAGGAATTTTAGGATGGCGTACCCCTTTCGAGACATTCTCCTGGCTCGCCCTCAAAGCTATACAGGCGCACATCTCCGTCTTCGCCGCCGCTCGCAAAACGGCTGTCACTGAGTCCGACGCAGGTCACGGGCCCGCTGTGACCAGTGAAAGTGCGTTCACACTTGCCTGTTCGTGGGTCCCAAACTTTCACTGTTAGAGGTTAGCAACACTCAAATCCATACGTTTAGAAACGGGCCACGCTTACCAGTCGCGTCATTAGCTCCAGAGACGTAACGGAGCGTGTCGACCGCGAGACCCCAAACGCCTTCGACATGTCCCCAGAAACAACGAGGGCTCTTCCCGGTAGCAGTATCCCACAGCCGTAGCGTCAAGTCCAAGGATCCCGTAAGCATATATCGAGGGGGTAATGGTCGTTCTGGATCGTTCAGAAAAATTGGACCATATGCTGCTCGTTCCTCTGCTTGATGGTTGGAGCAGTGTGGACTTGGCGATGTAACTGGTGTGACACTGCGGTTACTAGCCGCAGAGGAAGCATCAGCGTCGCGAGCACTCTCGTCCTCAAACTCGAAATCATCAGGCAGAGCCAGGACTTGTTGTACTTGTCCAACATGGCCTTCATACGTCTTGATGCACGTTCTAGAGTCTAGATCCCATAACTTGACAGTGCAATCGTCCGATGCCGATAACAGGGTACGAGACGTCATATCCAATCGAACATGGTTAACCCAGTCGGTGTGACCCCGCAGAGAAAATGACTGCTGAGTCTTGAAGTCGAATATTTTGATAGATCTGTCCATGGACCCAGAAGCCAGGTAGTCGCCTTCCATGTGTACCGTGATGACGCCGCCTTGGTGATTGAGCGTATTGATGCAGACGCCAGTCCTCCAGTTCCAGATCTTGACAGTACTGTCCAAGCTTCCACTAACAAGCATCCGGTCGTCAAATTGGAGAGCCCGAATACCCATCGTGTGGCCTTGCAGAGTCCGGACAACTTCGCCTTTCTCGATGTTCCAGATCTTGATGGTGGCATCATACGAGCCAGTAGCAAGCATATTATCGTCAAATTGGAGACACGTAACTCCATTGGCATGGCCACTGAAAGTTTTGATAGTACAGCGGCCTTTTTGCCAATTTGATCCGACCTTGAAACGGTCTCGATACACGTCCTTCCATGGTCTGAACTTCCTTTTGAGGCCCGTATCGGGATTGCAATCAACCCTCTCCTCCGTACAACGGCGCTTGGGCTGTCCTTCATCTTCACTAGTTTCTGCAGCACGTTTTGTGGCGGTCGAAGTCGGAAGGGTGTCATCGACAGCCATTATGGCGGGCGTCGGAGGAAGCGCGAGTTGGTGCTGTGTTTTCCACTCTCTCAATCGCTTCTTCTCTAGCCTAGGCAGACCCCATTGGCATTTTTCACACTTTCGCCCAATGTGTTGCTCACACATGCGGTGCCATACTAGGTCGTCTCCGGACAAAGCATTCCATCGGCGATTGACCTGGGCTGCTTTACAAAGAGAGGAGCAGTCCAGGTAACAAAGAATTTTCAACGAAAGTTCCGTTGGTAGCGCTGACATGAAATCAATTTTGAGTTGCTCGTGTACCTCTCGTGAGACTGCAGAAAGCTGGGGGAAGCAACATTGGGTAATGATACCCTGTAGCATTAGCTCTCGGTGCTTAGTAGGAGCCGCAGAAAACAATGACCAAACATTGGTGATGGCTTGGCGATCTGCTGCAGGCAATGTTTCGAGGTCCTATAATATCGAGTTAGCATATTGTGTCACAAACAGCCTAATGCCGAGCAGTCAAAACTGAACATACTCTTTGGATAAGTCCCATTTTCGTTTCATCGGCAGCCCGACGACACTTGGAATCTGGGCGATGTCTGTAACAATACTTGCTGTTTGGGTCTTTATTCTTCAGGTTTGCCATCGATGGGAGATCTGGTTTGCCTATGGGAGCATATAGAGTAGGAATATGCTCGCGGAGGAACGGAGTGAGAGATTGGCTCATGGATTGCTGAGAAATGTTGGGCAAGCGGGAGGCATCCTCCCCTGGTCTCCTCCTGTCGCAATTCTCTCGTGACGGCTTCATGCTCGACTCTTCTGCGGCTTTTGGCGGAAGTTTCGAATGGGGTTGCGGTTGCTGTGTGCGTGCACCGGGTGAAAAGGCTGACTTCTGATGCAAATGCACGTGTGAGTTATCGTCTGGGAGACGAACGGGATTGGCGTGCCACGGTAAAGGCACCAAAGGATGTGCTGCTGGCAGAGACACTAGGCTTTCCATTTCGACCAAAACAGTAGACAGATAAGAGGACGGCCCATGGAGTTGTGGAAAAGGAGGCCGACGGGAACTTAGAACGAGATATTCCAGAGTTGGGCCAGGAGGTGAAATGACGGTGTGACGGTTGATCGAGGAAGGATGGCGTGCTATTTCTGAGACGGTTTTGAGGTGTACACGTGGAGGGCGAGTCTGGGCGAATGATGCGACTAGTCACGAACGAGCAGCTGGTATTAGAAGAGGCTCGGCCCAAATAGACTTGAATTAGAATGATCAAGGGTCTTCTTTGCCTCTCGAAACATCCCTGTCCAAGATATCTTCAGCCGAGCCGCAAGTGGGAATTGCGCGGCGATTGGGCCAACGAATGAATGCACTGAAGAGACGAGACAGCGCGGCGGGAAATAACTCGACAGCTCGACTGCTTGGGTAGACTCGTCAGCTAGACTGGCAACACAGCATCGGGTTACAAGAATGGGAGCAAAGGGAGAGAGAATTGCGAGATTGGTGGAGTTGAGCTGCTTTGGGGCGAGAATTGCGACATCGCTGACTGGCTTGCACCGAGATCCCACTCCCGCTCAGTGTCCCGCTGCAAGATTTGCCCCACCACGGCTGTCGGGGGGGCAGATCCCCAGTCAGTCCCCAGTCAGGTCCCACGCACGGGCGCTATACTGCATTTGCTGCTGGCGCTAGGCGGCTTGACAGGTCGATCCTACCTACAGTACATACCTAACTAACTAGTACCTATGTACATGCCTACATATCTGCATACCTACCTACACATATTAGTACTTGAGGCACGGGCATCCACGCTGTTCATATGCAAGTCTTAAAGACATGCAATTCAATCGTGGGGTCCTTACACAGGTACATTACCTACCTAGGTAATGACTACCGGTATGGGTTTTCCACAACAGCATATGCATGTACACACATGGCCTAGAGTACATTCTGTGGGGCGTTTCCTACATACTTAAGGTAGGTACCTACGGTACTAGGCATGTACTAAACATGCATACTACTGTAAGTAGGCACCTACTATATAAGTCAGCTACCGTATTGCCTCCGCTTTGCCTACCGTACTCCATTCCTCCCACAAAACACGGACCTGGACGTCTGAAAGGGTTGTAATTACTCCAATATGCTTTGCCATTCATAGCACTGGAGCCACCAGCAGCTGGCAATATCTGAATCCTATCAGTTTCTATTCTGAATACCAACTACTGATCACCTACCTACAGGGACCTCGTCAGCCTTGTCAAAGCTGCGTACATCTGCCGGGGGCGGCGCAATAGCAGGTGACTCTGCGCAAACTTTGTGTAATCCCGATAGCCGCGCAACCGGTCGGCTATCTGCCCGCAACAGAGGCGGGTGTCAGACGGGTGCCTTACTATTTTCCGCTACCCGCTATGGGAGCACGTGATTGGATATTATGTAATTCTTAACCCCTTCTCTGCCCTTCCCCGGATTCCAAGGATTCTCGTTACGTACCAGCTATTTGGGAAGTGCGACCCTACCTACTGTGGATGGCCGGAGTACCTAAGTTTAGGTACTAAGTACGAGGTAGGCAAACAACACTCAAAGAGGGCGTCCGCTGATTCAAAGCGCATTATTGCCAAAGGCCCCTCTACTCGGGAGCTACGAAATAATGGGATAAGATGACGAGATACCGATGACGAGATACCGGCAACTATTCGTGATAAGGCGACTTTGGGAAGCATTTACTGGCAGCACCCAAGTTCGTTTAAGCACCTTGGAGGCACTTATGTACCCCGTATACATACCTACATACATACCTTAGCGCGCCAGGGGGGGGTAGGAAATTTATGTTAGATATTCTCTGGAATGAACTCACTATGTTTAGCCCATTTGGCTGACACACAGCTGTTTAGATTAAAAGTATACCTACATTAAATTATGTTAGCATTCTGACAGTATTTTTATTAGAAATGACTTTATTTCGAAAATCGTGTTCATTTTCCAACATGATTCCAACATGGTGTTGAACATCATGTTCTATAGCCCCCTACAGTCCCTACCTACAGCCCCTACAGCCCCTACAGCCCCTACAGCCAGTCAGTACAGCCAGTCAGTACAGCCAGTACAGCCGTAGCCGTACAGACCTAGCCGTACAGACCTAGCCGTAGACTTCGAACTTAGTCAAATTTCAGACCTACCTGCTATACAGACCTAGCCATACAGACCTAGCCATACAGCCAGCCAATCCAATCCATAGCCAGCTTCAAGGATAATCGCTGCAGGGATCAATTCAATCCAATCTACCACCACCACCACCACCACCTCGTAGCCCAACAGGGCACCCTGAAGGCTAGGAAACCTATCGCAATCGCTTCGTAGTTCGGGACTTTAACGGAAGGTTTCGTAGCCTTCGTCAAATACCGTAGGGGAAAAGGATTAAATAAATATTAAGCTATACAATAGTTATCCGTTAAACATAGTCATACATTAAAAATACATTTCATTTAACATATGTTCAACTTAAAAATGTAATTTAAAGTAAAAGGTATATTAAAAATATAAGGCTTTCTATATTAAAAGCAAAGTACCTATTATATTTCGCTATAGCTAGCTTTATATAGCTGTATTAGGTTGTTAGGACCTAATAACCTAGCTGTGACCATTTTCCTACCCCCCCTTGGCGCGCTAAGGTAAGTACCGACCTAGGTACTATACCTTAGGTACACTAATTAACCACCTACCTACCTAGCCCACTTGGTAGGTAAGTCGGTGCCCTAAATCCCCGTATCTAACTTGCCCAGGTGAAGCAACCACCAAGGTCGTTGTCCCATGTGCTCATCATTCGGCTCTGTTCATGACTGTACCTGAGCAGCTTCAAAGGTCTTGATGTCCAAGGCAAAATTAGTCATCCTCATCTTCTTCACCGTCATAGTGACTGGCGAGACTGGGTTCGAGAGGGTGATAACCACGTCCCATGCCGATACTGCGTTACGTCAGGATTTCCTATCACAAGTAACAAATTATGGCAGGACTAATGCTTCATCCACCACCTCGCTAATATACACTTTGGTGCGATATCTGATCGTATGCAGCACCGACAAGGCCGACAGAATCTGATCGAGTGACTATGCTGAAAGAGTTGGACCAGAGACCCTGATCCTTAGGGAGCGAAGACTCGCACCATAGTCGATTGCCTCCAAGAACCGTTGAATGCGGTTCACGAAAGAGTTGTTTGTCTCGTCCGACAGGGGTCCTAGATTTAGTTTGAGGTTCTTGGCGAACTCCCAACACTACAATTTGCCACTTGTAGTTGATGCCTTCGACTATGGGTTGAGCCACACATGACACAGCTGCATCCCTTGGGCTCGTATTGTACGATAAGTACTGCTTCTTTCGTGTGCTCCTCTCTCTAAGGGCCTTGGTTTAGCCAGACAAAGGTATTTTGACATAGACAAGTCAAATAAAAAGATTCACAAAAGCATTGCAGTCTCATAGTCTACAACTTCGTTGAACAAGCTTTTCGATCAAGCTAAGTAGGAACAATGGGATTGTATAATAAAAATAAGTTTACTTAGCGCAATAGCGGTTCTAGACCTTTTTTTTATAAAAAAAAACAATCTGATTATCAGTTAGACGAGGGCTTCACAGAACGACATCTCAGGTAAGCTGACCTTTGCTGTAACAGCAACACTCTTATTTCAAAGGCTAAAATACCACGAAAAGGTGAAAGAGGTGAACATCATCTAAGACATTATCGGATTGGACGTAACCATGTCACCAGATCGAGTCCCTAGTAATCGAGTTCCGCCTCGCCCGAAGACGCCTACAGACTACGTCCCTACGCCGATTCGTGCAAAAATAACCCCCTCAGAGACTTTCAGCCACCTCGTGAATAAGAAACAGAGATCCGCCAGAGTGCACGCGCTTGCTAAAGAGCGACTCACAAGTTCTAGGCCAACCACGCCTCGGACCCCTACTACCGTAAACTCCATTATCAAGTCCGCAAGAACCAGCCGGTCCGCTCTCAGTTCCGCAGGCAGAAATATAGCGTCCAGCCTTTCAAAGGCAAAGCCGGTGGTGGAAACAGCAGTCGCAGCCAGCAAGAAGGCTGCCGTCACAACTGCAAATCGCTTGACAAGAATGGCAACTGATGTGCCGAAAGTGGCCAAGCAGAAGGGAAAGGAGGTCGATGTATTGTCGACTCCATCTAGCTCATCATCGCAAAAATCACTGTATCATCGACCTAGGCTGCCCAAGCTCAAGATCCCCGAAGTTGATGCTGCAGTAAGAGACGCGTTAAATAGTGCATGTTCAACTGATACACAGAACAGCGAGAACTTTCGAATACTCCAAATTTCGCCCACGAGCCGAGAGCTCGAGTATGAATGGCAGAACGATGATAACCCACCTGACGTTGCTGCAGAGTTTCACAACATGTTAAGCGCACGCCGCAGAGTTCGTAAAGGTAAGTTTGGATCGAGGGTCACAAGATATTGCCGGGAGCGGCCAACCTGGCAAGACAGTTTCGTTGCCAGAGCCCATCTCGATAACCACGAGGATAGGGCGCTGTTGAAAGAGCTTACAGACGCTGTCCAGGAACAAAAGGATTACGCCGCCCGCCTAGTACAGAGAATCCCAGATCGTTTCCCCGGGCTCGAGGCTGTATCTGTGCCGGGGTCAACATTAAAATTATACTGGCAACACAAAAGCACATGGCCTAAGCAGTAAGGGCTCATGGGAATGATGGTCCATTCAGTTAATGATAGAACTGGCCGGTTCCAGGGGTCAAATATGGTCAAGTATGCGTACTCACTACTAATATAGATCTAGACTGTGATTTTGTGTCTAATCGACACAAATCTCTTTTGTTTGTTTTTTTTGATCTTTCTGCTGTGTACTTCTCAGATGCTCATGGCATGTCATATTGCCTATTTATGTTTCCTACTTGAGCAAGCCAGCTGCTCCCATTAGTCAATTGGTGGAAAACCACTGTAATTGAGATTGAATACAAAAGGATAATCATCATTAATTGAGGGCGATGAGATGCGCGCACTCCATGACGGGTTTAATGACCCCGCAATCCACAGAAGACACGGAGGTGATACAGCCGAGTTGTCACGCTGTTTAGGTCGTTAGTTTCACAAGGCACTCTTACCCGTCTGTGTAGAGCTCAAGAAACCATGTGATTGGATGACTTGGAAACACTTCATCGCATGCTGGGACACAGGCGGCTTGGCTTCACGTCAACAGTCGTTATACCAAGCCGGGTACCCCGGGTTGCCTGAATGAAAGTCGTTCTAGGCCATACAGGTGTAACAGCTGATCAGCAATAGCAATTAGCTGTGTCTAACACAATGAAACCAGGACAGATCACATATTCGGATTGGACAGCTGTCGTTTTCTGATTGTATCGAGCGTAGACTATCTTATGTTTCAACCAAACTCTACTGCATACGAGAGCTCGTGACCAGCTTGTGACCAAAATCAACTCAATCCACTGTTGTCTGCTCACTAGGTACCATGTCTAGCCGGGGTAGCAAGCATTGGACACCCCTTAGGTCTAGGCGCACTCGAAAATACCGAAGTGCCACCATTCTAATAGCTTGTAGTCTCTTCATAGTTTGGACACTGACGCACCTCTGGGGTTTGCCAGGATCGCACTTCAGCAAGTTACAGCAATATATGAATGGCCAACCATTGCGTCAACAGATTGCCAGCAAGAGCAGTTTCGATTGGAGTCAAGTCCCATACAAATACCCGCCTGGGCCTCTTACACCGTTGCCCACTGGCCGTCCCAAATCATTCCCTAACGTCCAATTCCGCCACAAAGCTGGTAATGCAGAACATGAGAGGCTTCGGAAGTCGAGGCAGCGCAAAGTTCTGGCGACGTTCATTGGCGACTGGGAAGCGTACAAGAAGTATGCCTGGTTGAAAGACGCACTAAAGCCGATCTCAGGGGGGTTCCATGATCAATTTAGCGGCTGGGCCGCGACCCTTGTTGATTCGCTCGACACGCTTTGGATCATGAGCCTCCGCGCTGAGTTTGATGAGGCTGTCGAAGCTGTTGCGCAGATTGACTTTGGCCAGTCAACTTCATTTAGAGTGAACATTTTCGAAACCAACATTAGGTACCTGGGCGGCTTGATCGCTGCTTATGATTTGAGCAAGCGGGAGGTGTTGCTGGCCAAAGCAATAGAGCTTGGTGATCTCATATATGCAGGCTTTAATACCAAAAATCGAATGCCTGTAGATTTCATTGACTTCAATGTTGCAAAGACTGGGGAGGGTTTGATAGTGGAGGGCTCGGTGGTTTCTGCTTCACCAGGAACACTATCCCTCGAGCTCACACGGCTATCGCAGATTACTGGTGATCCGAAATATTACGATGCGATCTCTCGAGTCATGGACGTGTTTTACCAAGGCCAGCAGAGATCCCGGCTTCCTGGTTTATGGCCGACATTCGTCTCCATGAGTGAACAGAATGTGACATTCGGTGACGAGTTTACCCTAGCTGGTAGTGCGGACAGCTTATATGAATACCTGCCCAAAATGCATGCTCTTCTGGGTGGCCTGGAGCCAAAATACGAGGAGATGAGTAGAAGATTTCTAGAGGCAGCTAAGGCCTTGATTTTCAGGCCGATGATTCCCACAAACGAAGCAATACTCATCCCAAGCAGCGGGAAAGTCGCTGGAGATGGCAACGTTATATTGGACCAAGAGACAGAGCATTTAGGATGCTATATCGGTGGTGTCTATGCCCTTGCTGGCAAACTACTCGGTGAAGAGGGCTATATCGACACTGGCTCAAGACTCACTCGCGGATGTGTTTACGGATACAGATCATTTCCCACCGGTATAATGCCCGAGCGGCTGAATATGTTAGCTTGCGAATCCATTGAGAAGTGCGAGTGGGATGAGACCAAATTCAATAAAGAGAGATCTAAACAGCACGAATGTCAGTCATCTGCTTAATTCCAAGCTACTAAATAAGTGACTAAGTTTATCTAGGGAAGGAACATTTGCCCCTCGGGTTCACTACCGCAAAGGACCCTCGTTACCTCCTGAGACCAGAGGCTATAGAGAGTGTTTTCATTATGTACCGAGTGACAGGGAATCCGATATGGCAGGAATATGGCTGGGACATGTTCAACGCCATCGTCAACGGTACACGCACAGGCCTAGGTACACACGCATCGGTCAAGGACGTGACCCGGAAAACCCCAACCTTGACGCAGGAAGATTACATGGAGGTACGTAGCAGCTTGGCTTGAATGAACTGACTAACGCTCAATCCAGAGTTTTTGGTTTGCAGAAACACTCAAGTACTTCTATCTGCTATTCTCTTCTCCAGATATCATCAGTCTAGACGACTTTGTTTTGAACACTGAGGCTCACCCATTCTTACGATGTAAATAATTTCATACTAAAAGTGAGGAGGTTGTATATAAATTGTTCATTTCTAATCGTTCTATCACTCTGTTGATATGTGTCTGCGATATTTTCTGAAACGTCGATAAGTTCTCCTCACATTACATCATCCCTAAGCAGTAGCGATTGAAACCTGCCTACGTCTTCTTTGAAACCTCTCTCCTATTTCCATCAGTAAAAAAACCAAAATGTAACCCGATACCGGATCACGCAATTATTGTTGGAGATTGCGGGGTCCTAGATAATGACGACTTCGAAAACGACCGCTGCCTATGTCTAGTAGGACTTTCGCGAAGGACCAAAATCTTGCGTCAAAAAGAAGAAAAGAGAATCATACACAGAATGACTACAGCAACCGTCACTTCTACGGGGTTACAGGCTCTGGCACCTCCCGGCCAGCCAGATATTTCGTATCATCCAGATCATGAAAAGTGGCAGGCTCGCATCGCACGTCGACAACGAGAAGGCAATTTGCCAACATCTATCCCCAAGGGCTTTCCAGGAAAGCTTACTGGTGATTTGGTTTGGGATGGGGAGACGATAGCGGACAATTACGACTGGACTTTTGTGTTTAGCACTGAACACCTGGCCGAGATTGACCGGGCAGTAGCTCATTTCAAAGGTATGCGAAGGCATGGACATCTGATATGACCAGTACTGAACACGATAACTAGGACTCAACAAGCCTCTGGGAGCCATCAGTCAGGAGACGTTTCCCTTGCCGACGCTGCACACACAGCTCCGCGGACTGTCGGCAGAGCTACACAGCGGCCACGGCTTCTTCGTGCTGCGGGGGCTAGATGTAGACAAGTATACACGCGAGGAGAACGTCATTATATACGCCGGTGTTTCCTCGCATGTAGCGTCTGTGCGTGGACGCCAGGATCACCAGTTCAACGGCGAGAAGGCCGATGTCACCCTGACACATATCAAAGACTTGACGTGGTCACACGATAGTAAGTTAATAGGCAGTCCAGCCTACACGACAGACAAGCAGGTGTTTCACACAGATCGTGGAGACATCGTATCGCTATTTGCGCTCGAGACGTCGGCTTCCGGGGGCGCCAGTAAACTCGCAAGTACCTGGCGAGTGTACAACGAGATAGCAGCCACTCGACCAGATCTCATTCACACGCTATCAGAGAACTGGCAAATGGAGATGTGAGTCGAGCTATCGCGCTATAATCAGAACATCTGTCATTATTCAAACAGCGTGAATACTGCTGACAGATCCCCGTAATCATATAGATTTGAGAAGGCCGACGCGCCGTTCGTGGAGAGACCGCGTATGTTGCCCCTTGAGTCATTTTTTCCCCTTTCTATTTTAGGTGTTTGTAGAGGCTTTACTAGTCTCTAAAAGCCATACACACCCCTCGGGAGTATCCATGGCTCCCACAGCCTAGTCTAGCTTTACCTAATAGCGCAATTGCTAACTCGAGCGAGTTGTAGTAATATTCCACTTCCCAGCGACGAAATCCACACCCGAGCGTCTCGCCCTCGAGTATGCTCGTCGTTACTTCGTCGGCTTCGGGGCGTTGCCTCGTAATCCAGCTATTCCGCCAATCACCGAGGCGCAGGCAGAAGCTCTCGACACCCTGCATTATCTCGGCGAGAGGTTCTGTGTAAACACGGACTTTCAGAAGGGAGATATTCAATATATAAACAACTTGGCGATCTTCCATGCACGAGACGGCTTCACAGACACGCCTGACAAACGGTATGTTACGCTAAGTCGCAATTCCTTTCTTTTATGTTGGTATGTACTGATAGTATTTCGCCTGTAGTCGGCATTTGTTGCGTCTCTGGTTACGTGATGCTGAAAATGCCTGGGAGACCCCGCGGGCTCTTCAACCGCAGTGGGATCGGCTCTACAAGGGTATTACTGTAGAGAATGAAGTGCTTCCGCTCGAGCCGTATATCCGTAGCAGCGCAGGCCATAGGCCCCGTTGAGCACATAAGTCACCCAAAACTTAGCTTGGAATTCGTGTCTACTGCTCAATATGGTGTCGTGCTGCGGAGAAGCGAACAGCAGGTGGATTGGGGTCTGTCTATTTGTGTATTGTGATTTGTTCTCTACATTTACATGAAATATATATTGCAAACTTTGTGAAAACTATTCAAGCCGAACAAAAACGCCCTTCTAGTGTTGTTGCTTCTTGTAATAAGGTGCTGTTGTACCGGACCTAATCAAGAAGAATCTCGTAGTGATCTGTTGCAACGCGAACCGGTTCATCGCGGTTACCGTATTTCCGCCGAACCAGCTCGAAGATAATCAGACCTGCGCTGGTGCTTGGGACTTGGCGAATCGTGGTCCACCAGAAGCCTCGATATAACATACGTACTACTCCTTTGCCTTCCGATGCAGCCTCTGAGGCGCATTGCGCCCATGTTTCTTGGTATGCGCGATAGTATGCCCTTAGCATCCTGAATCTCCGCTTTGACTTATCGGGAGTAGATATTCTGACTTTCTGTGCCTTTGCATCGAGATCTTCCAAATGGTCCCAGTGCTTGTTCTGCACATAGGTCAATGGGTGGAGGAGGACTTGTTGGGCGAATGATGCTCCAACGCCAGCAAACAACAAAAACATAGGCTCAATAGCATAGTGAGGTCGGATGACAAGAGGTTTGTTCTCATCTTGAGAAGTTGGGCGTTTTCGCGCGAGGATGTCAACCATATCCCGATTGAGCCCGCTGTAATACCAGGTAATAAACTTGTAGTAACCTTGCGCTTTCACATATTCGAATGTGCTGAAGAAGATGGCGCTGCCAAAGCTGTCTTTTATAAATGACAAGCCCCACCCAGCAAAAACGCCTCGCACGCCGATCTCGCGCAACTTCTCAGCAGAAAATGACCATATACTCCTTGGTTTACCACCGGTTCCTTGAACAAGATCCCGGTGGTCGTACCTAGCCTGTATGGCATCTAGGGGAGCGGCAACTAGACTCTGAATGCTCCCAGCCAGGAAACCCGCAGTAAAAGTATGAATGGGGTCTGGTGGTGGAAACACACGACGGGTTGACCTCGAACTTTCTTCATGAAGTGCCCCAAGGACTTGCAAATAGCTGGTGTATAGGAGAGCACCGACGCTAACATTAGCTATCAGGGGCGGTAGAATCTGTTCTGGAACGACACTCCAGCCATGCTGCCGAATCACGGTCGTAAGTAGTCCCGGCGTTGTGCCACGGGCCCATTGCCAGGCTTGTTTAAATGCCAAGCCAAGCCGGGATGACGTGTGGTCGTTAGCGACGGCTTTTACAAGGAGTTCTGTTTGGGCCTGATGGACACTTCTGGCATAGGCGAGATAGTCAACGCGCGTCCGGAAGAAGGCCTTCACGGGAGCTCTAAAATAAAAGGCGATGGCCTGAGCGCTCAGTGCACGAACACCAGCAGCTGATGCGGCTGTTGCAGCATTCTTCCTCGACGGGTTCTCGAGAGCACCATCTGGTGGCACGACTGGAAGGACGCCTCTATATAGGTTGTTATGTTGGCTCAAGCGGACTCCGTCATCACGGCCCGACGGCATTGTTTTTCCAGGTCATTTCGAGGTCGTGATACCGTTTGGTGCAGACTAGCTACAAACTAAAGATTGGTTGGACCTTGCGCTTGCGAAGGAGATCTGCCTAAAGACCGCACGAGGTATTTCCTGCGCCACAAATCCATAATATTTACCAAACAGGCGGGTCCGGTACCCGTCCATAGTAGTAGACTTGAGCCACCCTCGTTATATGCATACTGCCTGATAAGGGATATTGCCAGGTGCCCATGCATCTTTCGTCGCCCTGAGGTTCGTGATACACCGTTTACCTACTTAAGCATACAGTATACAGCAAAAACCCACCGGACCTATCTTTGCAAGCAATTCAGTTTCGCGTCTACTTATACTCGGCGGCATTTACCACATGATGATCTATCATAGGTACCTTCACACCGAGCTAAGCTGTTAAATTGGCACGAGCTAGTCGTGGCAAAGGCTTTGAATACCTTAAAAGGGACTCTGCAAGATATCGTGGCTACCTAGGGTCTGTTTTGGTACAGCCACTTCCTACCTTGTTTCAATACGGCCCGCCCTTCTTCCTGGTAATCAGCTATTGTACCTTACCTACGGTCTGACGCAGGTTAGAATCGGTCGGCAGTGTGTTATAGGATGCGCGTAGAAACGAGCAGCACTCGCGTTCAATAGCTAATACACGTTGCCGCCCGAGCGCAAGGACTGGATAGAGTTTTTCGAGATGATGGAGGATCTGTTGGTGTTAAACACGCCTACACCCATGGATTATGGCGGTTGACGACATGCGGCCCAGTCACGCTTCGGTACATATCTAGAATCGAGCACTCGCTGTTCTAGGGGGTGTGTCGATGGGCTTGAGGTTAATTAAGGACTCCTTGATGTGATACACAGTTTTGGCCATCTGCCAGATGACTCAAGGTATTGTAATCCACTGTGAATCACTGATCCTCACATTGACCTTGTCCCGGTGAGGGCTGTTTTGAAGCCCGGCGGAGTACTCCAACATCGCATTACTTCACGTTGGTCGACTGCGATAATGTATGGAATCTGTATGACGGAGTCAGAGTGATGATCTGAGCAGATATTTCTTGTTGCGAAAAGGTGAGGTATTAAGCATCGTCGCCTTTACTTCATCAGGTCTTGAACTGAATTGCAACAATAGAGTGCAGGGAATGTGTGACGTGATTGAAGATCTAATGGGATCATCATGGGATGAGCAAAAGAAATTTCATCTGTGACCCCGAGTAAAGAGGCCGAATCTTGCGCCGATCCATAGCACCTCATGTTGATTTCGGTCTCAGAAAATTCACTTCACAAATGTATTCACAACATGGCGAGTGTTTACTACATTCCAAGGGCCAACCATTCATGTTCTAAATGGGAAAACCCCAAGACAACTTCTACCAGCTATTGAAACTAGTAACAAGACATGATTTATGTCATCTTGAGTCAATCTAATATCTAATAGACGATCAAGGGATCTCATTCTTGTCGGGAAGGGATGATCGCGCACACGCGTCGTGTACAAATAGCTGACCAGCTTCTGCAATTGGCTATCAGTTCTCGTCTCCTCAAAGTTCGTTCATCTATCTTCTACAACTTGCAGTGTCGGCCCTTGTGTTGCGTATTCTATCAAATCCTCCATCCCCGACGCAAGAGAAGCTTTACAGAAATCATGCAGTCGATTATTGTTTCTTTTGCTGCGATTCTGGCTGCCACCACAATTGCCGGTCAGTTGCAAGATCTCTATCATATTTCGTCTCCTTTTCTACCATTCGAAGCGATATGCTTCTTTCATTTGGAATGAATGCATCGCTCAATGTAGACTTAGCAAGCTGACTTTGACTGCCGCAGTGCCCGTTGCGATGATGAAGCCGAGACAGATCGGCGATAATTCATCTCCTGTCGACATGGTCCTTTCGCAAGTTGGAACACATCTTCCTGGTGCTAATGACAAAGCCCTCAAGACAAACGGCACCGCCAAACCCAAGGATCCGCTCAGCAGTCTCACCGGGCTTACTAAAGGGCTTGGACTCTAGTAGGTGCCCTTGAAACACTCCCATCCGTCCGCAATGAAAGCGATTAACCTTTTAAAGATTCGGCGAAATTCTTCTTCTACTTCACCAAATTCAATGCGGCGTCATGTATATTTCACAAAGATGGCGTGTTTCATTGCACCTGGGTGTTCTCGATTTTAGACCGGATGATAAGTACGTTAATTGAATGGGGTTGGTTCTACATTATTCATAATTATAGTTTATTTCATGGTTTTGGCAAGCCATCTTGTGCTATATTGGCAACCATTCTTCTAAACTCCGGTCCAAGTGTATCAATCACGACAGACACGTCGGGTGGTATGGTTCTGGTGCTTTCGTACCGTTCCGAAGTGGCTGTCTTCGTATCTAATACTTCGGGACTGCCCTGCTCGTCGGTCTTCCTTGCTGCTCTAATGCCTTTAACATCTTTCCCTGAGCGAAGCGGTCCATTAGGCTGTGATGGAGTTATAAGTGTCTCATCGAGAAGAGCCTGCCATCGCGATGCGAAAATCCCAGGACCCGGCATATCTCCTCCACTAGTCGGGCTACTCCCATGTGCAGCGTCAATGATCTTTTGCATTTTCTGTTCCGATAGCTCCTCAAGTGTTGCAAGGTGTTTAGAATGGGCGTCGAGCTTCTCAAGAACAGCGTTTCTCTGATCCTCCGCAAGATTACTAAAAGCAACCCGGAGCCTTGGTTTTACGTCAGGTGTGAAAGGCTCTTCATCTGCTTCAGCATTGGATTGCTGCCGGAATAGCTTGATAGCACTACCCCGAATGAAAAGTTAGTAAACATGATTCAAGATAATTCCTTTTGACGTCAAGATGATAGACAGGATCACGAAACTATTTGCTGAACGGAATATGAGAAGTCCAAACGCGTACTCTGTCATCCAATCCCTCCATATATCCCTTAGATCTGGACAGCCACCACAAAAGTCGTGAAGGTATGCCCACAGTAAGTGACGATTTCTAGCTATGAGCCCCACGAAATCCTCAACGGTTAGCATCCTTGATTCTGAGCTGTTCTCGTTTGTTTTAGGCTTGGTGGTTTTGATGAAATCTGTAACAAAAGTTTCTATCGCGTTGAGATGTTTCCGGAGATCTACATTCTTGTGGACCACGCGAATCATGGGGTCGAGCGCTCCCAACGCTTCCAAAACGATAGCCGTCGTTAGGTCAGGGGCAGAGTTGCACAGAACATCTACTATACGCTCTCGATCCCTAATCGCAAGTTTAGCTGCATAATAATCTAAACATAAAGCATGTTGACGATCAGTCAGAGACTCCGCAAGTTGCGTGTTTGTAGACTCGAATATCGCAATAATGATCGATATCTGATCTTCCATACTTTTCTTCTGTACCGCCTTACGTTGAAGTCGGTCCGACGCTAGATGCTTATCGATCACTCCCATGTGGTCGTTGGAAATGCTGTCTTTGTCCGACTTGATCTTATCAGCAAGCTTGCGAAACTCTGCAGCATCCCATTCGAGAACTAATGAGATTATCCTAAAGCTCGTTAGATCCGGGCCATATTGATATAATCAGCCAAGAATTACCTTTGCACTGAATCCCGCAAAGTCAGCAATCTCACAACTCGGAACACTAGCGGAGCAACTCACTCAAATTCATTCCGTCAGCAGCATTCGAGGTCAAACCCATCCAATTCGAGATGGCTCCTATGCTGACTTTGGAGAGAAACAGCCTACTCATTCCATTGATCATGCTCGCTGCGTTGCCGACACGGAGTGTTTGACCAATCATAGTGTATGGAACTAACCTATGTATGTTCTCGATGAGCTTGAGTAAATAAGGGCCCTCTGGTGAAAGAACAAATACTTGATGAAGAAACGTGGCAATATGAAGGGAGGCATATTCAACGGCCCCTTTGAGCGCAGGAGAATGTGCTTCGAGATCGTTGGTACGGGCAAGCTGATCAAAAATTTCGTGAATCAGATTGCCGTAGACAAGATGACATATGCAATCACGCCATGAATCCGCAAGATCTTGAGCCTTTGCTCTGTCGTATTGCCCGTGTAGGTTCGGCAGATGGTCACATGAGACGCCCGAGAGAAGCCCCCTGGTAACTGCCGCGTGGACAACGGACGCCGCAGTGGCGAGTCGCTTTCGAGTGCCCAATGTGCCCTTGTCATAGCTATCGGATAGATCAGCGTCCCCAAACCGCTTCATGATGCCCTTGAATTTGACCGGCCAGAACTCGGCCGATAGGTCTCTCGCAGCCGGTGCTCTCAAGATCAGTCTTGTGAGAAGGAGTTGGAGCAATGGCGATGACGACAAATCATGTGGTTTGGCTGGACGGCCATCTTTCCCGCGATCAACGAAAGGCCACCCATATTGCTCGATGGCCTGGGGACTTTGGAAGCTTTGAGCCTCAGCATATGTCTCATGATGGACCAAGATGTCCAGCAGAGCGCGAAGCTGCGGGGCACTCAAGCCCCCCGGCTCGGTCATTTTGGGGTTTTAGAGTGGGAATGCGCCGGTACAGTATAACACAAGTAACAAAAAACGAGCGCTATGGCATAGCCGGCTATTTACCCACGTCAGAAGGTTACCTAGTAACTCAATTGATACCTACATATGTAGGCAGGTAGTTAGGTATCTAGCTGGGTATCCGGGTTATATGGAGTTGGAAATCTGAGGTCATCACAAACATTTGACGTCAACGCCATTGTTTCCCTCTGCGAGCTGGTGGCCCAAGCTCTGTAGCTTACCTACTGTACTATGTACTTCCCTACAGTAGTTAGCTAGGTACATCTAGGTATCTAGCTCGTACACTAGGTAGGTACCTAGCTCCTGTTACCAGTAGGTAGGCAGTAGGTAGAGGATGTTACCGACACGTCACCTATGTTACCTACCCTAAGTAGGTACCTATGCTAGCAGGTAGTATAGTGCACACACCGTGTCGGCACTATGAAATGTTGTGCTTGTCGGCCAACATCAGACATCAGTCACTCCACGCGCTTAAACTACCGAGCTACGTCTACTTTCAAATCGATGGCAGGTAGCATATTCATGAATATGCTCTATTACATAATGTTACTGTATTATAACGCGGGCTGAGGGCTGACCTTGACCACGATTAGACAGACTCTTACCATCACTTTCGAGGCCCGTCGATACGTCTCATACAAGCGACGGCTGAATAGCCTCATTCTCCAACACGAGCTGTGTGTCTGATTTCTATTGGGTGTAACAACCGAAACCTGCAGATATGGTGTCACACGTACAAGAGTGCTCGGCGCGGTCATCTTGTGTAACATACATGGGACCATATTGGTGGTTGTTCACCCGCTAGTTCCTCGAGCCTCCGAGTCGGATCGTGGATTACTTAATTTACGCTGCATTAAAGTATCTAGTGGTCTCCTTATATGACAATGGATCAGGCGTGAAGTCGGGCGTTGAGAAGGTACTGTGTAATCAGACCAGGTGAGAGATGGCTCCTCAGAAGCCTGCCTCCTGCCTACACGGGTAAGCACGTCTAGCCATAGTCTGACGGATTTGAAGCGGCCGCGTACGCATTATTGAGGACCTACCTATCGTGAATACTTCGACCGAAAGTGGGCTGGCCATATTGTAGTAGTCGTTTATGCTAGATTAGGCATTTGAATTAGGGGTTTACACCAACCTCGAGGGAAACCTTGTGCGATTCCATCCGAGTCGGGCATCTTTGCCCCACATCCACATCTACATCCCGACGGATGCCATATCGAGCCACATGTATCTACCTAGCACATGTAGGCGTCTTTGCGTAGATAATGCTGATCCGGCCTATCTCCCGACAACACTTTCCTCACTTTGGTGGACTAGGTAATGTATGTGATCGACGAACGCCGGAGAAGCTTCTCATAGGAGTGGCGAATATGGAAGTGGTATCTATCACCTCCAGATATCACATAAGAATGGTGCTGTGGCATTGATTAGTTGGCAAATCCGTTGATCCTTGGTTCGCGGTTGATAAAGAGATGGTTAATCTTGACCTTGCAGCAGGATATCGATGACCGAGCACCTCTGTTCTTGCTTCTTCCTCCCTTTCTTTTTAACTGCAACCACAGCAGAACAAGAATCCACCTGACCGGGTTGCTCGAGAAACCACATTCCACCAACGACAAAGTGGCGTTCATTCGGAAGGGCTCTGCAGGCAGACCTGATGTTAGCAAGGTATGCAATCCCATCTGCCGACCTCGGCAGATTATGGCCCAGATCCGTCTCGCTTGGCACTATATGTAAATTCGAAGAGTGGGTAGTGTCCCCAGGCATATCAGACAAGGTCGGGGTAGGAGTCCAGTTGGTAGATAAACAGTTGCCGCGTTTAGTGCAGCAGCATCTTCTTCACCTTTGCTTACACATGCACGCTAGCAACGCCCGTCGCGTAGTCACCTTCGTAACGATTGCTTCCTTAATCACTTCAAGTACTCTCGAAGTTGATAGCCAAGGTCCCAAGAGTTCTCTACAAAAAGCTTGACATGGTCAAGCTTTTGCCAAGGGTCGGATGGCGTTGTAAAGAAGAGAAGAAACCTGCCTGATACGGTATAGTTGACTGTCGATCCAACGTTGCGACTTGCTATGTCAGGCATGGAGCGCATAATATCAACACATGCATTTTGCAGCCTTCAGCTTCCTAGCTATGAGATTGGCTGCCTAGACGACACGAGATGGAATCTCCTTCCTTATCGCATCGTCGGAAGTGCCCGTTTGGCGCTGGACTTGGCAGGACTACTCAAATTGGAGATTGGCCAAGATATGTCGAAATAGAGGCATGCTGTGAATGGACGGATCATTTATCCTGCTATTATGGTGCCATTCGTTGTCTCATCATGGAATACTTAAGGGCCCTATCACCCGCGTTATCTCACCAGATTTCAGCAGCACATGTTCTTGACAGTCACCGAGTAAAGTGTACGGTTAAATCTGGTTCACCATGGTTTCACATATCCTTCCTGTTGCCGCCCTCGCCGGCGCTGCTATGGCTGCTTGCCCTCTCTCCGTTGAGCTTACTGGCGCTACCGGACATGTTGCTCAAGTGGCCGTGACAAATACCGCCAACGAGGCCATCACCGTCTTCAAGGGTAACACTGTTCTCCTTGATCATGCCACTAAAGACTTCGTGGTGTCCGACGCCTCTGGCAAGGCCCTTCCTTTTGAGGGTAGCTTCGTCAAGTACCGAAAAACTGGTATTGCCTCCAAGATGTTCCAGACGATCCAGCCAGGCGAGACAGTGAATACTGAAGTCAACACGGCCACTACTTACCGCCTCGCTGGTGTTGCAGCGGCCAAGATCAATGCTTTACAGGGCTTCCACTATGTGACGGGCAGCACCGCCCCCACGTCATTGAAGGAGACGAAGTACTGCGAGGCTACTTCTAACACAATGACCATAATTCCTGATCAAAGCAAGGTTGCTGAGTACGTAGTAGCTGGCACTATGGAATTCACAAAAGCAATTAGATTAGTGAGTTCTAACTTGGCATCAGAGAGCACCTATTGGCCCGCGCCGAACCCGTCGTCAACTCGCGCATTCAGAAGCGCAGCGTCAAGTACAGCTCTTGCAGCTCTTCGCAGACCTCGAGCTTGCAAACGAGCGTCAACGACGCTATCTCCATGTCTCGCGCCGCTGCAACCGCAGCTGGCACCTCGGCCGCTTATTTCACTACCTGGTTTAAATCAACCTCCGTAGCGTCTAAGGTCAAGAGCATCTACACCGATATCACTGGCGTGCAGACGACCTCGCCCACAATTTCTTGCACTGACACATACCGTGGTTGCACTGACGGCTCTGCCCTATTATAGTGAGTTTTCCTTGATCCATGCATTGGACTTCCACTCATATGAAGCGTATGAGTTCTATAACTCGTACCAGAGCAATACATACCCTGAAACAATCCCAAAATTTTACTTCATAATAAATGGCTAACCCTGCTTTTACAACAGCACCGTTCCTTCAGCAAACGTGGTTGGTAAGTTTGAAATTCCTAAATCATTTATCATTATAGCAGGACTTAGAGCCATGGTCGCTCCAACTAGTCTCACCCTGGCTCCCTCACGGTTTCCTTTCCTCCCACATTACAAGACGAAGCTAACATGCTTAGTTCCCTGTCCTAACAACGGATACTGGGACTTCCCGGAGTTAGCATCGAACTGTGCCGACGATGATTACGACAAGGGCGGCTCTATCCTCCACGAATTCTCCCATCTTGTAAGTTCCCTCATGCTGACCCAGCAACCCATCAGTTCTGGGAAATTAGTCTTGTGACATTGGCCTGACACTTATCCGCTACAGTACGGTACGGATGACTACGCATACGGCCAGGCTGCCGCCAAGCAGCTTTCGGCCTCTCAGGCGGCTGCTAACGCCGACACCTATGAGATTTACGCCGGTAGTGTACGTCTTGGTGGTTGCAGCAGCTAGATATATTTCGATAGGTATATACAATAAGTTGTATACAGGATTTTCAATTTGAAAAGTGTTATTAGAGTATAATTCGTTCTGAAACACCCCCATAGTCATCTGTGAGCACGTAAGCCTGTAAAGTATCGACCAGTCAACGAGCCTCAAAGACTATGAAACAAGGCTTGGTGAAAATAGTCAGTCTTATATCAGCATAGGCTATATACTTATTTTGTTTCATACCAGCGTAGGACGGATCGCCCCGTGTAAGACAGTTGCATGAGTGGGGGAAATGTGCAATCCAGCCCGTTCACTTGGTACTCTAGCCCTACAGTATTTGAGCTTTACATGAGGAAGAGATGTGCGCTCTATAAACTAGACTATTCATATCTAAGTAGGCTTGACACACGGCAGACACACGGCATGCTCATCTCAATTGGCCCTAAAATAACATCATGCTATCGTCATTGTTGTCATCAGCGCTTATCTTACTCCTTGTCTGGAGCTCAAGCAGAGGCCTCGTAATAATGTGAACCCAGCATGATCTGCGCAATCGCAGCATAATACGAGGGTTTCTAAACCTCGATATTGCCCGTTAACCGAATATCTCGGCTGCTTGCGCCCAACCATACGGTGTAATTCCCCGCCTGAATAGTCCACGCCTGCGCAACGACATCCCACACGCTGAAATCTCGCCGTGTCAGCTCGAAACGCACAATTTGCGTCTCATTCGGTAATAGTAGCGATGTCTTGTTAAAACCACGCAGTTGCTTAGGCGCACTATTCGGTATACCGAGATACAGCTGCGCAACCTCAGCCCCTGAGTCTGACCCTGTGTTGGTGATCTCTGCCTCTACCATGGCCACAACCTCCCATACATCGTCGCTCGTCGGGAACGGATATTTCTTGCCCACGCAATTTGACAGTCCTGGGAGGGGATTGATAGAAAGTGACGAATATTCAAACATGGTATAACTTAGCCCAAACCCGAATTCAAAGCGTGGCGTGATATTCTTCGCGTCGAAGTCTCGGTAATCAACGTATATGCCCTCCGTATAATCACACTGGGGGCTTGTATCGTTCGGCGAGACAAGTCCACAAGGCTTATACACCGAGTAATCGCTCTCGTTGCGAGCTAAAGTGTATGGAAGTTTCCCCGAGAATCCGGCCTCCCCATAAAGGAGTTTAACTAGGGCCTCACCGCTTTCTTCGCCAGGAAGATGCGCCATGATAGTTGCGGTGACGTTGGGATGTTCAATCCATTGGTCAACAAGCCTGACACCAGCTGCATGGATGACCACAATTGTATTTGAACACTTGGCTGCGACATTTTGGACGAGCCCGTCACTGAAATCATCGTGCAGACCGTCCCGATCCCACCCTTCCGTGGCAATGGCGTTTATGAAGACTAGACAAGCATCTGAAGCACCGTTCACGTCTGGGTCGAAAGATGTAAGGTCCCAGTTTACCCAGGTACCATCTTGACGAGCACGATGTTGAATGGAGCTCAACGGCTATGGCATTGTCAGTTACCTTGCAAACTAGGCAAAAGAGCATGATAAACTCACATCAGTGATATATGCCGGGCCGTTGGCGCCAGCCCTCCCACCTGTAACAATAGTTCCACCTTTTGCTGCCTGGTCGAAGTGTTCCTCGGTGCCTAATACCGCTTGGCCCATTTCTTGTGAAGAAGTGTAACCGAGCTGGAAAAGGATATCGGTATTTTTGGTTGCAGGTACAGTGGCATCATAGCCAAACACAGAAAGCATTACAGGGCTTTTCTTGAAAGGTAGTGCGTCGTTGTTTTTCACTAGAACATGTCCAGCAATTGCTCCTTCCAAAACGATGTCTCTGGACTCCGGAATACGGGCATCCACTGGATCATGAGGTTGCGTGAGATTCTTCATTCCTTTCCCTGGTATCGGGAAATTGTCTTGGCCGACAAGATACCATGCAGCAATGATCCTGCCCGGATGTCAGATGAAATAGGATCAACGGGAGTTAGAATTTTCACCTGGTTGCCATATCTGTGACTCTGGATGCATCAACAGTCCCATTGCTCACGGCATCGGTGAGGTTGGTACCGAAGGAGCCCCCTGACGGCATTACCATATCCAAGCCAGCATTAGAACTGTTCACATTGTGCTGGGCGTTCCAATCAAGTACTACGAAACCGTCGAACTGTAGCTCCGTCTTCAGTATTCCGTTCATCAGCTTGCTATTCATACAGCCGTAAGTGTTATTGATTCTGTTATATGAGCACATAACCGAAGCAGTCCCGGCCTTTACACCATCCACAAAAGGCCAAAGATAGAACTCATGAAGCGTTTTATCATCAATGTTAGAAGATTCAGCCTCTACTCCGAAGTAGGGGCGCCTGAACGTCTCTTGCTCATTGCCAATAAGGTGCTAAATGGGACAGGATTAGCTAAGATGATGTACGCGAATGATAGAGAAGGTACCTTTAAGGTAGCGATGACCCCAGCCTCTTGGTGAGCTATAATGGACTCAGAAACAAGCTGCCCAGAAAGATAGGGGTCGACCGAAAAGCCTTCCCAATTCCTGCCCCCAAGAGGTGTTCGTCCAAGAGGTCCAGCGTTAGGTCCCAGCAACACATTGACTATATCTTGTTAAAATAACGTTCATCAGATACAAGTCAGGGGCCCTCAGACCCACCTCCTTTTGCCTTGAACTCTTTACCCATATAAAGTCCTCTTTGGTAAGTCAGGTTTCTGTCCCAAGAAGCACCCACGTGAAGAGCTGATGGGAAGGAGGTAACTAGATCCGTCGCTCTCACCCCGTTACCCGCATCGTGAAGGCAAAGACCAGGCCAATTCAGTCTGGGCACGGTTCCTGTGTTCCCAGCGCAGGTATTGTCCGGGACAGCGAAGCCGCGAGTAATATTAGCTCTCTCTTCCAGTGTCATTTGACTGACGAGGTCTCTAGCACGAGCATAGGCGCCGGCCCATGCTGTACCAGCACCCTTCCCGGTAGCTTTGAGAGAGCGTCATCAGCGTGTCTATTCATTGCAATTGACGCGATACGATTAAACTCACGCGAGGGATAGACTAGGGGAGACTGTGCATATTCGGATGTGGCTACGCCGCCGTACAGTAGCACTTGGAGTGCCGAGAAGGATATAAACCGCATCACGACACGGGCATCACTTTCAATTTAATATATCCACCTTGAGGTAGAACGAGAGCAAGTTATCACCCAACTCTGGGATAGGCGATATGGCTGACTTATTAACGATTGAAGGAGGTTGGTTTAATGCTCCCAGGTGCATGGCGGACTTGGCAGTGACGAAAGTCGGTGAAAAGCCACCCGAAGAGATCGGGCAGCTGCGGGGCCGCGATCGGGTGCTTGCAGGCTCATAGCCCCGCTCACAGACAATAGCAATCATTATCTAGAATATGTCGAGGATTTAGTTGAATGGAGGCTATTCTCGAATGATGGGGGTGTTTCAATATGGCATGTGCCTGGCAGGTTGTAGGATGGTCTTTAACAGACCAGTTTGATTAGAACGATGCTACCTAAAGGCCACTTTAAAGCACGTGGCCGACATGATTAGCCACTCGCAGGCTAGACCATTCCCTCCCCAACTTTTACAGAAACCAGCTTCGTCATTACGTGTGTGACCTGTTCATTACCTGCCTATAGCATGTCTCTTTCCAGACTAAATTCCCTTTGGACCTGCAACTTGCAGCATGTCTCGCGTTCTTACACCCCGTTTTTGCCTCGGAAGCAAAAGCGGATGACGGAGTGAGCGCTAGACATATGTCCCAGTTGATGGCGTGCGTCTCTGGGTGAGGAATGTCACGATGATCGACGCCAGACCAAAGACGGCGGCTAGATATCCAAACACATAGTCTGCTTGTACTTCTTGGCAACGCCCTGATGTATACGAATCGACTTTGTTGCCGCCACCCGAGCCAGCATTAGGGCAGTATAGTTGATTGTCTATTTTGTTGCATCCGCCATTGAGCAGCTTGTTCGCGAACCGCTCAGATCTCGGTCTCGCCGACGAGGAGGTGCAGCTAGAAACGGGCTTCAGAGCTACCGTCAAAGCCTAAATGAGTCAGCGTTAACACGGTTCTGCCAGGTGGGAGAGATTGAACTCGTCGAGACGTACAATGGCGCCCGCTAGGTAGAATAATGATGCTAGGCCGTCGGCGACGATGACACCGACTCGAGGCACCTTGTCGATGATCATGGCTAGGATGGCAATGGCAGAAGCGACAAGGCCAAAAGCGCCAGCAAAGCTGTAAAACGAGGTTTCAGCTGGTGGCGATCCGATCACCTGTTGCTTAGCCAGTGTTACAGACAGACCCAGGACTACAGCGCCGAAGATGACCTTGAAGTGCTGATGGTTAGCGCGCCTATCATATTGCCTTGAGAGTGTAGAAAACTCACCAGAAAGCCTCTCAGCGCGATCGCCGCGATGTTCAGCATGATGAAATCCTGGCTCGGTCCTCGAGGTGTATGATACTATTGCAGGTAGAATAAGATAATGAGTTGGTACCTCCCCGGTCCTATCGAGTCTTCAGAGATGAACCATTAGACAGCGACTCGTGTTTTATTTTGTGCAACTACAAGAAAGAGAGAGGACAAGCACGGGCACCAGCGCGAGGTAAGGCGACCTTATAGGACATGCCGACCCTAGTACTTATGAGTGTTAGGGGCGCGGGTTGCAGGAACAGATCCTCTTATTGGGGGCTATGTTTTCTCGTTGGCGGCAAGCTCATATAGTGCTGCACATTTCTTAATACTGCTACACTACGGGGTACCACCATGGCCCTTTTCTTGGGTGCTGCTAGGATTTGGCGCTCATCGCACATGCATACTGCCTGGACATATGTCCTTTTGAGTTTGTATACCATGCTAGCAAAGTAGAGGCTGCCTCGATATCTGGCACATATGCCAGCCACTGTGCAATATCTAACGAGAATAGCAATAGCTTCGCTAATGGTTCTACAATCGTCATTACGAATAGAGATAGAAAAGTCAGATACAGAGACATAAGTGCCGAGGTCCAGTCCAACGCTGATATCTTCAGTCGTGAGAAGAACCGTGTCTCCAGGCAACCAAGCCCTTGTGTCTGCCTTGCTGTAAGAGTCATCATCTCACCCGGATGGCCCATGTAACATGCCACCATGCGCCGACACGGCACCCCGCGTCCGGGACCAGCGTTTTATTGGTGCGTATGGATCTTTCCTTTCTTCGACAAGGCCGGCGCTGTAGCATTCCTACTGCTTACAGGTCGTTGCAACTTAGTTGTCGGATTGTGAGCACTACATACATAGTATCCAGCCACCGGCTGCTGGGAAATTAGTCAAGGATCGCCAGGGCTCATAGTGGGTACAGAGCCCACACAGCTAGGTATTTAGTACTCTGTATATGGCACCAAGGTTGGGAACTGTATATAAGTTTCTAAATTTAGGATTGCTCGCAGTCATTCCGATCTAAGTAAGACGATCCAAGATCCTATTATACTAAGTACGTAAGTATGGGATTGGGGCTGTTGGGGCTTAGGTAGGAACAGATATCGGTCTGTGCCGCACCCTTGGCGCAGAAGCTTGGAGAAGAGGGGCGGCAGCTCTGCCGGGGCCGGGGTCCGGGAGCTGGGGCTTGGAAAGGCGACCAGTGAGCAGCGCTGTTTGTTGTTTACAGACTACCTAAGTAGGTATCTGGTGCGCGTACTATTCTTAACCGAGGTGAACGAGCAAGTATGTGTCACGGGAATATCCTAATCTAACGAAGAGGTTTGGACTTGCTCTCCTTGAGACTGATAAGGTCTAATATATTATAGCACGTGAAGAGTCAGCCATAGCCGCAGCGCTACAAGTCATCGAGAAAGGCATCAACTGACGGAACTCGTCAGCTGAATCACTATGGTTTATCGGTAATGATATCCGGTGTCACAAGTTGGACCTTGCACCCTGTCTTCCTCCGATAGATACTTCAGGCCTTCTCTGACTGCTGGTAGTGAAGTCCATATCTATAAATACAAGTTAGCATTTTTTGCCTAACACAATCTCGATCAGTCCTTGATACACTGTATCAGATCTAACAAGCGATACCCTAGTGATAAGGGACTCTATCGCTCTGCACTCACAGAATTTCCATGTCAGTCGAATTCGAACAGGTTGCACACAATGACAGGTATATAATTGGGAAACTCCTAAGTGTGTGATCACTCAATACCTCAAGAAGTTGCCTTGGAATTGAGATGCACATAAGGCGACATCGCATCTAGATTGAGCAGGAGCGATGGCTATTATTCTTCCCAGCCATCGCCAGCACACGACATCCAGTTTACTCCAACAAGACGCAAACCGTGTTTTTCTGCAAACTCTGCCGGTCTGAACGATCGCCGCTGAACAAACTCCTCGCCACCAACGGCTTCCTTCGTTACACTGAATCCTTCAGGCTCGCGATACAGTAAAAACAGATACCTATGCGGTTTCGAACTATACGACGTTTCACATTAGACTACCAACCCCCCCCTCATTCTTTCAACAAGGGGCGACGAAGATGTCTTACTCATCTTTCGGCCCAGGACCAAGATATGCCGTCAACTGCGACGCCGTGGCGACAGCATCCACGCTATGCGGCCGCAACCCGGACAGTACCCAGTGTCTCCAGAATGCGAATTTGGGTTCGTCCGGCGTCGGCGCGTCGGGGTCTGTGAATATCAAGCCGTAGGAGGGGTTCTCGCCCGCGTCCGCCGCAGCTGTGAACACAAGCGTTGGCGCCCGCTTACATTCCCCGACGCGGAGGAAGGTGCCTAGTTCTACCGCTTTGCTGCCGAAACTGACGTGTAGACTGGTTGCAGGGCGAAACCCATCAGGGATGAGGCCCGCTGCTGACCCAGGTACTAGATTCGCTTTTGCGAGCGATGCCGCGAGCGCCGCTTGGTGCTCGTCGAGTGATATTTTAAGATCTATAGGACGTAGCTCACTGTTGCTGACCAGTCAAAGAAGACGAGGGGGCTCAGTATAAGTGAACTTGTTTTCATGAACTTACATCGGCATTAGCTTGTCAAGAAGGAAATGCATCGTAGGAACAGTATTACTGGTGGAAAATCATACCAACGGTGGATCGTGCCTCAATGTTGGCCTTCTTGGCAGCGCTTCACATAGCAGCTCTATTCACTAGACATCTGATAGCTGTAGAAATCGCTTCAGGTAAATTCATTTATGGCAGATCATCGCTTATGATCGATTACTCATAGTAGTGTTAACCCCTTATGAGACCAGAACCGATAGGTAACCTGGTTTCACTCCAATCATCCACCATTACTCAGGTCAGCTCTGAACGGTAACTTATTTTACACTGCCTGTTAGATAATCCTATCAAGATTGCCATCTGCATAGTTAATGCTGCAGAAGCTTCTCAGCATCGCTGATCTCCTTCTCCACATTAACGCCGTGCTGCTGGCCAAGCCAATCTCTTGCTTTCTGCACGATGAGTTCCCAGGTCTCAGCGTCACGAGCCATATGCTTCGTTATGAAGGCGATAGCTAAAGCCGTGGCGACTACCGCATCCCGCGTTCCTAGGTTTGGAGTTGCCCCTAGGGCGGCAAGAAGGTGTAGATCCCAGTCCCAAGATCCATCGGACTTTTGTAGTCGAACTATGTGGTACAAGTCAACGCCACTATCAAGACCTCTGCGGATTGAGTACGACGCCGAACTTTGAAGACGGGTAGTTGCGGGAGGCGTATCGATTCTGCTAGGTCCGAGCACTTCAGCTTCTAAACCAAGAGAGCTAGAAAAATCAGCCCTTGTATCTATACGGCATTGATAAGAAGGTGTCGCTAGGCAAGCCATAGCTGCTGAAGCTACGAAGTCACTATCCGTAGTACCATCAGCCTTGCTCTTGCGACAAACGGAATCTGGCCACGCCATGTAACGTCCTGGCGTATTACTCGAATAGAGATCAGCTAACGCTTGGAAGTCCTGGTGCTGGACTATATCTGATGGGTCTTGTCTTTGTGCCAGATTTGAATTTCTAACATATGTACGTGGCAGCTGCGCAGTGATGATGACAGCTTCATATTCAGCGTCTTCTTCTACAGCGAGAAATGAGGTCCACTTGCCAGCGATTTGGTACTTCACACCAAGACGAACAGCTTCGCGCTCCACGATCTCTTCCCAATGGCAATCGTACTTGTTCTTGATAAGGGTGCTATCTGTTTTGTCCGTAGCGGATGAAAGCCAACCGCCGTTTTTCTCGAGTTCGGATACGGCTTTCTTCGCTGCCAGTTGGTGAATAGTTTCGCCTTTCCCAATATCCTCGACATTAATCTCAAGCTCAAGGGGCCCATCTGAGCATGTTGCGCGGAGAACGATGGCTTCAGGGGTCCTGTGATAGGTGTCCGGATCGAGCATCATGTATACTGTTGTGCGTGAGAAGGAATACAGAGCAGGAATCTGACATGGTGCCTGGATTATAGAAGGTGAAGAAATGGCTGGTAGATAAGTAAAGTTGTTGCTGCTTGTTTCAGGAACCGTTATAGCCGTGTCACCATCAGAATCGACATCGCTGAAGAAAGAGGTCGATGTTTTCGGCGCCTTCTGACTCATGACCGTCGCTGGTGCTGTGATATTGACCTTGGATGCCTCCCCAATAGACTCGATCATCTCGAAATCATCATCTTGCTTGTACTTAATTTCCAGGCTATAGTCGTCGATATGTGGAGTTAGCGCTCCTTTAAGCAGTCGAACCATCTTCGTATCAATTCTTTCTCCTTCAGCGACAAACTGACTAAATCCATTTCCAGCTGTGGCTATACCCTCAACAAGCGCCGTTGAAGCTCCCGAGCCAATTCCTAGAGAGAAGAAGCGGCATTTGTAGTCTTCCGATGCCTTTTTAACCATGTTAAACAGGCTTTCTTGGTTCCAAATTTGCCCGTCGGTCAGTATGATCACATCGAGGAGCATGTCACTGAAGCGTTGAGCAATCGTAGCTTGCACTGGGCTGCGCATCTCGGTGCCTCCTAAATTCGCGTTAAAAGTGTCTATATGATTTAATGCCTCGTTCAAGGTCGTGTCGTTATAAGATTTACTTCGCCGCCACTGTGTGCATAGAATTGCATTAGTCCAGAGTCGAAATCGTAGACATATTTAAAACTGACGAATGATACACGAGCATGGCTTAGGTGTAATAGGAGGATAAAGGCTTGAATACACACCAAGAAGGAATGAGTGCTCCCAAATGAGCAAATATTGAACTTGGTTCCAATGGGAAGAGACTTGAGCATGACCGTCATAGCTCCTATTATCACTGAGATATTAGGGTTAGCAATGATCCGAGAGATGAGATGATTTTTTAAGAAGCGATGCGGCTGGCATATAGAGAAATAAAAATGACCTCGATGTAGAGAGAGTTGTACTATCCATCTTGCCTTCCATACTACCAGATCGGTCGACTATGAAGACGATTTCACCGTAGGAGGGCGTTATGTTGAATCGAGGAACCAGTGTGGCCATTAGTGCACGCTGTTTGGGAATAGTGGCATGAGTTTCTAGGAGAGCCTTGGGAGAGTTTGCGTCCTTAATACACGCAATGAAGACGAAATCCCTGTCAAGAAAGGGAATATCAAGTGACAGTGTAGCAGAGCCGCGGTTAGCCATATGTGCGGTAGTTGCCATGCTAGTCGTACGGCCAATGTTGATAGCAATAGGATGACTAGAAGATTGGATTTTCTGGATAGAACTTCCCTCAGGACTCTCAAAATCCACAACCACTCCAATAGCATCAGTAGGCGTGCGCAGAGTTGAAGAAGGGGCCATATCGCCAGGGGTCGGTCCATAGCGAGGAGCAATGGATGACGGGATGGTAAACCGAATGCCATTAGATTCGGCATCATGTCTCAACTCCCCTATGTAAGTGACTTCGACTATCACTGTAGCCCCGGCTGGAATACTACCTAAATTCGTAATGAAGACATCGGAAGCTTCTTGCAGCTGCTCTAGGAGACCCGCCTTCGTCCCCTTGTCGACTGCGTTACGATATTCGCGACGAGCTTGTTGTTTCTCCTTAACGCTTCCATGTATCTGGACATCGCCGATGGTAGCCTTGAATGAAACTACAGTTACGCCATCATAGAGAGGAAAGGAGTAGGCTGTTGTTTTTAAATGCTCATTGGTTCCATTGTAAAAGGTCTGAGTCAAAATTGTTCGCGAAGCGACGTCCTTGATTACGGTATGAGCCTTCATGCCAAGTTGAGGGAGGCATACCGGTTGGCTGGCTTGAGGGCTATAAGGGTTTGGTGGTCTAGCCGAGTGGTACCACAAACCGCAAAGCGGTGCGGAGTAGTTGATGCTGGACATGCTGCAGACGGCGTTCATATGTTTACACGCGGATGGTGAGCAGAGAATAAGAACTGAGGAGATTGAGATATGGTTGATTCACAGGCGGGTAGAGTAGGTATTTATGAAGATTGGTTGCCTTGTCGAGTCACCTAGGTAGGTAGCCTGATAAAGCAACAATATCCTACCAAGGCAGCCTGACTTTAGTCTGATATGGCATATTATAGGATGTCTTTGTGGTGTTTTGAAGTTGTGCTTAGACACCCAGTGTGATGACTTGATAATGATGATGACTGGCCATTGTGTTCAGAGGAACGGTGTTACTTGCCTGTTGTTGAGCCATGGAAGGAGCTGAGATGCTCTACACCGTTTTCCAACAAGAACATTGCGCCTTTGAGGTTGTAAGGCAGTAGAATCCTTCTCATTCATGCCCAATAACCATGAATCCAACGTGGACATATGATTTCAGGATCAATCGGCTTGATACAGCAGCCTAGAAACCGCCGTCCTTTGACCCAAGCACCTACCGGTATATACCCACCTACATAGGTAGGTAGTCATGGTCAATTACCAAGAGTATCAACACGCATGACGACGACATGTTTATAGTAGATTTGACTGAGAGGACCAGTACCTACCTAGGTACCTACCTGGTAGTTGTCAGGTTAACAGGGCACGAGATAGGTGATCTTATGCTATTGCCAGCTCGCTATCAACCCGCACTTTAGCGCTACGACAGCGCTTGTAGGCACCTACGCACTCGGGTGGCCTTGTCCTCGTCGGTCCTGCCCGGAGACGCAGCTAGAAAGAGCTATGCCTTGTCCGCCTTTGCTGCCTTTCAGGCGTTTGGCTGAACGGCAAGACATTGTATGATTTAATAGATCAAAAAGACAAAGGCACCAAAGGACGCAGGACTTTGACTCTCTTGGATGATGTACTATACATCGCAAACTACCTACCCACCTACCTATTGTGCTTTTCCTGTCTACCCCGCATATCTGCTTCGTCGGCGGCGATGTCACGGAACGATGACATCACGACCTGGTGGGCGAGTTGTTACGGTTGTTTGAGGCATATCGCCACAGCCAGCTACTTGAAATTATACAAATAAAATGACCGTGACTGATATCGAAAGTCCTCAGCTTAGTCTTCAAAGGTTCGGTTTTGCATCGCGAGAGGGTACTTAAGCCAATAAGAAGAGTTTTGAAATTATTGAAGGCAACATGGCAACATGGCAACAAGTACCAACCCGTGCCATGTACCAGGCGATGTAGTTCCAGCAGAAGACATTGCACTTGAGACAGGTGCCTCTCTCATACAGGTAACGCAATCCAAATACTTTAATGGCACACTTTATTAGAGTTCCTTTCTGATATTGGGGTAGAATTTCGAGCCGACAAAGCAGCTCTGCGCCCACCTGAACGCCTTCCACACATACGCTGACGAGCCAGGTCGATATGTCGAGGCCAATCATTATTGCGCTCATCTGACAGAGGGTATTCTCTATTTCTATGACACCCACCCTTCATGAACGTTAGGATTCAATTCTCAACAACTTAAGGATGCATTGGTATTCATGGATCTACTGACATAACACAGATGTTCGCCAATGTATTCTCTACGATAGCCCAGGTCCCAATGCTCGCTTGATTGGGATTGAGTATATGATCACACCCAAGCTTTATGAAACGCTCCCAAGTGAGGAGCGGAGGCTCTGGCACTCCCATGTTTACGAGGTCAAGTCCGGTATGCTAGTCATGCCCGGACCAACGGCCCCAGGGCTTCTGCAAGCGTGGGGGGTCGCGGAGACTCAGGAAATGAAGCACGTCATCGGTCTCTATGGCAAGGTGTACCATCTCTGGCAGACAGATAGAGGCGACGAGCTGCCTCTTGGAGAACCCAAGTTGATGACAAGCTTCACCGCCGACGGCCAGTTCGACTTTGAGGAGGCTGTGGGCGATCGCGATCGAAGATTTGGAACCGATTACAAGAGGGCGAAAAAATCAAGAGAAGGCATTGAGGCCCCGACCATACACGGGGATGCTGACCAAGCTTGGAAGCAAAGAAGAAATTCAATGTGATGATGAAGGCGTATTGTATTTAGTATCTTTCTCTAATGTTCAATATATTCTTACAGCTGTGATATAGTCCTGTTATTGGAGGTAATAGTATATGGCTACTTGCTTTCAAACTACAGGCTGACAATGACAACGTTGATGGCGTTCATTCATACTCTGTCGAAGGGGTTTTCAATACCCCATTCTGCAAATAGATGGCACGGGAAGTTACAATAGGTACAATCTTAGACTTTTGTTACATTCTTTCGATGTGATGTCCCCTTGAACAGCAGGGCTACTGTACATAGAAGATGTCTGTATTACGCGGGGTTGACTGCAACCCCGCAGCTAGAAAATCGCCTGGAGAGATTCAGCTGTTCATATTTGCCGAAAATGCATCCATTACTTGTGTGCATAGTGCGTCATCCGCTTCTCGGAATGGGTATACAGCGGTATTGCTGATGGGGTATGGGGCGGTAGATATATACATCGATCCCAAAGCCAGAGACCAGTGTTGGCATGAAGCTCAACTATGCACTGATTAAACATTAAGCATCCAAGAAAGAAGAAGATGGATGCAGAGATTGCTGAATTGAAACAGGAGGTCTCACTCCTCCGTAAGGAACTATCGCGAGTGTCAGACGAGGCAGAAGTGCGCAAAGTACACTTCAAATATGGCTACTATCTTGACAAATGCTTATACAATGAAGTAAGGTTCCCTTAGACTATCAATTTCAACTGACGAGTTTCTCATAGCTATTAGGTCGTGGACATGTACGCAGACCATCCGGATGCCTATGTCGAGTTCCTCGGGTCACGATACCGCGGTAAAGCAGGCATCAAAAGATTATACAACGGCCGATTCCAAAGCACGTTCGTTAAGGGCCGTAACGGGCCTGTCCACGGGTTTCTCCTTGACCATATCATGATGCAGGACATCGTGGACGTGGACCCAAGCGGCACCCACGCTTGGTGTCGGATGCGCGCCTTGATGCAAGCTGGCACGCATAAATCAGTGCGTGAGACGCACCCGCGAGGCCACGTACAATGGTGGGAAGGCGGCCTCTACGAGAACGAGTATCTAAAGGAAGACGGTGTCTGGAAGTTATTTCGCTACCGCTACTTCCCATTCTGGCACGCCGAGTTCGAGACCGGCTGGTCCCTGACAAAGGAGAATTACGTGCCCTGGCCCACGAAGACCTACCCTGAAGACCCATGGGGCCCTGACGAGATCATCGACCAGAAGATGCTGTGGCCTGATACTCGTGTCGTGCCTTTCCATTACCCTCACCCTGTGACTGGCAAGCGCGTCAGCGACGATGACTTGCGCGCCCCTAACTATGGCCAGGACTCTTCCGAGGCCGAGCCACCGTTGTCTCTGGCTTTACCGGAGGGACAGGGGAGAAAGGGAGAGGGGAAAGCATGGAGCAACGAGGGCTCGGTCAGGGTTCTGCCTGAATTGGTGGAGAACCCTTGACCATGATGGTCATGAATACATAGCCTAAAGCGGGCAGTGTTGGGGAAGAGGGGGTTTCTATGCGACGCAGGATTTTTGAAGCGGTAGTTGGAGAATCAAAGCGAACTAGTGGTAGGAAACACGTTGATATTTTTCAGTCATCTACGGCAAGTTCAATAACCCATGTGAGACCCGACCGTAGCCTGCGTATAGTGACATTCCGATACATCTCGGCATGATAATAGGACTTTGCAACTGCCGAGTACTCAAAGTGGGATAACAGAATTCCCGTTAAGACTTCCGCATTTCTCCTCGTTGATAGTTCATCAGACACTCTGAAAAATAGGCACGTTCAACCTCACTTGCTCGCTCAACAGGTCTCGAAACCAACAAAGAACGAAATATACGCAGTTTATGATAGTATAGTGCCGGGTCCATACTAGCTTGAAGCCTGCATCATGGCGCACCTAGAGGCGCTTGCGCCTGAGATATCCCTATATCCCTATAACAACGGGAAAAGGGTCGGCGAGAGAGTCAAGTTTCCCGATACCGTGGCTTTTTCATCTATGAATAAGACGTCGCGGTTCGAGGGAGACGTTTTCAACTTGGAAGTCACCGGAGAGATTCCACGTGATATAAATGGAACTTTTTACCGAGTGCAGCCAGTAAGGAAAATGAATAGGATCTCAAGATAAGGGAAAAGCTAATCTGGGGGCGAAAGGACCATCGATTTCCACCCCTTTTTGAAGATGATATACATTTTGTGAGTCAAGACTCTATATCGCCCCCTATTCAGGGAACTCAACTCACAGTAAGCCTTAAAGAATGGAGATGGTACGTAGTAAGTATCTGGGTGGAGTGAGGACGTTCTAAAGGAGTATACATTACCAGGCAGCGTGACAGCCATTCGTATCGCCGATGGACACGCCGACTTCAAGCAGCGCTACGTGCGGACAGACAAGTTCCTCGCGGAAGAGAAGGCGCGGAAGGCATTATTTGGTCGTTATAGAAATCCGTATACCGACAACGAGAGCGTGAAAGGCGTGATCAGGACTGTATCCAACACGAACATCACCTTCTGGCGTGGCATGCTACTTGCGAGCAAGGAGGATGGACCACCGTTCGCAATGGACCCCGTGACATTGGAGACTATCGGGCGCTACGATTTTGAAGGCCAGATCAAAACGCCTACGTTTACGGCACATCCCAAATTCGATCCCGATACTGGTGAGATGCTGTGTTTTGCGTACGAGACTGGCGCTGACGGCTCGGACTGCGGTGTTGATGTGGTGACCTGGACCATCAACGCTGATGGTATGAAGACCGAGGAACTGTCATTTAAAGCTCCATTTGCTGGAATGATACATGACTGCGGCGTTTCGAAGAATTACATGGTCCTCCCACTGACACCTATCAAGATGTCACTTGATCGGTTGAAGAAAGGTGGCAATAAATTTGCATGGGATCCTAATGAAGATCAAGTATATGGCTTAGTCCCACGGCGCGGTGGCAAGCCCGAGGATGTAGTTTGGTTTCGAGCAGACAACGGTGAGTCGCGAATCCAGCCTTTAAAGAAGAAGGCAGAAGGGGGACCGGGACGCCGGTTTTCCCTTGAAATGTCCTTCCTACGATATGTCGTAATAATTGACGGTGACTATGCTAGGTTTCCATGGTCACGTAGCTGGCTGTTACGAGAATGAAGAAGGATACGTAATTTTCGATTTGACTGTCGCCGATGGCAATGTCTTCTTTTGGTTCCCACCAGAGGGAGAGTCACCAGACTTCAATCAGCGAGCTCGTCTTAGCAGTCCGACGTGTCGGTGGATATTTGATCCAAAAGCGAAATCCGGCACAAGGGTCAAGCCATCCCTGCAATGGTCGACGAACGGCGAGTTCTCACGAATTGATGACAGAGTGGTGACAAAGAAGTATAAGCACTTTTGGCAGTTAAGGGTTGACCCGACTCGGCCTTACGACTTTGCTAAGTGTGGACCACCAGCAGGCGGCTTGTTTAATTGTATGGCACATTATACGTGGGACTCAGAGGACGAGGGGAAGACAGGAGGAGAGGATGTTGTGAGTAACCTTCACGACCAATGTCTTCGCTTGATCGAAACAATACCACGAATACCCCCTCTTTTTCTCACAAGTTAATACTGACCAACAAAAATGAAGTGGTTCGCAGGACCGACCGCCACATACCAGGAGCCTGTCTTCATACCGAAGGATGGTGGCACTGAGGGAGAAGGCTACCTCGCAGCGCTCAAGAACAACCTTGACGAGTTAAGGAATGACGTGGTCATATGGGATGCGCAGAAACTCTCGGCAGGTCCGCTCGCTACACTGCACCTACCATTCAAGCTTCGTCTTGGGTTTCATGGCAATTTTGTTGATCACAGAGATATCGAAGCGTGGCAAAGACGTAGAGCTGGTGAATTGGGGCCGGTGAGACCTGCTGATAGTCCACTTCCATGGCAAGTAAAACTATCCAATGGGGACAGCAGTGAACCTGACGATGGACTAAATGGACATGATGTGAAGTTATGATGTCAACTTGAGAGTGGGCTGAGGAGGTAGATACACTAGTATAACTAAAGGGCACACAGTTGAGTTATTGGCATGAATAACATTAAGCTTATGCAATTGTCCCCTTCCTGTGCACTTTCCAAGGATCATTGATCTGTCTTTTATAAAACCTACAATGAGGTAAGGTAGCATCATCATTTGGCGATTTGAGTTTCGCCTACTATCAGGCTAGATAGGTGTATAATCTTCTAGATCAAGTCTAACAGCGTAATGTTATTTGATCATAAAATCATCTCGGATTTTTTAAGGCAATCGATGCGTATGAGATCATATTTCAGATGCAGATTTATAGTAGTACACGACACACTAATTGTGAGTACGGGGAATGACCTCCAAACAGTTCGAATCCAGCCCTCTCTTGGGATAGAGAAATCTACCTCTTCAGAAGCTCTTTCTTAGATGGAGATGTCGGTAGAAGTATGCATGATTTCATTATAGTTCCCGCGGGTAGAAAGATCCAGGTTGTGAGGTTGAAGAAGGGTAGTAATATGCATGAAATACCATGAGAAAAGCGCCTCGTATCAAGGGTGGCGCAGACGCATAGAAGCCCGATAGGTGTGCTAATACTAAGATTAAAGGCGTGTGTTGGCAAACGAGAGATCATAGAATATGGAATATTAAGTGATGATGAAGAGGGGTCGTTAGGGGGTGTCGGCGATTGTCAGGCGATGCGTACCAGTTCGCCCATAGGATTCGACAGAGGTAGGTCGTTGAAGATTTGGATTTCAATACATTATACCTAATTCTCATTCTCCTTAGTCACACATATCAGCTGAGTAGACAGGACTAAATACCTTTACACTTTCCTCAGAAGATGGCGGCGGATGAGACGAAGCCGAGAGGTCACGGATGAGCCGATCTCCAGTAGCTTAGACTGTCGCGTACTCGACATACATGACAGGAAGACGCTTAGTCTTTGAATCTCTCGGTCATCCTTCCCTTCTTCTACGACACGATTGAGCTTTCCGTCGTCGAAAGCGATACCGTGCCACAAGAGAACACCAAGTATCTGTGCTTTTTTCACAAGGGCAACGGTCTTGGAGTCGCGAACATTATCCGGAATCAACAGCATGAGATGATTCCAGAATATTTTCCTGAGGTGCCCAGCTTCTGGGTAGTACACGAATCGACCGTTCTTGTCATCTTCGCCCAGAAGCTCCTCAAGCCCGTACATTCCGACCCCGAATGGTAACCATTCAGATTCAGCCCAATCTAACAAGCCAGTCAGCTCTCCAGAGCATGCATTCACCATTATATTTGCGGCTAAGAAGTCGCCATGAGTAAAAACCCACGGTAAGGCCTCGATTCCAGATATTTCGCCGAGAATGGAAGAGGCAGTTTGACGGAAACCTTGGGGAAGTGAGGCACTCATAGACACTAAACGTAATGTAAGGCTAGATCCCACTGTACGCTTTTCGTCTTGCAGACTCTCAGCTGGCCTTGCGTTTCGCAATGCTAGCACTTGGAGCTGGGCGAAGTCTCGCACTAGTTGTTCCCGCGCCGACCTCTTACATGACATTGCTCGATAGTCCGCAAGGGATATACCCGGAAGTCTCCTCATAGAAAACACATGCAGATCAGTCCCTGCGAGCTGTCCAAGATACTCTGTCTCTGGGGCCAGGGTTTTGAAGACATCGCTGGCCGTATTCGTCATATTAATGTCTAGTTTGTATGCGGATGGGCGGAATTGCACCACAGTCTCTTCGTCTGCAAACAAGGTATACGAGCAATAACCCTGGAAAGGTGCCGGCTGAATAGGGCCTAAATAACGCGAGCTGGCGAAAGCATCGCAGTCTACTTTCACTGTTGCCGGTAAATTGCAGCGATCAAAAAAGGGCTCTAGGTAGACGCCCGAGTCATGGGATGAACTTGCCATCTTGCGAGCGATTTCAGGATGTGGCCATCTGACAGATTGTAAAAGTGCAACAGAACCTGCGCATTTCTTTGCAGCATTATCTTATACCTCAGCGTCCTAGGTTCGAGCCGCCTATAGAGTTCAAGACTGCTGCGAAGATGCAGGCCATGTGACAGAACCAGTGGATGAGGGGTAGAATCTAGGTAGGTAGGTTGATAAGCTCACCTTGTTACGCATTTCGAAGGATTGGAAACCATCAGATGCATGGCGTAGCCGTTCCCGAGGATCCCCGCTTCATCTGCACGCCCTCGGCGTTGGTTGGAATAGTTCTTACACTATTGACTGACACAGCTGCGTGCTCTTGGCCTCGATAAAGTACGACTTGGGTTGTGGCGTTGCAGCATCTTGGGTCACCAGTTGTCATGAGCAGATCACTGAGATACTCCCAACGCACCCGATGGGCAGCGTGGGGGTAGCCGCATTGTTCAATGCATGATACTTGTGAGCGTCTGTTGGTATTCAAATACCATCTAGGTATCACCGGGGCAAACTCTTATACCGGACAGCCTATCAGAGGTTGGTGAATCGCGGGCGCGATCCCGGGGCGCGCCGTGTCACGTCGCTGACCAAGAGTAGTTACTAATATTGATAACTAAGAATCATGTTTCCAACCTTTGTGAGCAAAATCCACGAGGTTTCCTACCTCCTACTAAAAAGCAACCCAAATACTTGCGAGAACGAGCTGAGAATTAGAGCTCCTCTCCTCTGGGCAGGTCCGAGGAGTGTCGGCGATCTTGAGAGTTCATGAGAAGGCAACCAACGGTGAGTGCTTCAAGCAAGGGTAAGTACCTATGTAGCGGGACGCACCTACTGCTACAGGTAGGTATGCAGGAGGGGACATAGTGGTTAGGTACCTGGCTGTAGGTAGGTACCGGTACTTACTTAGGTAAGTAAGAAGTAACTGTAGGTCCCGTTAGGCAATGCCAAGTTACTAAGTAACCTTCGGATGTTACGGGCTACAGGTTTCCAAGCTAGCAGAACAGGTGAGATGAAATGATGCCAATCGTGCGCATATTTTCTTACAGAATGAAGTTATTCAATTCACTAGATGTACCTCGTGTTGAGATCTCATAGAGACGGTGCGCGTGCTTTCCTACATAGCCACAAAGTGCCAACCCGTAGCTCCCTCAGCTGCCGGGGCACATTCCTCAAGCACCTAGGTATGAGAACGTTTGGGATTGCCCTGCTGTTATGCCTAATGCTTCACTTATATCGCTCTTACCTACCTGTTTCTATACACGGGTCGTCAGCGTCGTTGCAAACTCGAAGGGCGTAGAAGAATACGTGATATATAATGTTGTCAGTCGGAGTATACCTTGTGCTAGATATTCCTATATAACCATGCCTCTACTCCATTCCCTACCTACTAGCGATATTCGTGAGACTAAGCCAGCCTCTATCTTTTCAACAGACAGCGGATTCAGACCTGCTTTTCACCCGGCCTATCCCATACTTATAGCACCTTGAAACACAAATCGCTTCGTGTCAAGCATGCCTTGACCAAGTATTGGTATCACGCGAGTAATCGTGCTAATATGTCTACATCATCGTCGAGAAAGCGCATCATTGTATGCTGCGATGGAACCTGGCAAAATTCGTAAGCACTCCTAGACATTACGTTACACGAATGCTCATGACCCTAACATAGGGACAACGGACATAATAAATCATCTAATGGAAAGTCCAAATCCAACCTCCAAGTGCCTTCGAACGTGACCCGCATCTCAAGGTGCTTCAGGAGAACCTGCTCAGATGGAACAGTACGCCAACCTTAGACTTTAATTCGGCCCCTCTCTCTCTCTCTCTGCGCTCAATATCCATTAATAAGTCCAACCTATATAGCTAATGATATGAATACTGGCTTATCGGGTATGGACTCTTATAGTTCCAAATCATATATTACCAATCCGGAGTGGGCTCGAAATTGGGGCTCGTAGCTCGGTTACTCGGGGGCGCCTTTGGTACAGGCATATCCGAGGTTCGCTACAGCATGAGTTCTTATTCTTACCATAGTACTAACGAATCTTAGAACATCCGCGAAGCCTACGCCTTCATTTGTGCTAACTATGTCGACGGAGACGAGATCGTTCTTCTTGGTTTCAGTCGAGGTGCTTTCACTGCAAGGTCGATTGGAGGCATGATTTCAGACCTTGGACTCCTCACTCGCGTCGGCCAGGAATACTTTTACCCTATATTCAAGGACATGCAAAACTGGTCTAACGAAAGCTATGTCGACCCTTTCCCGACAACTCCATTCACGAACAAGCCTAAAGGCGAGAATGCAGCTTCGGTCTATCGCGAACGGCTCGTCGAGGTATGGGTCCGCAATTCGTTCAGTAACCACCTTCTAACCTTGCTCCAAATGGCAGAAAGGGTACTCTCGCGTTAGAGGGAACAACGGGAAAGGTGCCATCATCCAAGTTCGAGCAATCGGTACGGCTGCTTACATACAATCGCGCGAATTCTGCTAACTATGGAAACAGGTGTATAGGATACCGTAGGGTCTCACTCGGTAGTGCGTGAAAGCAGTTGATTGACTAACGGACTATCTACCTATCTAGGTAGGATCTCTCGGTATTCCGGATATGAAGATCCTGTCGAGACTCGGCATCAAGCGATGCACACATGAATATGTCTCCCTCGGCTTGAATCTAGTGGACATTGAGCTAATGATAACTACGTATCAGTTTTACAACACCCATCTTTCGAACAAAATCCAACATGGATTTCACGCGCTAGCCTTAGATGAGGCGAGAGGGCCGTTTGCGCCGACTCTTTAGGAGCGACGGCAGGAAGAACAGGCCACATCTGACCTACGCCAGGTTTGGTTCCCGGGAAGCCATGCGAATATCGGTGGCGGATGGCCAGATCAGGGTGTTGCTGATACCACACTTGCTTGTGCGTTCTCTATTTACAATCCATTTTACTAGTTCCAGTTTAGCACTGAATAAAGATGGGAATGAGCTAACACATCGTCAGGGATGATGGATCAGCTCTCTTCAGTGGGTTGCGAATTCAGACCTGATGCGTTGGAAAGGGCCTTCGAAACCACCATGAAGTACTATACAAATCAAGAGCCAGAGAGCGCCTCGCATCACCGAAAATATCGGCCACCAGGTTGGGCCGAGAAATCCATCTATGAGTCGAATAAACCGGTACGCCCATGGTCACTACATTACATCCAATCCGCAACTGGTCCCCTTTACAACTTGGTAGGTAGTGTTACCCGTGCCCCAGGGATGTACAAGAAAATCAACCCCAAAGACGGCCGCCCCCTGTCGGAATTTCTAGAGGATACGAATGAACGGATTCACCCGAGTGTTAGGGTGCGACTTGCTTGCGAAGGATTGGGTCCCAACGACTCAGACGTTTGGCACTGCCCGTCCCTGCTCCAGGTGAGTTATCTAGGGCACCAGTCTTTCAGGTGACTTCGCGGAATATAAATATAGAAGTCATTGGTGGAACATTGATTCTTAAAGCTATATGCATACAAACCCAGTCCCAAATGTAGTCACTACGACCATGATTGCTGATTCAGAGTTGTGCAGTACTGGAGACCTAGACGAGTTTCCGCTCAGTTCTTTGATCCTATCTCTCGAACGACAGACTGGGGGTCTGCAAGCCACCGGGACGATAGCGAAACTGCAACTCAACAGTCAAGACAAGCTGGAAGCGTGGCAGATACGGAGACGATCGTAACAGAAAGCCTCCAAATGCTCAGCTTGGACCCTTCTGAAAGATGGGTGGTGAGTTCTTCCCAGACCCATCCCTCTAAGGCTAGCATCAGAATTTGAAAAATTCCTGCAATCTTGGATATGCTAGGCTGGCTCTGTTGTAGCAATTGTTGACGTAAATTACTGCAGTGGGAATACGTGGGACCTGAGATCACTGCGCCGACTATCAGAACGATGGTGGAGGAGAACCTAGGCCCTTACGAACGAAGGCTATTGCACTTGGCGGCTGGCAAAGTACATGTCTGTGAATATGCAGAAAAACAAGATATCAACAAACTCAAGGCTTTCGAGCTTCGGGGGTTCATCAAGATGATGAAGCGGCTGCACAAAAGATGGCACTCCAAGGAAGCTGCAGCAGCCAGGCATGCTCGGAAGAAAAAGGATAAAAAGTAAGACGCTCAGGGACGGGTTAGTGGAGACGTTGATTTGGTAGGCTGTATAGATTAGACCAGAATCCCTACATCATATACTTTTCCCACGCCATGTTATATGCGAAAGCCTTTTGCTAGACAAACCTGATTGTTGAGTCCAGGTTGCGACGACATACCCTTGAATGCTTGCTCGAGGCTATCACGTGAAGTACCTAGGCAGCAACTGATCCAGTTGTGATGAGTGGATTGGCGGTGCTGAAACTTAATACCTACCTAGGTACTCAACAAGAATTCGGACTATCAATTCAATAAGCTGAATAACTTTCCCAGGTTGTCAATTGACAGGACGCGCCAACTTTCTTTCCATAACATGTTGTCCATCTTACGCAAGGCAAGGTTGAAGGATAAGGAGATGCGAATATTGATGCTGTAAGCTCACGTCGCGTTGGCTCAGGTCTTCTCTTCCACTGCCTCCCCGCCTGCACAGGACCGCCATGTAACTTTTATGGAAGACCATTACTGATGAGTTCAACGCTAGGGGTCTTGATAATGCGGGGAAGACAACGATTGTCAAGAAGATAATGAACGAGGATGTCAACACCGTCAGCCCGACACTAGGCTTCATCATCAAGACAATTGACTACGAGGGGTGAGCGTTTACTCTCCCATTGTTTAACGTTTTTGCATCTACGCATAATTCCCTGTTTGCCAACATCCAATGATCAAGCACTGTGAACGACTGACTAACCACTACATGGACAATCATCAGGTACAAGCTGAATATCTGTGAGTCTGCACTCTAACGACTTGCTATTTGGTGCGTCCATGTTCGGGGGGAAATTACTGATTTTCATTCATGGCTTAAGGGGATGTGGGCGGTCAGAAAACCCTGCGCTCATACTGGCGCAACTACTTTGAGAAGACGGACGCCTTGATCTGGGTGGTGGATGCGACGGATCGGTTACGCATTGACGACTGTCGCGACGAGTTGCATGGGCTGCTGCAGGAAGAGGTAAGGCGCCATCCCATGTTGAACTACTTTCGCATATGTCTCAATTTTCCTCTTCAGATTTTAAGATTGCTAACTGTCGTTCGTGCTCACGTCATCCAGCGACTCTCGGGCGCAAGCCTTCTCGTCTTTGCCAACAAGACGGATGTCCAGGGCTGCATGGATGAGACGGAGATCTTGCAGGGTCTGCAGCTTAAAGCAATCCGCTCACACCGGTGGTATGTCTTGCGATGTAGCGCCATAACAGGCGAGAATCTACGGGAAGGACTTGCATGGGTTGTAGAAGATGCGAAGGCAAGGTTGTTCTTGTATTGATACACAAAACATATGGGATGCAGCCATCTCACCGGAATAACCTTTGGATTCACATTGACAATATGGACACACGCGACAAGTCCATTGAACTATTTCGTTCCCTTACATGTAAATATATGTGCGAGGGAGAAAAAAAGGTGAGCAACTATAGAGAATACCTAAATAAATAGTGCGTGTCTACAAGAAAATGCCCCATTAAAGGTACAATATACAATGCGAAAGACATAGCAACTACTATAGCGACAGGGAGTAAAACAACAATTGGAAAACTAATCGAGTCATTCAACTACCTAGGTATTGGTCCAGCAAGATCGTCGGTTACAACTTACGCTGCAAGAGGATACCTATTCATGCACCCAGCGAACAGGTAGTTATCGGGCTTACTTAACGCTGAACGGGAGGGCAAGGGTTGGACGGGGGACGTTGAACCCGCCTAGCCAGGACTGGGGAGTGAGAAGTAGCGCCGGAGAAGAGGCATGCAAGCCCACCGGTCCGCCGAGCAATGCCCCTTGCCGCTCTGGCGCAGCGTAGATTTTCTTGTTGCGAGACACTAAAGTAGTAGCTTCACCTCACCTCGTCATCATCACCACAATCATCCTCCACTACTGCTACAACAACAATAAACATTGTCTCCTCCGTACCTCCTACCCACCCCACCACACCTCTACACCTCTACACCTCGATTAGGTACCCAAGGTACCGAAGGAAGGTCGCCCAGGTCAAAGGTACGGGAGCTCAAGTTAAACCTTGGGTACCTGACTAGACCATCATCTGGTACTACCAAAGCTGCCCCAGGTAAAGCCAAAATTCAAGCCTCGCGTCCGCGTTGCCCTGACATGCAAACCCCACCCCATGCATGACTCTGTGTAAACAATATAATCCATACCTGTCTACCTACCGAGTACCTACATAGGTAATCACAACCGCCCGCTGTCGCCGCCGCCGCCCCCGTTTCCCGATGTCTGAGGACGTATCTCGCTTTCTGTCCCAGGTTAAAGAGTTGGGAGAACGCCGGATCGAGGAGGATGAAGCCCGGTCCAGAGAATTGGAAGAGAAGATATTACAGGATCGGAAGGAACGGCAGGCTCGCCGCCGTGGTAAGAAGAACCTCATTTCCTCCTTTCCTCCTTCAGACCGTCTATATAACCTACATAGGCGCGCACACACGCACACAATGTTATACTTTTCGGCCATTGACCGTCCTTGTGCTATTCACTTCCACCTCACTTCCACCCTGCTGTCTGCACTCCCCCCATAGCTACTTCCACCTACCTTATAGGCCCGTAATGTTGCGCTCTGTGTGCTCCATTTCTCGCAGCCTACTTCCACCAGAGAGGGAATCTTTTCGAGTGCTTGTATATAAATAGGCTTACTTCTTACTTTCGTCTGTCCCCATTCGTTACTACGGTTGCTGGTATTGCCACTACAACTTGTTTTGTTTTTTGTTTTTTTACTTTCTTTCTACACGAGAGTGCTTTTGTTGGGTTTACTAGGGCTAATATTGAGTTTGCTATTTTTACCAGAACGCGCCAGATCTATCTCGCCCCAAAAATCGTCACCTGCAAACACCCCGCCTCCTTCTCAACCCAACGATAGCCACCGCCCAGAACGCCTAGATTTGGTTGCCTCTCCTATTCTCTATCCCCCTTCTGACCCCCAGTCGCAATCTGTCCCGGAGGCTGAGGAGGAGAATATGGCTACCGCCGCAACAATATCAAGCTCTCCGTCCAAGGAGAACGAATTGCCCGTTGAACCCGATGTCAAAGCCAATTACCCACCATCACCTACACGGAGCGGAACACTTGGCAGAGGTCTCTCTTGGCAGAGACGGCCTAATTCACAGGCTTCGGAGCGGTCGAGAAGCCGGCCACTCTCCGTGGTTGCAGCCGAAAATGCGACACGCTCCTCCAATTCCATCTCCGACCAGGATACAGTCGTCGACAACATGTCGAGAGATCAGATTGCTGCTGCGCTATCGTCGAAAGACCCTTCTTGGTTTCGCCAGACTGCTGATAGAGGCGCCAATTCAGCTGCGTATAGGCGATCCCAGGTTGAAGATACACAGACAGTGGACCCATTTTCTGCCCAAACCCAACTTCCGGGTATGTCGCGTAGCACATCGGCCGGATCTTTCAAAAACGGAGATACCCCTCCCGTGGTGTCCTCAGCGCTGGGGAGCACTGTTACTTCACCTACAAACTTACCAGACCCTCAAAAAGTAGACCTACCACCAGATACAGTTCCATCAGATATCGCCGCGACTGCAGACACGCGAGGCCCTTTCTCTCCGCCCCACGGCCGAACGTCACCCACAAAAACAGACCGGCCTATTTCACCAACGAAAGGCATGGGCGGCTTTGTGCAAAGCGCCATGATGAAGCGCTCAGAGAGTGTTAGTAAACGGTGGAACGTACAATCACCCGCAGGATTGCAACGCGCGGATCCTACCGCTCCAAACCGCAATAGCTATGATCCCATAAGTCGAACCAGCGTTAACGCCAAGGTCCGACCTACGAGTATACTTCGTGATTCCTCCGCAGAGCAAGTAAGGTCCAGCTCAACTGATAACAAAGAAGAGGATAGGCTAGCATCGACAACAGGCACTTCGCTAAGACTAGATACAACTTCTCCAGAGCCGCAGGGTCAGTATTCTGGCAAAGATTCACCTCCTGTTAGCCCTTCAAAAACTATGGATCCTCGCAGGTGGAGTCCTACAAAATCTAGCTGGCTGGAGTCAGCACTGAACAAACCGGAGTCTCCAAAGCCCAAGCCCACTCAACCTCCGCCCAATCAACCAGCATGGATGGCAGAAATCCAGAAGGCAAAGGCCCAGAAGGCAGGTAATCCCGGAGCCGAAAGCACTAAGCCCCCAGTCGTTTCACACAAGCACCAAGTCAGTATTGGTGGGCTTATGAGGTCCTCTGCCCCTGGCATGACGATAACTCCAGTCGGACGGGGCAGTCTCCATAGCCCGTCTCCATCCATTAGCAGCATCAACACTCCTATGATTAATTCGAAACCTGCCGAAAGCCAGCCACCACCAGGGCCAGGTCCAATCAAGTCCAATTCCGATTCGACTGTGGAAATCAAACAAGTAGGAATGCCTGCTGTCAGCAAAGTGAAGCCAGAGACTCCTCCTAAGAAAGACTTCCGAGCAAACCTCAGGCATCGAGCACCAGCTTCTAGCACTACACCACATACTGGCTCACAACAGCCGGAATTCAAGAATGTGTTCGGCAGCCTTCGAAAGACCACCACACAGAACTATGTTGCCCCTGATGAACTCAAAAATAATATTAGTAGAGGAAAAGCTGCGTTGACTGTAACGAACGGACCCCAAAAGTCGGAGCGGGTAGACGAGTTTAAGGATGCCATCATAGCGAAGAAGAAGAGTTTCCACGAAGCGCAGTCTGAAGGGCGAGGCGTGACGCGAAATGGCAGTGTGTCAAGTGAAAGACCAATCCCTGAAGGCCTTCAAAAACGAGCTGAATTGGGTCGTTCCAACACCATCAAGCGAGACACAACGTCTTCTGGTAAAGCTGAAACGGAGTCACGCCGCCCAAGTGTCGTGTCTCAGCGAGACTCAGTGCCAAAGAGCTTTGCGGGAAATTTTGAGCGCTTTAGTACTTTGGAGAAGCGTGCCTCGGTCATAGAGGGATTGAACTCAACAAAGCCATCAACTACACAAAAACCCCCTATCTCTAAACTTTCTAGTGTTTTGGCGAATCCAGTCAGCGAGTCCAACAGTCCAGTTCGTATTCCAGGCAAGCTTGGTGGAAGCACATTAGCAAACCGATTCAATCCTGCTCTTGCTGGTATCATCGGTAGAGGACCTCCTCCCACTACGGGTTCAGGGGTTAGCTCTGGCAGTAACAAACTCTCAGGCTCCCACTCTATAGGTAAAGGCGATGAAGTAGGATCTGGACCCAAACTAACACATATGACCAAGAGTCGAGCGCGCGGGCCTAAGAGGAAAGCGCCCACGACGTCTTCCGCTCCACGTGCGACGGCTATAGATTCGAGACCCATCGCAACTAAACGAGTAATGACAAGCGACACGCCTAAAGAACAGGATACTACTATCTACTCAACTCAGCTGGAAGAGACGCCCATTAATGAGCCTTTTAAAAAAGAAGTCGTATCACCTATACAACCACGGCCAAAGCCCACTACTTTGATAAGTGCGTCAAGGTTGGTCTCAGAACCCACGGACATAGCCGAAGCCAATATCCCACGACCAAAGCCGGAGAGCAAGATTCTTGGTCAGCTTGCCGCATTCACAGCGCAAAGTCAACAGCCCATACGTAAAACCTCGGACGATCCACAACAAACCCCTTCCCAGCCTCCGTCGCCTGGAAAACTCAATATGAGTCGAATGTCACGATTTATGGATGCCACGCCAACATCAGACATTGGGAACGTGCCCGAACAGTCCAAATTGCAGGAAACATCTCTCAAAACAAGGAGTTTCCTCGACAAATCATCAAGCCAAGATGCAGAGCAAAAGCCGCGTTCGCCCTCGTTAAATAAGCCTAAAGTGCCTTTGCCTGCACCTCTATCTTTGACCCAAAAGCGGCAGTCTTCGAACACCGAACCTAGTTCTATTGCTGCTGAACCAGAGAGCAAGATAGTCGCTCCTGCAGGCCCCAGACCGTTACCTAACCCCCCGGTCGCATCAAGCGACTTTTTATACTCATCACGCCCCCTTCCAACGGCACCAAACTTGAATTCAAGTCCTCAGCTGTTGCCGTCACCAGGACCACAGTCACCTTCACTTACTGTGTTACCTTTGCGGACTCCTTCGAAGCAGTCGTCCGATAGCTCTGCGATGCTTCGGGATTTCTTTGGTTCAGACCGCCCTCAGAGAAGTTATCGAGTAGACCCAACCGAGCTTTTAATGCAAAGACCAAACCTGGAACCTCCCAGAATCAAGACTCTAAGCGCTCAACTCTTTCAACTCTCGGCCGATGGCAAAAAACAACCTGTCCCTGCACACCATGAGCGTACACTTTTTGAACGCGAAATGTATCTCTGCACCCACTCATTCAACGATGAAGCTGGCAGAAAGATCAACGAAGTATATTTCTGGGCTGGGGACGAAGTCCCCGCATCAGCTGCTGAAGATGCAGTGGTTTTTGTATCCCGCGAAGCCCGTTCGTTTGGCGGTACGTTGATCCACCTCAGGCAAGGGAAGGAGACGGGTGAGTTTCTGCAAGCCCTTGGAGGTATCGTGGTCACGCACCGTGGCTCTGGTAATAAATTTGACTCGCTTGCTCCGCACGTTCTCTGCGGGCGGCGGTACAATGGACATATTGTGTTCGATGAAGTTGACTTCACCTCATCAGCACTGTGCTCTGGGTTCCCCTATCTTATCACTCAAGGTGGCAGATGCTACTTATGGAAGGGCAAAGGCAGCGGTGTGGACGAGCTTAGTTGTGCACGTCTAATAGGAATGGACTATGTACTCTCTGGTGAATTGGAGGAGCTCGAGGAAGGCCGCGAGCCAACGGAGTTTTGGGACCTCTTTGATGGGGCCAACAGGTTTGGTTCTGCTGATCATTGGCGGTTGAAGCCAAAGTACGAAAAATATTGCAGCCGGCTATTCCTGTCGGACGCTGCCTCCGAGCAGCAGGTGAGTTTTCAAGATGCTGTAGGTTGTTGACAGCACAACTAACACATGACGAACCCCAGATTATAGAACTGTCTATCTTTTCACAGATGGATTTGTTACCAACCAACATCTATGTGGTTGATGCTTTTTTTGAGCTATACATTGTGGTGGGGTCACGCGCTCAATCCCAGTACGCCTCGTTCCATAATGCCCTAGATTTCGCCCAAGAGTATGCAATACTGGCATCTAGTATGGAAGATAGGCCTTTTGTACCCGTCTCGACCGTTGTGCTTGAGGGCATTCCCCGAGACTTAAAGAGTGTTTTCCGGAAATGGCAGGACGCCCTAAGTCCTACAGTTACAATCACGAACACAGGGTTGAAACGAGGTCGCAGCCTCAAAGTTGTAACGTTAAGCCAGGCACTCCAGGCACTAAGCGAGTAGAGCTCGCATTCCGACATCTGGACGTAGGCCAAAATATGGTAGACGCGGCTATAGATGGTAAAATGTGCTAGGGTGAAGGGTCATAGTCGGGGCAGCGGACCACTGCTGATGATGTCCAAGCCCCATTGATGCACCGTTGTTTTTCTCGCAAAATATGGGGCAACTGGGCGGGGCTTGGGTTGTGTATTTGGAGTTTGTTAAGGGGTCAGCATTGCATTATCATCATCATCATCGTGGCGGCGTATATATTTGTCTATTGCAACTAAACCACAGCAGGCAGTGGAATCTTTCCCAGACTTGCTCGGATGTATCCTGATGTACGAGGTACGGCATGTTATACAGACGAGATGTGTGGGTTGAATCGTATATCGAACCCGTCAGATGACTTAAAAGACAGAAAACAAAATAGAGGCAGGGCTTATTACCCTGCGTTTGATGGTACCAATTTGCCTACAATTTTCGTGCTGCTCATGGATGTCACTTGCATTGTGAACGCGCTCTCAGTGAAAATCAATTACAAGTACGCTTTTTCTTTGCTCGCCCATGCCGATCCATTCGACTCATTCTTGGGTTCTGGATCCGAAATCAGGTTTGTCTAATATACCCCCATAGGTAGATTTCTAGCTCCGATAGAGCGAATGAGGTACCTCGTGACCCGAACGCACCACCACTCTTTTTTCTTTTTGGAAACTCACGGACGAGTATGAAATTTTCTCTGGGCATTTCTGTTTAGATCACTTTTTTTGTGTTCTTGATGTGAATCGGAATATCCCCCCTTCCCCCATCCCCTCTTTTTTTCCCTAGTTTCTTTCGTTCGTTTTGCCACATTACGGGTAGGATGAATTGGTGACTGACCACATCCCTCACTAATGGGAAATACCACACGTAGAGGAAGTACAGTAGTAGCAAGTAGGGTGGAATTATATTACGATTAAGTTTAGAAAATAAGCGTGCCTGGGTTTGAAAGCATGTCCGCGAAATGCGTCTTTGACCCCTCCCTTGTTTGACCTCTTACCCCTTCTCTTCTCTCTGTCCTCCTTTTTCCTCCCTCCATCATGCATGATGCTACTTGTCAATGGTAATTGCCATGATCGTTGGGATCTGGATTCCATTCATCTACATGAGGCGTATCCTGTAGACCGGGCTTTTATGCATCTTGGTTTTCCGCTCGATGACTAGAGCAATGCGGCGAAGCCAGCAATGCCGAACAAGAGCGCTGCGGCTGGAGTGACTTGAGCCGCTAGTCCTGACGGAACCTCGGAGCTGGTGCTTGTAGGATATTCAGACGAGGAGCTGCTCTTGGTCGAGGTATGGTGGACCGTGGGGTGGTGAGAAACGGTCTTGGTGATGGTAGTGGGATAGACGGTGGTGGCGGGTACGCTGTTGGGCGGGGTGACGATCACAGTCGGCACAGGGGGGAACGAGTAAGAAGGGATGCTGATGGTCGGATATACCACAGTAGAAGGCTCTGGCTCGCTAACGATGGTCGTCTCGCCAACTGATGTGCTCTCAGTTGGAACCGGGGGCTGCGAGTACGACACGGGTATGCTGATGGTTGTGGGGTATACAACAGTGGAAGAAGGCTCAGGCACGCTGACGATGGTCGTCTCGCTGACAGGAGGGACAATTATTGTCTCGCTAGTCTCGGGAATAATGGTCGTAGGGTATACGACAGTAGTAGATGAGGGCTCTGGCGTGATGGTGATGATGGTCTCACTTGTTGAAGGGACTACAGTAGTGGGATAAATGAGTGTAGAAGTTTCTGGTTCGACAACAACAGTTGTCTCGACCACAGTTGACCCAGCAGGGTACGAGATGGTCTGACTTATGGTGGTGACCAGAGTGGTGGGATATACCACGGTAGTAGTCGGTGCTGGCTCACTGATGATGGTCGTATCTCCTTCCGTGACCCAAACAGTGGGCAGCTCAGTGACTGTCTCGCCGACAGTTTCCTGCGAGGTAATAGTCACACCGAGTTCTGTTGTCTGAGTGACGGGAATAGTTTCAACAACTGTGTAAGCCGTAGTTTCGTAGATAGTCGAAGTGCCAGTGCTAGTGACATAAATAGTGGTACCTTCTGAGACCGTGGCATACGTCGTCTCGGGGCATGTCACAGTCTCGTAGACAGATGTCTCGACATGCTCGGTGACAGTGTAGGATGTATACTCAGTAGCAGTGATCGGAACATCGGTAACGATCGTCTGCGTGGCAGTCCACGTAACAACGACAGTCTCTCCTTCAACGGTCTTCGTCTCTGTCACCGGACTGACATGGGTCTTTGTGGTATAGACAACTTCTCCAGAGGTCTCGGTAACTGCAGGGCCCGTTTCAGTTGCAAAAACGGTTGTGTCGACATATGTCACTTCCACGCGAGTGGTTGTGTAGATAGTTGTGTGTGTTGAGCCGCCAACAGTAACAGTCTCCTATAATGTTCGCTGTTAGCTATTATTCTCAGCTAGTAAAGGCAAGTTAAGTTATTGGAATATTTCTGCTTTCGCCAAATTCAAGGTACATGGCAAATGGAGGAGTGAAGCTTCGTCATCTAAAACGTACAGTAACAGGGCAGGTCGTCGTATATGTGAGCTCGACCTTGGTAGTAGTACCAACGGTAGTGTCAGGCTGCGTTACAGTAACCTCCCCTCCACAGGAGCCCCCTGGACATTCCGTTACAACAATAGTCGAGGTGGCCAAACTCGTCTCAACGTATGTTCTAACGTATGTGAGTCTACGTTCGCAAAGAGATGAGTGAGATGACTTACGACCCCCCAGCAGTCACCGTAGAGAAAACTGGACATGTGGTAACAGTCGTATAGGTAGTCAGGTAATCGGTCGTAGTAGTAATAACCGGTGGAGGAGGGGGATGGGGGTAAGGAGGGTAACTGTAGCCATGTTTCCCTGCAATAGCTGAGGTAGCAAGTGCGAGAAGGATAGCGTAGGCCTTCATGATGACGACTTCACTGCCCGAAAACGAAGGTAAGAGTAAGGCAACGGGGAGATGATGGTTCAAGCAACCTTAACGAACGAGTCACTTGGTGAGCCAATAGAGGAGCTCTTAATCATAAAGGTGAAGGAAAGCAATGATGTCTTGTTTGAGGGACGACAGTCAGGCTTATATTCATGGTCTAAATCTATTGAGCTGTACAGGCATAATCAAAACGAACGCTTCAATGACATAGGCTGAGAGACCAGCAGCGGACTTTTCGACTTGCATCATGGTGGCCTGCACAGCCCGACGGGTAGCAGCAGAACCAGCTTCTCATGCTCAACGTACAAAACAAAATGCTAATCGGGGACGAAAGATGCCTGTGATACGAGGCAAGGAACACATGGTCCGGAATAAGATAGTTGGCGCATGTGGGATAGAGACCAATAGTATCATACGCGATCGTGTGTTGGTGTGCCACTTTCGTCCGCACTATATGCATCTGTAACGATCGATGACATGGTTTGTGATAGGATGGCGCCTGCAGCAGTTCGGTATAACGAATACTGATGAGCCTCCTCGAGAAAGGGAAGCTGAAGACTCAATCAGATATGATACTCCAGCCGATAGCCATGCAGCCAAGACTCCAGATGGAGGATTAGAGTATCGGGAGTCTTTGCAAGAGACCAAAAACGCCCCAGGGATCATCCACGTTGCCCAAGCGACAAGAGCGATGTGAGAACTGAGAGTGCCCTAGCACAATATACTCATGCAACACTGTTGTCCTCTTTATGCACATTCGGTCAATGAAGAATCAAAGCCCGGTTATATCAGGCAGTGTTGTGCTGCATGCCAGCTAAGATATGAAGCACCAGCTTGCGAAAACGGTTCAACAAGACGCAGTGTAACCGCATGAGGACCATGGATGGCTGTCGTCGGGAGGATATATCGTATTCTAGGCTCACGTAGGTGTCGTCATGGCTGATCAAGTTTATAGGGAGCTCCATTCTTCCTTAGCTCTCTGGTATCGTTAATCTAAATTTGCGAGTCGACTGATAGCTATCACACTATTCGTGACTTGGTGCGAATCAAGGTCTGGTCTGGCCAAGGCACCGCAAACATCTGAATGCATGGTGTGAACTGGGCTCGTGTCCGGCACAGCTGAACCGGAACCGGAGCCCTCGAACGAGTGGGTAGGTAGGTCAAGTCTACCTAGGCAGACGATGATCAGTGCCACCCAGTAGTCAGGACAACTGGACAGAGGCCCTGTAAGATGACGGGAATCGATTATGGGACGCGATGCGGTACGATACGATGCGGTGCGACTAACGCTGGCAAAACTGGCGTCGAAGTTATCGCGACTGTTGATTAAGCCGTATTGCTTTTCCCCCGTCAACCCCGCCATTTTCGTTTCCATGACGCCTATGATATAACTGCTCACTCTTGGCTGCCCCTCCTTTCATTCTCTTTACAGCCCAGTCCTACCACCCAGCGCGCGGACAGGACCGCGGGCCGCGGATATCATCACACTGGTGTGTTTTGGCCGATCGGCGGGGTGAGGATGAGCACCTCTCGCTAGATGACAGAACAACTACGCACACAAACCTGCGGTACTGCAAGTCTAGTGTCTAGTGGAGCCATGTTGCTGTTACCACTGGTATGATGTCTGAACACGTTTTCGGGGTTCTCGCATGGCTTTCTTTTTCGGAAGTGAAGGAATTAACCATTGGGCGATGGGTTCAGTTAAGAGAACCGTGAAGTTTAGAGAGATGCTGCTGTCTTCTTAGGTAAAGTTGGAAATCGAAATCATTCGCCACTTCTGATGAGGTACCATCATACTGTATATCATCCGATAGACATCAAGCCTACTTACATCCTGAGGCTAATAAATGGGTTAATAAATCAGCTCATCAAAGCAGTCCAGTGACAGGTAATTAGTGAAGCTAAACTGCCTGGTAACTGTTACCTAGGTAGGTAGGTAGGTAGGTAGGTATATCGTCAACATAAGATGGCTAAACTTCTCAGAGAGTTTTATACCTAGGTATCTTCGCAGGTTTGCAACCGTCGCCGACTGAGCTGTCGGCCCCTGAGCTGCTCCTACTACCAGGTGCCTAGACTACCTAGTAGGACATCTGCCTAGGTAAAAGAGTACTGTCTTTACCTCTATGATCATTTATCGATGAGCCCCCGGCTTCCCACCTATCTGTACCTAGGCCAGCTAGGCTCGCTAGGTAAGGCAGGTATCATATTAGAAGTATGAGCAGATCTGAAGTTGTTGAAGTTTGCGCCGCAGGGGTGAGGGATGGGGCTCTGGTATATCTATGCAGGCTGAGCGTTAGTGTAGATCACATAGAGAAGCCTACTCGGCAGATTCTAGAGTTGACGATATCAATCAAGTTCAGAATGGCTTTCAAGCTCACTCGCTCTCGAGTCGCTTATAGCTGAGCAAAAGACCTTTCTGTTAGAAGCTGGTGTATCCTTCAAAGCTGCTTACCTAACTACTACCTACCTAGGTACATAGTACCTAGGTAGGTAGTAGTGTACCAAAGTTCCCCCACAACCGTCGTCCCGCGTGCCGACCACCCTAACCGGAGTGCCGAGGTAACTACCTACCTACTACATACCTACCTAGGTAAGCTAACCCCCAGGTTTTACAGCTGGAGTAACTAAAGATTAGGTGGGTAAGTAGCCTACGGGATGGTCGGTTTATGAGCTCATTTCCAAATTACTCTGCCTGCCATATCGAGAAATCTACCCCCTGTGTCGTGTCTGATTCTATATACCTTTCGCGCCTGGCATTAATTCGCGTTGGACTCATTCCCGTGACATTCAAATCCATGCTTCAGGGTATACAGGGCCCCCGAGCCCCTTTTAGATGCCACATTTCTAGTACCGATAGACAGACAGCCAGCCCCATGGCCTGCTGAGTCCAAAAGCAAATCCGATTTGCTCTCTCATCCCCCACAGAGATCGACAGCTCGAGTAGCCGATTCGACCGGAATTGGTTGTAGATTAGGTTGCGTTCAAGCGAATTGACGCATACTTAGACGAAGGGCAAAGGAAAAGCCCAAGAGAAGCGAACAAATCAACAACGGCAGCCATTATGACGTCGACCGGAATTACCTCGACGACCGACCTGCCAACGGGCGACCCCGTCCCGTCGTCCACGGCCCCCGTGCCCGCCCCGAAACCAAAGCCCTTGCCCCTCCGCGAGCTCCTCGCCGCAGCGCCCTCCAACATAGATGCATTCCTAGCACACCTGCAGCGGTGCTTGTCCACGCCGTCCGGCATCGACACCGTCCTCCAGATCGTGTGCTACTCGTCACGCCTCACCGCAGCAATCCTCTCGACCCTCGTCCAGCCTGCCCTGCAGCGCAGCGCCTCGCGGCTGATCGCGCTCGCGAGCGCCCTCCCGCCCTCGGCAACCCTCATCTTCGATGCCAAGACTCTGCCCTCGTCGAGCGCGGCGCTAGCCCTCAGCCTCGCGCGACGGCTGAAGGCTCTCAGCGTGCTCACGAGCGAGGCCCGCACCATCATGCGCTTGTGGGGCTTGCTGAGCATGTACTTCTGGGGCCGCTCGCTCGTCCTCAGTCTCCGCCGGAAGAAGCAGGCCGAGGGCGAGAAGACCAGTCCTGCCGAGAGCAAATTCAAGACGAGTCTCGCCTGGTCCCAACTCGCCGCTTGCATCGGCTACCAGTCCATGGAGAACGTTTTGTTCTTGGCGACAAAGGGCGTGTTGGACGTAGCACCGAAGACGCAGGGCAAGTTGGGCCTGTGGTGCGCGCGGTGCTGGGGCGCGTTCGTCGGACTGGAGCTCATGCGGCTCTTCCACGAGTCGTCGAACCGGGCACGGCGCACGCGCGCCGAGAAGTTCGCGGGCGGCAAGACGGTGGCCCTCGTCGAGCAAGAAGAGCGCGAGTGGACCTCTAACTGGCGCAAGACATTAGCACGCAACCTCGCCTGGGCCCCGCTTACCGTGCACTTGAGCATCGAGCGGGACATCGTGTCCGAGCTGGGATTCGGCGCGCTCGGCTTCATACCCAGTGTTATTCAGATGTACGATTTGTGGCGCAGTACAACGGAGTAAAGCAGGGGAAGGCGAAAGGGACAAGATAGACGGGCGATTTACGATACAGGGCCTATCGTATATATTTACATCACATAAAGTCAAGCGAGTGAGCATTAGAATCAATTATAACGCGGGGAAAGACGCAGGAGCGAAAGGCTACCCTCAATAGTATATGTGGAATTAGGAGAGCAACTCTCGTGCAACTAGTGTATATAAGAGCGAGATAAGAGCCTACCGGGTAACTTCCACGAGATGAATTATAGGGCTTCGATGGATACGAAAGACAAGGTGAAAGGATGTAGAATTCTTGGACGTAAAATTTTTACAATATACCAGTTTATGAAGTTCATATTATGATCGTATTCATCTGATAATGAAATCTATCAATGTGACGCCTTAATCGCGGCAATAGAGATCATATTTTTCTTCACTTTCAAGTACAACCAGATGTAACCTTGAGAGACAAATCAATCACTAATAGCACATCTCAGGTCTAGTATTGTGTTGTTGTTTTTTTGTACAATACAGATCCCCAGCCGAGGATCCAAAGCTTATACTCATACTACGCCAGTTCCCACTCTTTTCAAGATTTACAAATGCTGGTATTAATGCCCATATTGTAGTCCAAAACGCCAGTGCACCCTCTCCTTTCTCATCAAAACATTACATTCATCTGATTTTGGTCTTCAATCGTTCCCACTCCTTTCTATGGATTTATTAGGCCAGCATTACGATTACAAAAAAAGCAACGCGGTGAAAAGAGACCACGTTAAAGTTAATAACATGCTGGAAGTTGTGCGCAATATTGTCTCCGCGCCGCCAATGAAGACAGTATCAAATGGGCTTCCGCCACCTGATGAACCTCGCCCTGGTTGGTTATCATCGGCATCACCGTTATCGTTGTCATCTGTTTGTGTTGGGGTAGGCGAGCTCATTAGTGGTGTCGTCTCTGTATTCTGTGTCTGGGTAGGAGTGACGCTGGTCATTGTTGTGTCAATGTCACTTGGGGTTTCAGTCGTCGCTGTGGCGCTTTCAGTACGACTAGTTGAAGTAATCGTATCCGCTGTCGTAGAGCTTTCGTCGCGGCTTTCAGATGTGGATGTCGTTATTGTTGACAAGGTTTCTGGTGTGCTTGTTATAGTTGATGTTTCTTGTGTCTGGCTAGGTGTTAAAAAGGTACGTGTTGTGGTTGGTTTCTCAGTTGAAGTTACCGAGGTGGCCTGGAAATTTGGACAAAGAGCGTCTAGTAGCCCTCCTTGTAATGCCAGTCCCAGAAGGGACCTCTCGTTGACGTCAACATGCTTGCAAGCTTCTATAATGCGCTTCTGATCTTCCTGGACCCCTTCAGCACAGCTTTCTGAGCATTGAACGCCATCTTTGAAATCTCTGCGCGAGCAGCCTGGTATTAGGCTACCATAGGCACCGAGACACGACAGTGACGGGACTTGAATTATCGTTATAAATTGGAAATCTTGCAGCGAAACAGCCGTGGTCGTCGAAGCAATGGCTAACAGTTGGGCAAGCTGTATGAGCCTTCGTGATCGTCGGTAGCCATTCATGTTTTGAGAAAGGACGAAGAGCCCACAAGCTCTTTTTGCACCGTCCTGCTTGAATTATATGGAAATGAGTCGTGTCTCTATCTAGGTACACCCTTGATGTTGGCCACGCAAGAAGTGGCCGCGGCCGTAGATTAGCTCCCCGGGCTATACACGGAATGTATAATCCTGAGAGGATGATCCTCCAGGTCGATATACAACGCCTAGATCTGGACGGATATGACGCAGGCTTCGAATGGATAGTGAAGATCAGGTTCGTAGTCACCCGAAACGCGAATGGTATCAAAGCGACCTTGCTACCAGGATATACACGTGGGTACCCGGTGAAGTCGCGCAGAACTCCAGTAAGATCGAATAGCGGGAGGTGATAAGTTGTTGTAACTATAGTGTCCTGTGCGCCCCTTTGTCTGATCGCTGTGCCTTTCCTCGTCCCAAATTCTGACTTGTGTAGCACTTTTCCTTGCTACTGATCATGTATGCCAGCAGCCACCCGCTGGCCGGACGTCCACCCACTGGCGATGTAAATCAGATGATGCACCGGTTCTTCGGAAGCCTGCGCAACACGAGAGTTGGATACCGCGCTCTTGGCTAAGCGGAGGGATGTAGCGCAGCAGTAGGAGAGACAGCTAGGAAGGCAATCAGATTATTAGTGCCCAAGAAGACCGACCCAAGAGACGAACGCGATCCAGTTGTTTGCCGTGGAATGGTGTATTGATGAGATTACCTCAACGCGACGTAGTGGGCAGGTCGTGAGGAATTCACGAAGTTTCAGACTGAAAGACAGAAGGAGACGGACAGGAGGAGGAAACAACTTGAAGGAAGAGAAGGTTTCAAGCAGGTACGAAACAATCGGGAAACAGCTTCCTATTTTCAAGTTGCACCTTGCCATACATAGTATCCGCATAGATAGTACTTTACTATACGCAGAGTCCCGAGGTCTCAGCGTACATACAGCAAAGCATCATGCCATCTTGTTTCCTGCTTCTACTATCGGAGTCCCATCATACCTACATCATAAGAGATACACAAGTAACCGTAATAGGCAATCCATCAGCGCTTCCTGGCCTCTTCCCCTGGTTTACGTCCCCCGCCAGGGGCCTCGACGGGTCTCACCATCTCTAGTCTGAGTGCAGATATATCCAGATCCAAGGTTATCTGGCAGTACTCTGGTAGCTTCGGCGACTGTAGATTGCCTTCCTGTGTTCTACGCGGTCACAGACTGGACAAAGCACAGGGCCGGGTGGTCCCCTTGATCGGCGGGATGCGCGAAATTGTCCAATAAGGCGGCCGAGGTGTGGTCAAACGAAACGGCCTTCTGTTTGAGATACTGGTTGAGATCACCCCTGCCTCGAGTCTCATTAACCTATGATTGGCTAGAGTGTCTGTCAGCAAGGCATTTCAGCCAAACCATTGGAGCACCTGTAGTATGTGGGGTTCCGTCTTGTGTTCAGGCGCTTCGCTTGTAGTGTATGTAGCCTTTGCTTGCTCGTGCACTTGCTGCTCGATGTAAGGTCGCTCGCGAGAATGGAAAAGAGTAAAAATAAAATAAAAAAAGGTGTTTTGAATAAGAAGTAGATAGAGCGGCGAATATGAGAAGTTAGTATAGGAATAGAATAAGGAGCTGCAGTTTTTACTATTCTCTCGGTATCTAAGTAGGCATCACCACTTACTTACGAAGGAGGGACGGACGGCTAGGCGTTTGCTGAACTATTTTAGGTGCGACATTGAATTCATGATCGTACCACTACACTCTTCATTGGCATGTTTGAGACTATATTGCAACACTCGGACTTAAGACTTGGGCAACCTCCGTACGTCTACGTACAGATTTACATACTTACCTACACGCAGGCTGTAAGTCGTGTTACTGTGACTCCAACTGTGTGATGTTGAATGTGCTACAACTTCTAGCATCTAAGCTGCTGAAGAGGGCACCTTTACAAGGTAGGTAGGATTACTCCCTACAGCCCTAGTTAGCCAGCTTACAGCATTGGGTCTTTTGCTCGTTACAAATTCTGTATATTTCTGCTTATCATCCTAGTTCTGTACTCTTGGCCCTTTCCGATCCCAAGTGGGGAGAACTGAGCGAGTTGGCCGTTGTTTGACCCTAAACGTTTTGCCGCCCGGGACATATTGGTGCGACCGCAAACAATGAGCATCGAGTACCTTTTTGATAAGTGGATAAAGAAGATGTACCCGAATATCTTCTTATAGTATCTGTATGGAATTCTTACCACAATCTCGCTCAGTTATGTATATAATACAGAAAGAAGTGGAAGAGGTAAGTTGGGTCGGCGAAGCGAGTCACCGGCTGACATACATAGTAGTTCTGCAGTGCCGAGGGCCTATTGCTGCAATTAGTACAAATGATTCAGAATGATGCGGCTTCGATGGCTTGTAGGATACAGCGGTTCCTTCAGATACCTGGCTAGATAAACCCAACCAATGCCAACTCCGAATCTTGATGGCAATCCGGTGCTAGTCCAAAAAGTAGTATCAATCTCTAATACACCCAGGCTAGTAGAATTGCTTGAGTCGATACAGTGAATAAACAACATTATGGATGCGACAGCTCGGGAAGAGATCAAGTCGAAGGTCCTCGCCAACCTAGAGCAGACTCTATTTGCAGCTGCATCGTTGCACGCACTTTCGGGTGGCACGGCTAACTTCCTCTACCATGCAACGTTGAAGAAGTCTCTCCCCGATGGTACGATAGACGTTCTCGTCAAGCATAGCGAGGACTACATTGCCAATTCGCCAACCTTCAAGCTAACGCTATTTCGCTGTGTAAGACCAGAAATCAGGAAATTTCCCTACAAAAATAACTATCCAGTACTGACATGTTCGAAAGCGCATCGAAGAGGAGTGTTTGAAAGCATTGTCCGACTTCTCAATTGAAGAGAAATCAAGCGACACAGCCAGATTCATAGTAAGAACACCTAGGGTCTACCACTTCGACGAAGAACGCAGTACACAAATTCAAGAGCTGCTGCGCGATGGCAAAGATCTAAAAACATACGCACTCGACACGTACTTGGCGAACACACCTGACGCAGTACGTCCGCAATGTCTCCAGCTCGGCCGCGCGCTGGGGAAATGGCTGCGGAGCTTTCACACTTGGTCAGCGACGCAGACGGGGTTGCGCCAGATGGTGACCGGAAACAAAGAGCTGCAACAGTTGAAGCATTATATCAACTTCTCGTGGCTCCTCGACCGCGTGGAGCAGTTCCCGTCAATCTTGAGCGAGGCAAAGGGCGTATTCGAGAACGTTAAAGAAATGGCAGCGAAAGAGCTTGAGGACGAAAGTCAATTGCAACCTATCCATGGCGACTTCTGGACAGGAAAGTAAGTGACTATTTCCAACCGGCCTCTTACGCCGCCGAAGGGGATCCTTTGTGCTAACTACCAACTTAAGCATCTTATTGCCAGACAGGCCCATTCACGAAAACAGCGACATCACCATGTTCGTCATTGATTGGGAAATGGCACAGATGGGGCTGCCGAACCTAGATTTTGGTCAGATGGTGGCCGAGCTGTACGAGTTGAAGCTCTACAAAGACATCACTGCCGGTCTGTGGATGGTGCAAGGGTTCGCGGAGGGCTACGGCGAAGTAAGTGACGACTTTGCCTTCCGCACGGCGATTCAAATTGGGGCACATTTGGTTAGTTTTGGGACGTCGGTTCAAGGCTGGGGAACGCCGGAACAGGTGGAAATGGTAGCTCGCACGGGACGAGATATCATAGTCCATGCGTGGCAGAAAGACCGCGCGTGGTTTCAGCAAGGTGATCTGGCGTGTCTGTTCGGCTCGGCTGCATAAGAGGAGACGACAAGGCACAGCGAAGTTTACAATTACTGCACCTGTAGACCTAGAACTACACTTATATGCTTATTAATGATGAGTGTGTTTCCGGCGGGCATGGCTTCACATTGATATGTAGTGAATGGTGTCGTTGGACGTTAAGTGGCAAAGCTACCACAGGGCCGCTTTTAGGGGTTCACAAACTCTGACTGACTTCAGTCAAAAATTTCCCCACATCCTCCAAAAAGTGAGTGAGTCAGATCAAGCATGAACCTGCATTGAATTCAACTTGCAAGCCATCTACATAACATTATTTTTGCTTGATTTCATTATACTATTTTGAGCATAGAGTGATACCCCGGGCTTTTTTTTCTGAGCCTATCTTACTATGGTCACGAACACGACAGCGGCAACACCGGTTTGCACGCGGTGCAAAGAGCAAGAGGGAGTATTAGACTTGCGATCTGATTTAGTATGTCGGTAAGTCATATTTCTCATGTTGCTTGTCATCTTGATTACATTTTGACATACCTCAGAAAGTCCACGTTGCATTTAGCTGATTAGCTTGCTGACCGTGTAGCCAGGACATGTTTCGCCACATTCGTCGCGAGCAAGACCATCAAGCGGCTCGAGGTGCTTCAGCGTGAGACACGAGGCACAAAACTGACATCACGCCCTCAGCGCTACCTCCTAGCGTTATCACGCGGGCCGTCATCGACGGCGCTATTGCATATCTTGGATGAGAATGTCCGCAGACAGCGTGAGAAGAGTGGGCGCGTTAAGTTTGAGCTGGTAGTAGTCTTCGTAGATATCGACGTCGACGTCAAGCAGCCAGAGGAAAGGAAGACGACGACGAGCCAGCCGCCAGGATCAGATGCCACATCGCCAACGCCCACAAACGGAACCGCGACGCGCGCATGCGCAGGGACTGCACGACCATCTTCGGAGAGCGCAGACACATTTGCAGCGCACTTCCCCGAACTTACCATTCACACCGTGCTGCTCTCCAGCATCCTGTCATCACCAGCAATAGACTGGTCTCTCCTCCCGTCACAAAACACATCCCTGGCCCCCTCACAGCGCCTTGCAGATTTCTTCGCTCGCCTTCCCTCAGCCAGCGCCCGTGCAGACGTCTCGCGCCTGCTCATACGGCATGCGCTATACGCCGCGGCCTTAGCGCACGAGTGCGCGGTGATTCTTCTAGGGTACACGACGACGGCGCTAGCAGAACTCACGCTCTCCGAGGCAGCCAAAGGCCGCGGCTTCGGGATCCCATGGTTCGTGAACGACGGCGCCTTTCCCTTGCCGAGGGCTGTAGATCTCGATCAAGCAGTCTCCAGCATAGCAGACGTCTCGAGAGGCCTTGCGTACACAGGACTCGCCGATGACGAAATTGCCAGCGCCGGTCATCCCCCTACCAGCATCCACATCTACAGTCCCCTACGCGAGATCTTCAGGAAAGAGGTCCTGACGTATCTCTCCATCGTCAGCTCCCCATCCGGTCCGCTAGCAGCGCTCTTCCCCTCCTTATCAACGCCTCAGAATCAAGGCGCCGACGAGCGCAGTGGCGGAGCCGTAGTCTCGCACCGTGATCTGAGTCTAGACGACGTGGTGACGCGATTTTTCACGGACGCGGAGGCATCGTATCCGAGTGTCGTGGCGAACGTGGTGCGCACGACGGGCAAGCTGAACCGGCTGACGCCCGTCCTCACTACCCAACAGACTGACGCAGGTGCACAGGTCGCAGGGCGACAGTGTAGGCTGTGTGGGGTCGGACTAGATCCACTGGGCGACGAGCGGTGGAAAGGGGAGATTGGCGAAGTGGATGTGATTGCCTCGAATATTGTGTCGGATGCTGACGGGTCTGTCAGGGCGGAGAGAAGGGGGAGGTTATGCTATGGTTGCGAGAGATCTGTAAGGGGGTAGATAATAGACATATTGTTTATGATGCCAGAAAAAGAGAATGAGAGATGACCGCAAATGATGCATGATTATGGATGTAGCTCTAATCTCCAGTAATGGTCAAGGAGAAGTGAAGGCCATGAACTCTTAACACTCTACTCGCATTATTTTTGTCTACTATATACAAGAATATCTATATTTCTGGATCTAGAGGGGGTAGAAACGCCCGTCCACCACACTTGCCATAGCGTTCCTCTTTCTAACGCTTGAGACCCAGAGCCGTTTTTTAGAACAAGACGCCTGCCGGTACTCCTCAGAAAGTTTCACCCCGTAAACACTTACTGGTGAGCTTCGTTGTATGGGAAAGAGTGTTCACACGAATCCTAACAGGCTTCCTGGTTCAAATGAGATCTGTCTACCGAACCATTGTACACCTGTGCACTTTTTATTTTCCCGAAACCCTCAAAATCCCCCCATCCGAAATCCAGACACACTGGACACTGTTTGCTGGAAGAGTTCTGTAGTAGACTAAATTTTTGGTTAACGAGCATCACCAAACTCTGAAGCGGGTAGAATTTTCTGCTCAATCTTTCGAACCAACTTGTTGGTTTGCTCAGCAAGACTGAGTGTCAGAATGGTATGTGGTAATATGCGAGCTAGATGGGGGAGGAAGCCCTTGTAGATGGCAAAGAAACCTTCGGTACGGATCGTCTTGCCCAGGCAGTCAAAAACACCCTTGTACAGGTCACCATGTTGGTTATAGAGACGTGACATGATAGTATCTGTGCACATTATTAGTCAGAAATATATGTTGTAGAAGCAACATATTTATATTAGCGACTTTCCAAGTCAACTTGAATCGCAGAATTCATAGGAAAGTGGGAGTAGGTGCAAGACATGCAGAGTGAGAAAAGAGGTGCGCTCACCTGGTGGATGCATGAAGCAGCAGACTACAAAGCCTGATGCAGTACTGCTTGCCAGATGTAATGGCGCACCCTCCTCCATGCCCACGTGCTTCGTGAGCATTCTCTTTGCTAGGAAGTATGTGGGTAGCTGTACGGAGCTACCGAAGCCGGTACGAATCATGGCCGCGCCCACACCTCTGTATAGGCCACCGATGCCACCCGCCTTGTAAATCTGGCGCGTACCATCGATCGCATTGCGGTATTTGTGCTGTGTGCCGACAGGGAGGAAGGGTGAATAGCTCTGAAGACGGGTCTTGACGAGGAAGAAAGGGGAGCCGGCGGCGGCGCCAATGATGCCCGATGATGCGCCGCAAAACATATTGATGGCGAGATTCTGCCTAGCACCATCGTTCAACAGGAGGGACGCGAGACCATGGCGCATGGGCTCATAGAAACCCAACCGGCAGCCGTTGAGCAAGATCTGATACACGTATGCGCATCCTAAACCTCTGTATATGCCACGAATGCCCTCATTTCGGACAATGACGCTGACACCGTGGATGGGGCCTCGGTAGTGATGTGGCTGGTGGCCTTTGGATTGGAGCTCGCCTTGCAGCTGCATTCTATTTGCGACGCGACCATCACGTTAGCCTTGACCCAGCTCTGCCCTCTGAGTCCCCCTTGTTCTGATCTTCAGCTCTTCGCACAGAGAGCCTGGCATCGAATGGGAGGATATTGCATACCGAATCTTGACGGTTTCGAAAGGATGCGTGGCCGTGACAGCACCGCAGGCGGCGATGCCACCAGCTATGAAAGCTCTGCGTGTCCGAATCAGCCGGCTGGTAAGATAACATCACCGAGAGAGAACCACGACGACTTACCCAACAGTGGTCGACATAGCGCCGCCCCGAGTCCCTGGTTGCGCACCAATTATCAACTACCAGTCACCAGCACAGCAAGGCGCAAGAACTCGTAGAGTATCCAAGACAAACAATGAACAAGCTGTTGGAGCGGCCAGAAGCGGTCAGAATCGGAGGAACGCCAAGGGCCGGGACGCTGGACTTGGCACAGGTCACCGCATGAGGCCGAGGCCGATCGATTTTTTCGGGGAGGGTGTCACAAGATGAATAGGTGAAGGATCCGAAAACAAGCAGAGCATGGACAGATGTGAAAAACGACAACTCGGAGGATACTTGGGATCTGACTGCATTGCCAGTCGGCTTAAGAAAGCCTGTACATGTAGGTACAAAAAGATGCTGCGCTAGTCAGCGACGCCATTCGAGACGGGGCCGTTCTAGGGTCGCTGGCATCCGAGATCGCAACCGATGAGAGGAGGTAGGTAGTGCTACTTCACACGAAACGAAAAAAGTGTAAGTAAGTAGGTAGCCTTTCACTACTTGAGTATTCCTATTAGCGAATGGGAAAGCTGGTAAACTCGCATAACTATAATACAGGTATATTAAGCATTAAGCAAGTACCTACGTACTCACGCAGATGGGTTTGGTACTCTACCTTGTTCTTTTACGTCCTACTGTACACAACCGTCTGACATCAGCGTTCTATGTCTACATCTGGCGATATTCGTCAAGATATAAACCTCGACGCTTTATTTTCTTGCCCTTTACTTGTATTTATTAACCAAGGCGCATGCATACGGCTCATGATTTTTCCCCTAAGGTTTGCATCTGATTGAAATATATAAATACCACAAGTTCTCAGAGGAGTCTGATGTCTCGGAGAAGAATACTTTCATAGCTACAATTGAAGAACGAGTGAGGCCTCATGGAACTAGCAAGAGAGTGGTTCTATATTGAGTAGAATCATAACATGGGATTTATTGGTCGAAACGTGTGATGTCACGATTTGTGCCACAACAAGGTGCCAAATATAAAAGCCTTGGCTTGAAGAAATATGTGTCTTTGAAAAAACCGAGCATCCCCAAGTTGGCTCCAATGTGTTCAATGCGTATGTGATATCTAGAACTAACGATGCAATGATCGAAAACAGGTAGCAAAATCGGTTCGCTAGCTAATGTTCCCCCGGTACAATGCTCTAAAGAAAAGGATATAAATCGCCCATATTCGCTCCATGCCGAAAATCACAATGACCATTGATGTCTCACTCAAAAACACACCACTAATGCAGAGAAAAAAGTGGACTCTTAGTCATCGCCTCATAACAACCGTCATATGATTTTCTTGCCGCGTGACGCTTAAAACGACTCGCGTCCGGCAAGTTAACTAGGTGGGTACAGGCAATTTGTCGACTCGAGACGTGAAGGGGACAGCTGCACCGACATCTCACAAGCCCACTGTACCCAAGCCAAGCAGGAGTCGCTCAAGGTCCTCCTATATTTGATTCGGTCCTGCCTGCGCCTGTGCGGCAGCATTCAGACTTCCCATAGCATTTCTTCTTGCGCTCTCTTGAGAGACACGTGCTGGATTTCCATCAAATACCCAGGGGCCAGCATCATTCCTAGGCGTAATTGGTCCTTCGTGGACATTTAATAACCCATTTGGAGTAGGCGATGGCGTTCTGCGTGGAGAGGCGCTCGGAATGGGCACGGGATCCGACGCTGCATGTCTCGATGGGCCAGCAGATGTCTGAGGTGTTGTTGTACTTGCTAGGTGTACCGTTGCGTCGCCAGGCTCGGCTTGGTCAGCGTACCGTTTCAACGAATCATCGTTTGCTTGTGGCGCTGGATTTATATGTGCGTTATTTGCAGGGCGTGCGTCTTCTTCAGCCTTGTCTTCTGCAATTTCTTCCGGAAGTTGTTGCCACTCTTCTGCTGGCTCATCAATTTCGGCATCCAGATCAGCAGTCGCCCTGCAGTTGGGGCATATGAAAATTGGCCACGAAGGCCCGTGTAGCATCTCACGAATGCATTTGAAATGCCACGTGTGAGAGCATGGAGCAACAAAGAGCGATTGACAAGGCTACACATAGACTTAGCATAAGATAGCATGGTTTTGGAGTCTTAGGGATATTGAAAACGTACTGCAATCGCATTCAGGCAGATGGAGCAATCTTGAGCATGGGATGACCCTGGTGATGCAGTTGACGCGGGTGATGTCAAATCTCTTAAGCGCTTGTGAGTGGTCATGCTATGATTGCATTAGCATCATCTAACTAAGTTTTGGGCAAAGGTAAAACAGTGTGACTTCGGGAGGAATCGGCAGAGCACGAAACAACTTACTTGAAAGCATTAGGTTTGGCCTGCCAACCCCTATTCAGTTCGATGCGCATTTTGACACATCTATAAATCATTTCTTCACCGCCTTTAAAGTCTATCCCCAACTGTACAATGTCTCCATCATTAATGGGATACGGCTTGGACTCCGTAGCAGGAGCACTTAGGCGAATATGATTGAGAAACGTGCCAGACGAGCTCTTGACATCCTTGATATACCATTTCCCCTTCTCATACCAGAACTCGCAATGACGCCGACTGACGACCTTGCTTTTGAACCCCACGGGGGCTGCCGATGGAGCGTTCATAGGAACGGGTGCATGATTTTCTCGCTCGGAATAACGCCCAACTTTGATAGTCTCCTTGCCGGTTGGTAGGGTGCGAGCAACTGGTGTGAAGGATAAGGAGGGACGAGTGGCCCGCGGGTCGAAGAAAGCCGATAAGCGTATGGAGGGGAGCGCTTCATTGGGAGACATTTCGTTCAAAGTTCCTAGCGTTGCAGAACGGGCCCTTGTCATGTCTACGCGGACACTGGGTAACTCTGGGCTGGGACTGGAATTTGACTCCAATCTCTCCTGCAACAAGGCTAGCGCAGCGCTCTCACTAAAGCGAGAACTGAAGCGACGATTGTCGGGGCTCGAGCTACGGTTCCTAGCGGCGTTCTGATCAGCTCGGGGGATGGGATCAACTATCGTGGTGTCGAGAGTTATTGAAAGTGGCTCTGCCAGGTAATCGTCGCCGGTAATGTTCAGAGCATCAGAGAATGTGGCGGCGAGAGCTGACTCTTCTTGGTTGGGGTTGGGAGGGCGGGAGGTGGAGCGTGCACGACTGGCGCTACTATTCCCGCGAATGGACGAAGAGCGAAAGATGGCGCCGTGGATGCTGTGGCGGTTGGGATTGCGAGAGCTGCTTGACTCGCGGCTGGAAAGGAGCGAATTGGCGGTGTAGCTGCGAAGATTAATGATGCCACTGAGCCGTCGTCGCGCCGATGACGTTGCGGATGTTGCTGTTGAGGGAGAGGGTGTGGACGAGGCAAGAGGGTCGAAAATGGCAGGCGACGGAACGGCTGCGGGTTGGGACAGCATTTTAACGCCTAGTAACAATCGACCTGCCTGGCCCCAGTTGGAGGTCAGGTTGGCCTGTGGTCGCGTGAGTTTAGGGGGGGCGGAGAAGGGGGTTAGGGCGGGGGTTGGCGTGCTGCTCAGGTGCCCAGGTGCCTGGATTTGGTGCCCAGTGCTGGATGCTGCAGCACTATGAATGAACGGGGAGTTATACGACGTTGCCAGGCCAAGTTGTGATAATGCGCCTCGGCGTGTAGGCGGATATTCACGAGTACTGTATGCAGGTCCAATGTCTCATTAAACTCTCGAATAAAACTCTCGAGCAATAAAGCGAAGCCCCATGAACAGGGGATGGTGAACACGAAATGGAAGAAATGAACGGATGGATGGATGGATGGATGATTAATAGGTGTAGCGATGTACTCTATGTCGGCCTACAATCGAATGAACGACGCCAGCTAGCCAACAACAGTGAAAAGACGCCCAGAAAGATTCACTGGTCGAGGTACGCAAAAAGATTCTTGATAACGTGGTATTGCTGGCTGCTCGAGTGGCTGAAGACGAACTCGGGCTTTCATAAGACGAGGCTCCTCGGGATGTAATGTATAAGCTGCAGCAAGAAACAAAACAGGGCGTCGATGGGTATAGAAAGTCGGGTATCTACAGTACAAGCAGTCAGTTCATCGGCAAAGCGTGCAAGACGATATTACTGGCGAGCCAACGTAGAGGTCGAGGACGTACACTCTGTATGTGAGGAGGAACAAACCAAGAGAGCGGTATGCCGAGGGATGCTGCAGAAAGGATGTCGAAAACGCCAAAAAGAATTTCAGAAAAATCTAGACAAGGAAACAGCTGAGGCACGATAGGTAATATACCGAGCAGCATTATTGCACCCGTCGGGATCGATCTGTCATGCAGTATCCCAAACATAGTATATGTTAATCTACACTACACTAAATTATAACGAGCTAGGGGGTGTCAAATCCACTGGGGCTCAGATGGCGCGAGTTCATGATGATCTCTCCATCAGGATGGTTGAGGATGCAAGCAGCTGCTTTGTTGACCAGGAATGGCCTTCCTTGGACGGGCCATGTACTATAGTACGGAGCCGATCCATTATTAGATAGCTTCCATGTACATGACACACCCCACAAGGTGCATTAGGTCGGAGGATTGACTGAAGGAGTACCTGGAACAATATCGTGGCCATCATGAAGATACCTAGCGTCCTAGCTGACTGCATTAGATCTAATCACGGCCCTACCTATTGGATAAAGGAAAAACCAGCCGTTCTAGCGGTCTGGCTAACGGGAGCTGCCAGTTTAAGGACTCGTGATGGCGATGTCCGGCCAGCTCAAGCACTTCAAGGGTCGTGTGGAATAATATAACCTGAAGCTCTATTCGAGACAACACGCCGCCGGCAGACACTTCAGATCGAGGCCTACGAAGTATATGGAGTGGTAACGACTTGGCAAAATCCTCATATGCCTTCTGATTCGCCTACGGTCACTGTCTGTCTCAAAACCACTACGGTACCTACATGTTATTCATTACACGCATCAACCGCGAGCCTGACCAGATCAAGTATGAGACTCGAGACCCAAACAGCAGCCCCAGTCAAGCCATCAGGCACTTGTACATGACACGCTTTGTTCTGGCTGGCCTCTTCTCGGACAAGGGACTAAGAAGAAGACATGGTCTCAGATATTGCCCAAGGCTTCACTTCACGGCTTGGGGATGGGGTTTCTACGATGGCTGTCGTTCTCCTTCCTCTTGCTTATGCATGGATGAAGGACTCATGCTAGCTCCGGCAAGCATCTGGGACAGGATATCTGGATGCTGAATAGTCGGACACGGGTACCTAGTCAGCCTGCAAGTTGATCCTACTGCGACGTTCTGGGGCATCTTTACTTAAATGGGGAACCTTCTGGATTTTATCGCAATTATGCCTACCCCGGCCAGTACTCCAAGTACGTAAGGCAAAGCTCTACCCCCATTCGCCGGTACCTACTTACATAGTACCTACTCGCCTGGTACTCGCCTACCGCATTGGCACTGCATGGGGTGAGGGAAAACATACGTGTAATACCTAACGCAGAATGCAGAATGCAGTACCGATGAGTGGAGAGGAGAGAAGCCCGCAAAACCCCTTGTAGGTAGTGTAAGTAGGTAGTTCATTTAAAGACGACCGGTACATACCAGGATAGTACGCAGAAAGTACCGTTCTTGGCCTGGGTCCCCGTTCTGTGACTGCTTATGACGATCGCCCAACTATGCTGACCTTGATCGTGTAGTGTTGACTACTAACCTGACGTAAACTGCCTAATAGCGTGCTAGAGTCATCACCTGGATTTCATCAGTTCATTCTACTTCGTAAACCCAAGTCTAGCGTGTGGATGGGATGTACATGTACGCGTACTGTAGATCGCAGGGCAAGATAATTCCACCAGAATTTCGGACGTCAAAGTTGCAACATTCTCTTGCGCAACTCGGACACAACGCAACTGTACTACCTACCTACTATGTAAGTAAGTACCTACGCAGACGTTGCCACCGGCATTGACCTGTCATGGTAGGTATTTACGGAGTGCATAAGTCAGCAAGCAGGAATTATCACGGTTCTGTCATGGGCTGACATGGGGCTGGCATGGGGGGTGGGCAGAGATGGGCTACACTAAACTTCACCTAGCACTCGACCTCGAATCCCCCACTGCAGAATCCACCTTGGTGTAATTTTAGCACACCTTCCGCGTGAGCGCTTGAGCGCGAGGCTTTGTTCGAGTGTTTCAGTTTCTGGAATTAGCACCAGAGGTGACCCGGTCCAGAACCAGCTCGCCAGCCAAGCAAATCAATTCTTAGCCCACCCCGGGTTTCAAATGTCGGTGCTGCCGATACTACGGTAGGTACCTGCTCTACTAAGCAAATACACTACCTACAGTAGCGTGCAAGCTCGCTGCACAATTACCTGCATCTATGGCCATTCAAGCCTCATCTGCCGGAGCCCCATCCAAGACTGCGATACCTGTACCTATTTACCAGGACGACTACAGATACAAAATCTATATAGTGCATGCTTCCATATCAGATTTTCAAGGAGGTTGATAAGATTACCTAGGTAGTTTATAATACTGTAGGGTAATCTATCTGTTATCTGACTAAGAAGTTCTGTGCATATTGATTTGAATGCTAGGTTATTTACATTGGTACGTTAAGTAGCAGTAGTCAGCCAACTTCTGTTTCGAAACATTTGACATTTGAAAGTGAACTATTAGCCCAGTATCCACAACAACAACAACACCCCCAGATCTATCTAAACCATGTGCTAATTAGCGCAGTAAGTCATGTGTGTCAAAGCATAGTGAGTGAACTACGGCTTTCATCATGGTCATATGACGGTTATGTGAAGTTGGTGATGAGTCCTTTTAGATAGAATCTCTCCTAGCTCTTATGAGAACTTGTCCTGGTACCTCACTTGCATTACTGAGCCAGTTCTTATTCGTCATGAAAAGGCTACACAGTAAACTCTCCGTCGTAATTATTGTACTATTAACGTCATCCTAATACTGGTTTAAGAGAGGAGGCGCAAGTAAGTAATGGCTCAGCCCTATTACTTCGTATGGTGGTTACCAAAATTGATCTATGCTTACCTAAGCCCACCTACGAAAGTACCTATTGCAGAGTCATGTGATAGCCCTCCAGTGCTACCTTCAAATGTTGTTAGGTACTATGTAGTTCATTGGTGTCCGATGATAAGATGATAAGCGATCCCGATAAGCATATCCATGCTCCGATAAGGGTCCCTTGGTCATCTTCAATCGTCACTGTCAAATATCTCCTCCTCCAGTTGGAAGAGCACTAGCTGAGGCACCCCCGCGCAACCGCTTCGTGATGTTTCGCGCGTATACGTCGAAGTCTTTGGTGAGAGGCTTTGCCTCGCCCAGGAGTGCCACGGCCAGGGCTGCGCGTCTCTCATTAAACCGCAGCCTTGCCACCGTCAAAGTTCGAGATGCTAAGGTAGTCAAAATCCTTTTCCCAAGCCGTTTCCACATTATGGATGGACATGTGCATATGTAGACACATCTTCTAACTGCCTCGCTAGGAACCTACTGAACTAGATCACATAACAACGCTTCCAAATGGTGTTCGCGTGGCATCTGAAGCGCTTCCCGGGTCTTTCTCTGGTGTCGGTGTTTATGTCGAGGCAGGATCGCGATTCGAAACTCCCCAGCTCAGCGGCCTGAGCCACCTTGTCGATCGTCTAGCCTTCAAATCCACAACTAGTAAATCCAGTGAGGAAATTCAAGAGATTGTTGAATCGCTTGGCGGGAACATACAAAGTGTTTCTTCCAGAGAATCCATCATGTACCAAGCTGCCACTTTCAACTCTACAGTTCGTGCCGCAACCGAGTTACTCGCCGACACGATCCGAAATCCCCGCATAACGGAAACCGAAGTTTCTGACGAGCTTGAGACTGTCCAATATGAAATCACTGAGATATGGAAGAAACCAGAGCTCATTATACCCGAATTGGTACACATGGCAGCTTTTAAATCTAATACCCTTGGGAACCCCCTCCTATGTCCCATGGAACGCATACCCCACATCAACAAGTCAGCCATTGAGGCCTATCGGGATACATTCTATCGCCCAGAAAGAACAGTGGTGGCCTTCGCTGGCGTGCCTCACATGGAGGCCGTGCAATTAGCCACGGAGTTCTTTGGCGACATGAAGTCCACAGGACCACCACTGCTATCGAGATCTGGCTCGGAAACATCAGTTGAAACCGAGGCTTCTACTTCATCTTCATCATCGGCCAGCTCCACTCAACAATCTTCCAGTATCTTCTCTAAGTTACCTCTTTTCAAGAAAAGTCTCTCCACCTCCGCAAGCGCGAAAGCTGCTGTCATGAATTCTACGCCTCTCGTTCCGACACTGGAGGACATTTCTGCTCCCGCTCGGTACACAGGAGGCTTCATTTCGCTCCCTACTCAACCACCTTGCCCAAATCCTATGCATCCCAGCTTCAGCCACATCCACATAGCATTTGAGGGACTGCCCATAGCCTCTAAAGACATATATGCACTAGCAACATTAAACACGCTGCTGGGCGGTGGTGGCTCGTTCTCTGCTGGTGGTCCCGGGAAGGGCATGTTCTCTCGATTGTACACCAACGTTCTCAACCAACACGCTTGGGTGGAGAATTGTATGTCTTTCAATCAGTCATACACGGATTCTGGTCTATTTGGCATCTCTGCATTATGCACTCCTGGCAACACTCAGCGTATGCTAGATACCATGTGCCAGGAACTTAGGGCTCTTACCTTGGATACGGGCTTCTCAGCTCTAGGTGAACTCGAGGTACAACGTGCCAAGAACCAACTTCGATCGAGTCTATTGATGAACCTCGAAAGTCGCATGGTCGAGTTAGAAGATCTCGGTAGACAAGTTCAAGTCTATGGTCGGAAAGTACCAGTGCAGGAAATGTGCCGCAGTATCGAGAAACTGACCATACAAGATCTTCGACGCGTCGCCAAGATGGTCATAGGGGGTCTCGTTCAGAATGAGGGGAAGGGTAGTGGCGCTCCCACGGTCGTGATACAAGAAGCAGATGCACCGCACTTTACAGCGAAGCCAATGACCTGGGAAGAAATTCAAGATAGAATCTTCCGGTGGGGTCTCGGCAGACGGTGAAACTAGGTTCGTGAGTGAAAACAATAATGGTGGATGGGGTCTGCCGTTTTATAAATTCCCGGGGTACACACCAATCTCGAACGGTGGCGCGGTGTACGAATTAGGCTGCGGGAAGAATTTTGGAAGCATTATAAAGGCCGAGTCCTAGCATAGATAAGACACCGTCACTTGTATATAAATATGTAATAACAGCATTAACGAAGAAATGGCACATTGTTATGACTATTAGAGAGTTTGTTCTTTCCCACATTGAGCATGTCTTAGGCTAATTTTTTTGTTAAATGACTTGAAAGATAAGAAACCTGTACGAATTCTACTTCGTTGTTTTCATAATCTAGTAATGTCTATTAGGCTGCTAGAACATAGTTATGAAGCAGCAGTACTGAGCTTAGATAAACGAGGTGATAATGTCGACAATAATCTTGCAGTAAACACTCCATCATCAATGCTGAAGACTATATATACATAATATATTACAGGCCCTTTGGCAGCGTCACAACGGTCATGCGGCCGCCTTGGATCCGTGCTCCTTTCTCCTTAGACGCAGAACCTCCTACCGTCCCCATGGTGCCCTCAGGCGCATCAACAGTGACGACGATAGCGCCGGCGGCATCTCGTTCCCAGCTAACACCTAGCGGCCCGTACGGCGTCGGTACCACACCCCTAGCCCAGCCGATATCCTCCGTAGCCACGGGATCAACAGCCCATTCACGGAAACCCGGCCGCGTGGGCCTGACGCCGAGCAAATAGGTGCTGAGCAACGGCGTCACGCCCGTCGACCAGCCGTGGGACAGACTCGTATCGGCGGCTTCGTACTTGCTCCCGTCGGCCCCGATGCCCTCCCAGTGCGTTGTCCCGGGATCTTGACCCGCCATCCATCCCCACGTGCGTCGTATCAAGTCGATCGCGCCCGCGACGTCGCCGGCCTCGAAGCGCGCGGCGCCCTCAAAGTACGATATAAATGCGTACACGCGCGTCGAAAACCCTGCCCCCAGTTCCTCGCCGCCGGCATCGTAGAACGCGTTCCCGTAGAACCGCGCGTGATGCGTCGAGAGGTAGTCTAGTGCCGCGGACGCAGTCGTGCCGTTCGCTATCCCTGATAGCACAGCGAGACTGTTTCCGTCCTGCGCGTGCGCGGCGCATCCCGTCCCCGTGCATTTGCGGTCGAAGTACGCTAATGCCGAGGGGTCCCAGAGCGTCTCCTGGAAGCTCTGGGACACAGCGGCTGCTCGCTCGCGCCATCGGGCCGCGTCTTGCGTGGCGGGTGTGGAGAGGAGTTCCGCGAGCTCGGCGGCCTTGTTCAGCGCAAGCACGTATAGGGCGCTGTAGTACGCTGCTGAGCCCGATCGTGGCAGAAACGCGTAGTCGCCGTATCCGTCCTGTCGTACGAGCAATTGCGTCGCGGCATCTGTGTGCGCGGGGTAATACGTGTCTAGGATCTTTGTCAGGACGGAGTAGTGCGCCTTCATGTATGACGTGTTTCCTGTGTAGAAGACGTAGTCCCAGCTACAGGTGATCCAGTACAGCGGGTAATCGAAGAGTTGCAGCGTGTAGTGGTTGATGCTGGCTGGTGGAATCCATCCGTCTGCTCGCTGGTGGGCAGCGAGGTCCTCGAGGACATTGAGGGTTGCGTCCGAAGCGTCGGCGTGGGAGAAGTAGCTTGTTAGCGATGCCACTGCTAGATCCCCCATGTATGGATCGCGATCCCGCTTTGCGCCGTCATGAAGGACGAGCTTGCCGAGGAGCGTAGCGCTTGTTGCGCCCCGAGGCTCCGTGTCGTTGGTGCGAAAGATATCCGTTCCCATTTCAACTGTGTAGACACCATTATACCACCATTGAGTTAGGTTCGTATCAGAGCATTCGAACCATCCTGTGAATGTGTCCGCAGTCCCTAGATATCCGGACCAACGCAGACTGACGGACGAAATCTCGACTTGGCCTTCGGCGGATGTGTACGGCGAGTCTGTTGTCAGGGCGTCTAGCGAAATCCGCACATATCGAAATGCATGCAGGCCATCGGAACAGACTTGGTCGTCATATTCACAAGCCCATTGATCTTCCCAGGTATATGGATTATTCTTCACAGCGATCTAGGGATATGTGAGCGCTAGGACTTACTACTGAGATAACGATCTTATTTCCTCACCTGATCTGTTCCGGTAGTGATGAGTTGGGGCGGATCCTGTTATGAAAAAAAAACACACTTAGCTCCTACGATTCGGTGCTGAGTCTCATAGGAGAACCCCCCGGTTATACGAGTATGAAGCCATGATATGAAAAACCACGTACTCCTTGTGCTCTGTCTGAACGGGTGTAATCACTACGTTCAGTAAGATATTCAAGTGCCTCTGAAAATGCTAACCGCACCCCAGGAAAAGCTCCAGACGACCCATTCGTCGAGCCAGCAAACTCGAGCAACAGCTGACCGACCACATTCTGTCCAAAGTCGACGACGACTGTCGGGATTTCGTCCGAGCCATCAACTCTAGTGAACACAGTCGTGGCAGACCCCGTGACAAGCCCATCGGCGCTGTCGACATTCCCTCGTGTATGGTTCGACAGTATTGTTACCGGACGTACGATGGCGCTAGTCGGAGCGCGCACGTACTGATGCCAGCTCGGTGAGTCTGCGGCGCGTATTGGCGATGACCACACGAACACAGCCGGCCAGAGGACGGAGATGAGCGAATGTGTATACATTGATATGTCAAGTCCTCGCCTTTATCCAAGCGATACGTAGCAGAGCAATAGCAGGATACGAGGCTGCTAGATGTGAACGTAGTTATATATAAGCCATAGACTGTGAACAGAGCATCAGACGCCGTACACCATCATCCATCCTTGCAACGTTCCATCCGGTGTGAGAGGGGCTGTACGCGTTCGCAGCTATGCGCTGTTTGCTGGTCTTGTCTGCGAGACTTGAAATCCAAGCATTCCGTGGCTCGGCCTAATCCAAAACTAGAAGCATTCACCAACCCCGTCACACAATCTCGGCGTAATGACAACCGACCCGTCGGGCCCGCGGGGGTTGTTGTGGATTCCCATGACGCCGATAGACCCTGGAACAGGATCCTCGGCCATACGCATGGGGCAGGTGAGAAACGGGCGCGGACCCCGGACCAAGCCAGCGCCGTGTCGATGATCATGTCCTTCGCATTATCGATACACGGTAGCACTGAATGCCCGCGGTCAGAACTTAGCGAGAAGGTTACAAATGCTGTTCCCTAGCTTCTCTGGCCGCGTTATGCATCAGTATCGCGTAATATTTTGCCGATATGTAGTTTAGGTTGCATCTTATGAGTGACCTCAAAACCATCCGATCTATAGTTTGGACAATGCGATGTAACTCAAGAGATAGAGAACATAAAAGGTTTCGCAACACATATCACGCATTGAGACGATGTAAAAGAAATCAAAGCGCTTCTATTAATCAGTATTGAACGCTTCAGTTTGGAATCCTGCTTATAGCAGGATCTAAACATTTATTCTATTACTTTTTCCCCCAACGCCGTCGAGCAAGAAAGCTGTTTGGATGCTCGAGTCACCTTGTACTTAAATTCACTTTTCGGTGGGAACCAGGCATCAAGTGGATTCCACCTTGGCCATTCTCTTGGACATGCTTTGCGGAGGTTAGTCTATGTTCTAGAACACCAACGAAAATTAAATCGAAGATCATCGAATTTAGGACTTACAAGTCATAGAACGCAAATTGACTAGGTTGACTGCCAAACTCGTACACAAAGCGAGATGCCAGGTAGCTTCCGAATATGGCCCTAAGATAAGCGTCTGGAACACGCGAAATAATGTCGTCAAGTCCAAGCTTGTTCAATAAGAGCTTAGGGAGGGCATCGGCCAGCACAGATCGTCGAATCTTCTCGTTGTGCCACAAATCAGACTGCTGCAGTGACTCATCGAGGTCCGTGATAGCAACAGACAGCTTATCCGAAAGCACTGCACGAGGCACTCCAGTTTGCTCGTACTCTCTCCATATGGCTTCGAATTCTAGTCGGGCATTTCCGCAGATAGTCTCTTGAACTTCTTTCACGTACGCTTTGTAAAACTCGGGCGCTCGGCCTTGGTCATCGCAACACATGTTTTCTTGGAATCCTGCATCATCGAAACTGAGTGCTGCGAGAACTTCCAGTGAGGACGACGTAACTCCACCCTTATTTGCAGAAGCATCTTTGAATAGAACACATCCAGCTTCTTCCAGCCGGAGTTTGGCGTCTTGTGTGATGAAGAGATTGGCTCCTTCAACGATATAAGGTATTTTGGTTCTTCCATCTTTAATAAGCCTGTTCACAGTGGCAAGATCGATGGACTCAGGGCGACCACCACAAGGGACAAAACAATCCGTGAGATCCGAATCCCTCAGATGAAACACATTGCGGAATGCGGTTCCATTATTAACGAATTCACCAGAAGGCAATGTGATATTTGAGTCGTCGCACAAGACACGATAGCCATCCTTTGACAGCTTTGATATGTCAAATTGAGAGATCATGACCCGTTTCTTGGCCAAACGTCGCAGTTCATCCTTGTCAATACCATTGGGATCGACCAAGACACCGGAACCGTCGACAATGGAGGTGTATTTCTCATTGCTGAGAAGGATCTCGTTGCTTCCCAGATCGCCATCAGGACCGCCAGTTTGCATTTTTTTGACAGTGGCAGGATCAAGGTTCAGCTTGCGGTAGATGCCTTTAACATATTCTCTTACCGACAATGTAGTCATGCCATATGCGTCGTGCGGAATACCACCCAGCCTGGGGGATTTGCCTGTGAAAAAGGACTTCCACCAAGGAGCACCTCGTAAACGAGCATGCTCGGTAGCCCAATCCACCAAATCAGCCGTGTTTTCGTCGGGGCCCATGAATAAAATCTCCTGCTTGAGATGAAGGTCAACTATAGGATTCTTGATGCCGGGGGTTTGAGCAGGGAGGAGAAGATCCAGAATACTGTCAATGTATTTCTCGAAAGCTTCGCGTGCTCTGTCTTGCTGTTTGGCATCAAGTAAAATCACACCCTTTGAACCACCTTCCGGAATATCCTTATTCTTGCGTTGCTGCGTGCTAGCAAGACCGTAGTTTTCATCGAACAGATTTCTCGCATTGATACTGAATGCCTCCTTGCTGCGGGATTTCACGATTCTGATACCGCCGCGGGCGACATCCTTGAATCGGAGATGGAAACCCCGTGCTTCGGCACTAATAACAAGAAACATGCCAAATAAACGACGGGGATATTCTGACTCCGGAAGAAATTTTGGATCAAGACGGAAGCTCAAGGCTACTTTAGTAGGCGTGAAGTAGTTGGTTTTCAGAACAGCAGTGTTGAATATTCGGAAAGCGGTCATCACCATCTCCTCATGTTCGTTGGACACTTCTCTGCTGATCTTTTCCTTAAGAAGAGCATCCGAGAGAATGTCAACGGAAGGAGTTGGGGCAATGACATGGCGTTCAAATCCTGCTCCAACAGCTAGATGAATACTGGCAAAGGCTGCATACAGAGACCTGACCAATTCAGGGTAGGATGAGATGATCTCTAATATGTAGTCAGGAGTGAAAGTCTCAGAGCGTAAGCGGCGCTTAAGCTTAGAGAGCATCTCGGCATGCGCTGCATTAGTAGCATTTAACGCGTTTCTGATGGATGTATACTCCGACCCTAGGCGGTTCAAAAAGTGCTGGACAAAAACCCAGACGCAATGTCCATAGACAGTTTCTTGAAGACTTAGCTGTCCAGATGCAAACAGTGGATGAAGCTTGTTCTGCGGGATGCAGTACAATAGAGAGATTTCTTTGGTGATTTGGTGGATTGATTGCTCCATGGGCATGGATAATTTTTCTGGGGTTGCAGCTGGTTTCAGGTAGATACTCATGACGGTGATGCCGTTTGAGAATTGCTCAACATATTTCCTGGAGCTAGTAACTCCGTAATAATGGTACAAGTCGCTCAAAGCGCTGAAAAGTCCACGAGCTGTCCGGGAACGGAATGCGACGACGAGACGCTTCTCCTCCGTGCCTTCGATATCGAATACTTCAATAACTGGCCCTGTACGGCTGACAGCGAGCTTGATGATGTCATGATAGATCAGCTTAGTATTCTTAGTCGCCTTTGTCAAAAACATCCTATCGCTGATGACTTCTAGACGCGTCTCATTCGGATCTGGCCTAGAATCCACGAATTGGCACTGGTACACGAAGTAGCAGCGGAGAGAAGTAGTGGATGTCTTATCGTTGGATAAAGACACGGGTGAGCGGAAGGTTTCAACTCGAAATCTCTTGTCGGGGTCTGTGTGATCAAGGTACTTCGCTTCCAGTCTGTTTTCGTAACGCGGGCCCTTGATGTTAGACAAACCAGGTACACTGGTGTCAATGTAGATAGCGTGATCTGTAGCCTCCATGTCCAGCTGTATCTCTTCACGCTTGTCTATGCGTGAGTGGGCTGCGACCTTGGCGGCATACATCGATGTTATTATCGTGGCAATAACCTCTGCTTTCTCCATCTGAAAGTAAACATCGTCGATGCCCAGTTCATTATAGAACCAAGATATTTGCTCATCCAGATGCGAGGCAGGAATCCAGCCATCTTTCTCTATTAGTTCCTTGACTGCAATTTGTTAGCAAAACAGACAGTCTAACTCGCTGTAGTAGAGTGGGAGTCTTACCTGTGGCCATCTGTGCTCCTTTGCCCTTGAACTCTGGTGCAATATATCCGACTGTAGCGGATCGTAGGACCTTGTGTCCATTCTGGCCATTAACCTTGTCACTACCAAGGGGGACGCTGAAATGAGTGGGCTGCGGCGATGGATGGCGAGACACCTGCTCATCCTTGACCTTGCTTAACAGCTTATTAGCAGGAGTCATGGCCTCTACTGAGGCTGAATCTTGGGAAGCCATGGTTTCTCTGTCGTGATGAGAGCTGTCTAGCAAGTCTAATTGTTCCGTATAACTGGTCAACCTGGCAATGTGTGAGTTGGGTGTTTCCAGAGTCAACATCTTGACGATCATAAGTAAGAATCGTAAACCGGTCCCGCCAATAAGCTAGAGAGAGAAAAGGAACAATGAACACCTAGATATGGACTGTAAAGTGAATTTCCCTATCTTCAGAAAGAGGCAAAGGGCAACTGTAGGTGTAGGAAGAGAAAGGGAGGTAGAAAGCCACGGCACGCAAGGACTCAGGAATGACAAGATACAATAGGGGATTTCATTGTGTTATAAAGTGGCAGCTTGCCAGGGGCATGTTCTCTGTCATGATTGGCATGGAGGTTTGTCAACTGGGCATATCTAGTTATGGTAGCGATGTACCAGAAACTGTGATATGAACGGGTATTCACACCCTGGGGTGTTCTCGTATTGACTGTGTTTATGCGGGCCGCGTAGCAGCGCATGCAGCCGTCTACAACCAGCCAACTCCTGCAGAATAATCAAGACGGGGAGATGGAAGTAGGGTATCATTATAAGGTATCATGACCGATTCGCTCTCCCGCGTGCAACCTGGAAGGAGGAATTATCGCCAGGCTGCTGTTGGTTGGTCCGAGAGGGACCCGGCGGGCGAGTGGAATGCGTGCGATTAGAGAGAACATATCAAAAATAGAAAGCACACCAAACAAACAGGCTGAAGACCAACCAAGACTTACCGACAGATAATGATCTATCAAAAACGGGAATAGATTTTCTGGGCTTGCTGCGCGGAACTGTAATTGTGACAGCAACGGCAGTGGTCCACAAATGTAATGGGAAAATAGGCCGATCTGCTGGAGACGGATAGCTCGATGTCGAGGTCTAGACGTTGAAATGAAAAGAATAGGCGGATATTCACAGCAGCAGCGGCTGTCAAAGGTTGTAGGCCAAGGGAGGGTTGGGTGGCAAAGCTGGTTACGATACTTGATGCAATGTCAATCTGCCAACAAATTGACCCAATGAACTCTGAAGCTCACAGACAATACACGCTGAACGGTGTTATTGTCCTGTAATTGTGGAAGGGATGGCGGCAACAAAGACGATGTGAGATGCGAGCCAGGCAGGTGACAGAAGGTGGCAGTGTAGATTAGGGAGGTATATAGATAAAATCGTGGTAATTGTAGATGCGTGTAGGTAGTAGGTCCGAGGTATATATGTTGGATTGTCAAGGTAGGTATGTCATGTCAATGTATGTAAATGTATGATGATGACGCAGGATAACTGAACCTTGGGCTGAGAAAGCGATACTGATAAGATCAGTCAATCGGCAGGCCTGGGTAGTACAATAGGAGGTCCCCCGGTTTTCGCACTGGGTAGGTAGGCACAGGCTCGACAGGCACAAAGACAAGACAAGCTGGAACTATTGTGCTTTATTTTTCTTGTCCGGTGCACCACCGCTTGAGGCGAGGCCAAGGCTACAAATAGACACGAGGAGAAGTGGATGTGGTGCCAGGAACAAAGAGCCGTAGGGCTGGGGCTTGGTCTGGCTGGGCTAGGCAATAGTTGAAGGTTGTTGCTGGTAGTAGAGGGGGATCTTGTCCATGATAGGCCGGATGAAAGAAAGATAGAGGTGTTGAGGCGTGGACGGTAATACCGAGTACGAGTCCACGAGTCCAGGCGCACCGTCACAGATTGATTGCATACCTACCTACTTTTCGCCTGAGCAACAGGACTCACGAGGTGTTTATATATCTCCCGGCCACAACCACGGGGTTCCTCAGAGCATGCGATTGATCCGATCGTGAAGGCCAATTCGTTCCTCTGACCAGCCGGCCGGCCGGCCTACATGCTAAGGAAGTATTAGTACACACTACATCCAACGTACACACGCTACACTGCTGTAGGTATTCCCAACAACCCTGTTGGCGTCATTCTGGGCGGACATTTCAAAACGACACAATACTGTATGGGTATACGGAGTACCACCAACGTCAAGCATGAGGAGGCCAGAAAAAACTTCAGTCGAGGTGACGAGCAATGAGCGTCGTATGCAGCCAGTCCTAGCCGGAATGGGACGTGGGCTGTGTTGCAATTGGCCCCGACTGTGCGGTACCTGAAAATCTACTACTCTCGTGTACCCAGATATCTACTATCTACCTAGTACCTACAGGTACATTTATGTACTTACCTACCACTGTTTCTTTCGAACATACCAGTCTACAGTGGGCTAGCAAGTTGGTCAGTGAGTTCGTGCTACCTAGGGAAGTAGGTACCTATCTCCAGCTATTCCTGGGCATCTTCTAAGAAACCGCCTGGGCTAGCGTAAGATAGGTCCCTACAGGCAGGATACGGGTACCTACCTACTATGTACAGATAGGTACCTAGGTAGTGTAGCATACCTACGGTACCTGATGTGCCTGAATCGTGCTTCGCAGTTACTTACATACATACCTAAGTACCTAAGGTTGTATGGAACTTGGAGAACTTGGAGTAAAGTACCTGATACAGGCCCCACGGGTACAATGTCTGGACAAGCCTACCTCCACCAGTCTGCGCCAGATAAACAAGCGGTGTCAATACTTATAGTGATACGGTACCTGCCTATGAATACTACTATTTACTCTGCATTAATAGCTGGCCTTAGGCCGGTTATAACCTTAGCTGTCTACGTGACAGCAATGGCGACCTTAGGTAGGCGGTGCAAGGAGAAGTATTTTGCATGTCTATAACTGGGATAGAAACACGCAATCCAGACATGAAGTTTATAGCTTGTGCGGTGGTGAGTGGAATTGAGAGGTATTGATGGTGAAATCGATGATGAATTTTACGTACTGCAATGCGTATCAGCAAATCGATGCTGCCAATTCTCCACTGGCTACGGGTATATGGTACGTACCTACATACATACATGTATGTAGCTTGGGTGCTATGTTAAAGGCGAGCGGCTATTCAAGGCACGTTGATACAGATTGCCATGCCCTAGACAAATACAAGTTGCCAATAATGTACATACCTACCATACCAGAGGAGTACCTATTGTTTCCCAATTGCAACTCATAATTCTCTATCCTCTCTCTCTCTCTATTTTTTAGACCCTGCCACTGATCACAACCGTTTGCTCTAGAATATGTCCCGGCATGCCCGGTGGCATTGTTACCAAGTATGTAGGTATCCTCAAGCCTCATGTCTTGCCTTCGTATTCACCATATGTACATGCCTGCTTAGTTAGTAAGTAGTCAGCTTTATTATTATGATGGCTTCTCATGTTGCTACCCTAGCAGGCATCTCTGCCATCTACTTACCCTCGCCAATTAAGATGGTCGTAAGGAAGCATCTAGAGAACATCATGCATTGCGCTAGGAATTTGAACGGCATCATACCTAGCATAGTCTATACATCATACTTATCTAAATGCCTACATCCTTAGGTATCAAGAGGTCAGAAGAGGTGTAGTATGAACTCGACGACATCTGCTCTAGTGCTGATGTACAGTTCAACGTCGGCATCAGTGTCCTTAGCTTCGCGATACTGTTCGGGTTTCGTCTGGGTAGGTTTCAGGGGTTTGGTGTTGGAAGGCCAGTGATATCAGGTAATATGAGGGCGTGGATGCACGCTGGTTCTAGAAGCTGCAAAATCTAAGATCGTGTGATGACCGAAGATATTGGCCTTGTCCATCTCGGGTATGGTTGTGCTTCTCGACACACAACCCCGGCGTGCACCAATCGAAGCGGATGGCCTGTTTCTTGAATTGCGCCTCTGCAACCCCTGCCCCGCGATCTTCGTCACGATCTGACAACACGCTGACGACGGACGGGTTGGTAGAGCGCCCCTGAGCTCCCCTGGCCGTCGGTCGAGCCATCCGGACCGTGCACGAACACTGTAACGGCGCCCCGACACCGTCATCCTTTGACTAAGACATTGCCGCGTCTTGCGTTCGGGTCACTCTTTTCGGTTTTCCATTACCCCCATTTTACCTGATAGTAGTTTGCCCAGCCCCAGCGTCTATGGGATACCTGTGGTCCTTGATGGTCAGCCGATCAAGTGCCCAACAAAACAGACCGATCCCGTGATAATCACTGTTTTCAAGCCCCCTAAGCTTACCTGGCTAGTGCTCGGGCCCTGCTCGGGGACGCCCTGGCATAAGCCGTAGGCTCCGTAGCACACACCAGTACCTGCCGCCCCTGTAGTAACTGTAACTTCTCTAGCCTGGTTAAACCCCAGGTTTTAGCCCTGGGACCTCCGGAATAGTCCACTCCTTCGTGCCCGTCCAGTACCCGTCATATTAGCCAGAGTCTCAGCCGATTGCGAAATCTTCTCCAAAACGAGCATCATGGGGACTGGCAATTTCTTTTCCACATACCTAGTAGAGGTCCACGGCTGTGTCACCGCTTCAGCTGCGAAACCTACTCAATTGTTGCTAGGACTAGGCACCAAAAGGGTTCACGTTTTGAGGTGCTTCTTGCCAATCCCATCCTCACTCCCACGATATCTGCGACATTGACGCATATCCCCTATTATTCATTATTACCTACGATTTGTCGGTCGTACAAACCAGTACTTAACGATTAGCTAAAAAGTACAAGGTCAGCATCCACTCAGACAACATTGATCTATTTTTCACTGCTACTTGGTACCTTCGGCACGTAGTAATTGTCGTCTACGCACCGAGCCAAGCTTTGCCATTCCTTCCGTGTGATGTTTTCCCAGCCGCCACCATCAAGGATTGTTCTGGTTCTCGGAGAATCAGATCAAATGATAAATAAGCACAAATCAAAAGGCAGATCCAAAGCTGGGGTACAGATCGACTCAACGCTAGGTTAAACAGACCAAACTATCACACGTGTACCCAATAGAGCTGAACAGAAACTCACGTTGGTCTCGATTTAGATGCACCTCTATAAGGCGTTAATGAGCAACAAGGGCTTGAGTGTCACGCATCGTGCCCTGTAATCTCATGCCGGCAACATCGTCGAGTTATGGTAGATTGTAGGGACTATAATGAAAAGCCTACTGGCTCTCTCAAAAGCCAATAGCATCTCGGCCCACCGACACGTCGCAGAGAGAGTCGGTTAGCCGAAAATACACGCCGGGTTTTACAAATTCGCACCATCATGGCCCGCCAAATTTGTAGCAGTCTCGGAGTGTTCACGGGCAAAATGCATATGGCGAAACATCGGCGCTACGTTGCTAGGTAGGTAGGTATCTCTCTGAGCTGCCGTGTCACTTCCACGAGCGCTCGGTACGACCGGTTGCACCGAAAAGCTTGTTGAAAAGCTTAGCCTGGCGGCACATTAATGAGCTCCAAACCATTACTTTGGCACAGATCATCTCAAGGATGTCGGATCTATTCCCGAACCCCAGCAAGCCTGCGAGAACGTACCATTATCTGCCTGGCATTCACACAAAACCGCCCGACATGCAACTGCCATGGTATTGCTATATCTCTGATGATATCCACAGATAACGACGTCTGAGTGCTTTGTGTCATGAATGATTAGCTCCAACTATCGTAGACCATCCACCCCACCTTGCGGGTGGTAGGTGGGGTTCTTCGGCATACACATACCTACGAAGTTACTCCAATACCACTTGTATGTTACGAGGCCTAAAGAGCTTCTTGATCCATTCATTGAGTCCAACTTCATCACGAATAATCTCTATCGTCCGCTGGATCGTCGTCGTACTCCGACATAATCCAACCCGTACCTCTCGGAATCAGCTTGAGCAGCGCTTTAGTCTAGGAGGGTATTCTGGTATGGCCACTTCAGCTGAGGTTTCCCCGTTTTCGGGCTTTCGCGCTCGGGCCGAAGCTCTCGATAGAGAGGATGGACTTCGTCACTTGAGAGACGAATTCCACATCCCAACTAAAGCCGACGTCAAGAGAAATACGCTGCTCGCAGGCGGTGAGATAATTGCCTCGTCGAGGGTATCTAGACAGGAGCTGAACGTCCGTAGATCGTAGCAATGACGCACATGTCGATGAAACCACGCCATGCACATACCTATGCGGAAACTCCCTTGGGGTACAGCCGAAGAGGACGGCGGCCCGCATCCAGCAATATCTTGCGACATGGGCAACCCAGGGCGTCCAGGGGCATTTCAAACCCCTTGAGGATTCCCCTCTGCCGACGTGGCTCGACGCAGATCATCGGGCAGCCAAAATGATGGCTCCCATAGTGGGTGCGGAGGAGACGGAGGTCGCTGTCATGCAAACTTTGACGGCCAATCTTCATTTACTGATGTCCGCGTTTTATCGACCTAACCCCAATGGCCGGCACAAAATCATTTTGGAGAGCAAGGCGTTTCCAAGCGATCATGTAAGTTTTACGTAGTGGGACTCTGCGAACGCTTGGACTAATACATATGACAGTTTGCTGTTCTTAGCCAAATTAGACACCATGGGCTATCCCCTGAGACCTCCATGGTAACTATTGAGTCGCCATTCGCAGAGGACCCAATCATCAGCACCTATGACATTCAAGCTTTGATATCAAAGCACGCGGCAGACACGGCACTCATCCTGCTCCCTGGAATACAGTACTATACCGGCCAGCTCCTGGATATCCCGACGATAACGGCATATGCCCGCAAGCATGGTATATTCATCATCTGGGATCTTGCCCACGCTGCAGGCAACGTGACCCTTTCTCTCCACGACTGGGACGTAGATGCCGCGGTCTGGTGTACGTACAAGTACCTGAATGGTGGACCAGGCTGTATAGGTGGCGCATTCGTACACTCACGGAACAGCCTGATTACGACCCCAGTTCTAGATGGCGAACCTGAGCCCGAGCAAAGTTATGGCCACCGATTATCGGGCTGGTGGGGGAACGAAAAAGGGACGCGATTTCAGATGGAAACTAAGTTCCATCCTGCCAAAGGAGCTGCTGGCTTCCAGATCAGTAACCCCAGTGTCCTCGACATTACGAGCCTCTGCGCTTCGCTCGAGCTTTTCGAGCTTGCTGGAGGCATGGCACCCCTACGAGAAAAGTCTAAGCGGCTGACGGCGTTTCTCGAGGAGTGCCTCGCGCAAATGTCGGAAGATGCAAAGAAGCTCTTCCGGACCATCACGCCGTCTGATCCCAACCAACGAGGCTCACAACTCAGTCTTTTGCTTATGGATGGTTTATTGGATGTCACGATGCACGGCCTACAAGAACATGGCATTATCGTGGACGAGAGGAAACCCAATGTTGTCAGAGTTGCCCCCGCACCGATCTACAACAATTTTAATGATTGTGTCGCATTTGTCGAGGCTTTCGAGACATCTTTAGTGGCTGCTCAGGCGGCGAAATTAAATAAATAAAAGAAAAGAAGTGGCCAGAGACAGAACGTCCCGAAGCAGCTTGAAGCCATCTACCTGCTTTTAGTTACTCGTTCTCTAAAGTCATCGCCCAGAATTTTTGCAAGGATGTGCTCCCCATCTCTGATTTTAGAATTAGATTTGCAAGTTATCAGTATCTTGAGTACATAAGGGGTTTTCAATGTCTCCCCTGCTGGGGAAGTATTCATTATGCGTAGAATGACATTAGATGCTGCTGCATGGTTAGGATTCTTTAAATTTCCTGTACTTGGCCTAGTCATACATACGTGTATGTACATACTGCTTAGGTAGTCTAGAATAAAGGTTGTATCCTGCTCAAAAACAACTTCGATTGGTGGGGTGGGATGAGGGTATGTGGCTCATACTCAGTACAAAGAAGGTCGATGTGGCGCCTATATTAACCCCACTTACAGTAGGTACTGGTGGCTTAGGTAGCAGATATGACGTAATGATGCCATCGTCACTCTTGGTATGATAATGCTGTTTGAGAAATCTTGGACTGAACCTGGTCATCCTCATGACCTGTGATGATAATAAAGCTTTAGCTACTCCATCCTACTGTGAATCTCTACGAACTTGCCCTGCACTCCAAAAAGCTCGCTGCTTGAACATAACCATTGTAACTAAGAAACACGCACCTGACCAGGTACAGTAGTATTCCTGCCTTAAATCACACATCACCCATTCCATATCGACCCAACACATCTAACAAGGCTCGTCGCAGAACTCACGCCCTTTCGAGCCCTAAAAACCAATATCAAAATGCCTCTCTTCTACTCCAAGGGTGTCGGCACAAGACATTTCGGTACCAACTTCAACGTTAGCCGTCACGGTGTTCACCGAGGACCATGGCGATTCTCATTCGGCAGATTCAACTGTTTCCGCGCTTAAATATTCGTTTTCCCACCACCCTACTATGGAAAACTTGTACGTGCCGGCCGCAGCCAGGCTCGTGATAGCTTGTCACGGGCGACCAAAATCCTTCCACATTACTGAGAGTAAAGCGCTTTCGAGGTTGGCGTTTAGGAGTTATAGAGCTGAGAAAGATCTAGAAGTGATTCTAGTGCATAGGGACGCAAGAAACTGTCCTAGGGGTAATAGACACATAATGGATCTAAGTGTTGCTGCCACGGATGTGGTGGATGCCTTGTAAGACTGCGTTGGTCAAGCCCTTGCACGAAAGGGGATGGAGGATGGTGTTCATTAGAGGGGTTTGTGGACAATACGAAGCTTATGAACATAATATACTAGTCATCTCGCGTGACTGTGCTGGTTCACAATTAATCGCGTTTAAAAATCTAAGGAGGATCTTAGGATACCTGGGCAACAGCCACGGCATTAGCAACCGAGCCATATTCAACTCCAGTATTACTAGTTACTAGATTACGATGTCTAGAACAATGCACTTTCTGTGCTCCGGCGTGGTGCTTGTGGAATTAGACGTGCAACGACGCCTTGGTACAAGGAGGAGGAATTGGTGTACATATTAAAGGGTTGGCGAGGGCTGGGTAGTGAAGTAGGCGCGTAGTTTAGGTAGGCCGTGACCCTTACAGCGATCTCTAGTGCCGCAACAGGGGTATGTGGCGCTAATTGTCAACTGTCGCCCCGCACTAGTTACCGACAGCAATAGTCGCGGCAAAGCGAAATTTCGCGGACACGGCTCCTAAGGCTACCTATCTCGCCCGCATCCTCATCTGGTAAACCCGCCCTGTCTATTTTCAAACATGTGGTACGCCATATCGATTTCTTCTTGTGATATAGGCAGCTAACTGACGCTTCGAAGCAAGCACATACTAAACGCCCAAGTGGCGATCCGTTCACCATGCTGTAGGTCCATCCCATTCTCAACCCGCTCGGACGGTAACTTGCGGGTTTGCCGTGCTGGGCCTGCGATTATAATGGCTTAGTTATTCGTTTACTGACCTTCGGGCGTGGGTGGAATATAGGCAAGAAATGGTTTGATTGTGCCGACTGCCACCACGAGCAGGAGTCGCATCAGCTCCAGCAGACCCTCGAGATGACGTTCGCGTGCAAGAAGTGCAAGAAATGCTTCCGCAAAGACGCGCAGGAGTTCGAGGAGGCCGACGAGTATTGCCCACATTGCGATAACCATTTCGTCCTCGAGGCCGTCGTGCCCAAGCCCGCGCTTCGTGTCGAAGGCGAGGATGCGAGAGTGGACAACCGCATGCTGAAGGACGACCGTGTTAAGAACAACCAGCAGAGAACGATATTTGATATACAAGCTGATGCTGATAAGCTGGGCTGATGTGGTGGTCGGGGGCGACTGCTAGTGGGAAATGGGATTGAAGTAGAGGAGGTGCATATTTACTGAGCGACTGAACTGCATATGATACCACACAATTATACATCACGAGACCAATGAATAGAAGATGAAGTACGCATTTTATCGCCATCATGCGGATCATTATTCGTAGTCAGGAGAATGCTCCCCTGTAGGAGCTTATCTTTGGTTACGATTATTTCTATGGTTCCTGACACCCAGCTCTTTAATCTGTGATTGACTATTCACTACCCCCCTCCCGCTCCCTCGGCAAGATAGTTGCGCTGCCCGTGCCAGGTGTCCGGCCAGTCTTTTTCTTGGCAGCTTCCTCCTGCTTCTCTTGCTCGATAGTCTTGACATAGGTCTCAATGTCTTCAACTGGGAGCATTTCAATAGTCTTTCCTGGGGCCATTATAGCAATCTCAATGTTCTTTGCACCCGTCTGGACGACCTCTAGAAGTGATTTGATTGCTAACCGAATCGTCGCCTCACGGTCCATATCATCCTGGTAGTTTCGCTCGAGGAATTCTCGTACGGTCTTGCTGGAGCGGCCGATAGCATTCGCCTTCCTGTGAACGGTAAGCCGAACAGTCTACTCATAGTGACAAGATATGCATACCATGCGGAATAGATGCCGCTGGGTTCCGTCTGGTAGAGTCTGGGCGCGGTGCTACCCTTGTCGAATCCCACGACCATGGTGCTAATACCGAACGGTCGCACACCACCACTCTGCGTGTACCGCTGTTGTACACCGGCGACATATTTCGTGATGTACTCAATTGTACAAGGGTCCTCGACAGTCAGACGGTGTGATTGGGCTTCGAGGCGAGCTTTGTCGATCAGAATGCGGGCGTCGGCGTTTAAACCGGCAAACGCGAGGCATACGTGCGTGTCGACAAGTCCGATCTTAGACGGTGTGATGCGTGTGTCTTGTAACTTCATGGCTGATCTCTTCTCGCACCCGAGGACAACAATATCCTTACCCTTGACGCCGACAGCGCAGGTACCTGGGAAGCTGGCATTAGAATACTATGTGGTCGCAGCGTAACCTGGAACGGGGGATCTCCACCTCTCTTGACTGCTTCGCCGGCATATTCGACCTGGAAGACGTGTCCGTCGGGACTATTGGCTATTAGCAAACTAATACGAGCGGGCGTCTTGTGGGAGCTACCAACCTAAACACTATAAGTGGTGACGATTAGTGAGAGTGCAGATATATGGGGATTTACGATTAAGGTCATACCTGAAAGAGCTCTATCGTATCCTGACGCCATATTTGAGGACTTTATGAGTTGCTAAATGTACCTGAAGGGAAAAGAAAGAACTAAGGAAGCAAGGTGGACGGGAAGTTGACGTTGAGGATGGTGAGTGCAAGGATAGCTACAATCCCGCAAGGCTGCCAGAGTTACGAAGCTCAAACAACCAAGCTGAGGAGCTCCTCCCTCCAGCCAACCGACGCTTGGCAAGCTTGTGGATGCATGACCATCAAGTACCGATGTACCTGGCGTGGGGTGCATTCAGCCACACCTCATGTACTGGATAGCAACAGCCACATTATGGCTGACACTAGATTACATAATTGATCGTAGCTGAATCAATACATACCGAGGTACACTCTATACCTAGGTACGTTCTTCACTGTGTACCTAGTAGTTTTCGATCAGAAGCAGATATAAAATCATAATGAATATTTGCAGTACCAGCTGCTTATCCATTTTCTTTTGTTTATTAAAATGTACATGATCTTTTGTTATACACGGAAGAAAATGTTGTATTACATGGTTTGGCTCTTTCCAGTCACATTAGTAACCTAGTCAAATCGCCTAATCATAGTCCATCGCTTGTCCTCTAACCAGGCATTCATCTCACGACAGCGAGTCTCAAGCCTGTCGTTGAACTCGTTGATCCACAAGCTTTCTAATTCGCAGAGTCCGACGACGTTCATGCGACTGAAGAAGTCTTTGATGATCCAGGTCGGAGCTATCAACAGGTCAGGTTGTGATATAGTCCGGAGTGCGAAGTCCAGGCTCCGACACGCCAGGGCTGCCAATTTCCTGGTCTCGGTTGGCTGGTAAAGTCGTGGATCGAGAGCCGGAGGCATGTCGCCGGTTATCCCCGGACTTGCAACCTCGTTTTCTGGTTTGTTAGTGACTTGGAGGAGTGCATAGACACATTGGTGAAAGCCTATGAGGACCGCCCAATAATAGACGTGCGCGAGGCACAGCAAGGGACTTGCAAAGCTCAAGGGCTCATTGAATGGCACATAGGAGCTACCGTCACCGACCCAGTACGGCAATCTAGTCTTTTGCCGCACAACATCAGCCCATATGTCGAATTGCGTCTGAATATTCACGCAATTATCTAACAGCTCTCTCGCTATGAGTCTGCGATTGCTGTTGGCTTCGGAGAGCATAGTATGATCGGCTCGCGAATATATTGAGGGTAAAAGAACGGCAACGTCTAATAAATCGTCGAGACAAGTCCGAGGATAATGTTCCCATGGCACGACTGTCCACTCAGGATTGCATAAGAAAGTTGGCTGGCGATTAAGCAATGCGGCCCAAACCTGTAACACGGTTAGCTTGAGATGCAGCCCATTGAACATTGATACCCACAGCGCTTGGCCTGTAGACGCGCGCGAAGAAATGATGTGCCGGGAAGGCCTGATATGCGGCAGGACCTAGCTCCCGTACCTCATCTGCTAGTTCTGACGAGGCATTGCGGGGGAGCTCGTTAGCATACATTGTCGACGAATTTTGCTGAATGTCTTTAGCTAGCAGCGCAGCAATCGATAGGTTATTCTTTCATCATACCTGGTATAAAAATAAGCATACGCCTTCTCCGGAACTGGCAGTCGAACCATCACCGGCTTCTCCCAAACTGACAAAGCACATCGATTTTAGGTAGAAGTTTTCCTCTCGAAATGTTGGCGTGACATCGAGAGGCTGGGTATCGAGCAACGACAACATTACATCGTAATTCTGCGGCGGCGAGCTACCTTGCTTGATAGCGGAGACAAGGTCTGCGTGTTGCGCAACTATGCGAATGAGATGCGAATCTGCTCCGGATTGTATGGCTATAGTCTCGTGCCATGCTGGCTGGAACGGCTCGGCTGCTACAAAACTGAGACTGGCCGCATGCTGAGCGCTGGCTGTAGACTGAGAGATTCTCGATTGCTGGACATTACGTGGAGGGTGACTTCCCACTCGGCCCTTGTCGTCCTGGGTGCCAACGATAAATACAGTTTCTCGCTCGTATCCAGAACACGCTCTCCCGTAGTCTGTACATTTTTTGCAAAACGGCCTGGTGTTGTCGCACTTGACTCTACGAGCCCGACAAGTATTACAGCCTCCATAGACTTAGTTGAGCGTGGTGAACTAGCACGTATCGTGTTATATGGTGACATACCTTTATATTTTCCAGGCACGCCAACCATACTGAAAGGACGCTATACGTGTGACGACCTGTCTAGCTATATTGCCGGCGCATTCATTTCTCAGGCCCCCGTCTTCAAATTAAGAGAGGAAACGATGCCGGTGGGTAGTGAGACTGGATACAAGTTATCTTGGAACTCAAACAACGACGTAGTCGATCAGCGGGACGACGGCTTCTTCATATATGGCCACCAAGCGAAGTTGAGATATGGAGGCTACATAATGGTAGCACAGGCCCCAAAGAGGACCCATCATGGCTGATACGAAATGACAGATAGCGAGAGGGAAATGCACTATCGTGAGTGAAGCTCGGTTGGACATGTCGACGGGTTGCAACGACAAAACTGCAAGGCTCTATTTTCGCGACATGCTAGTAGTTGCGACACGAGGACGATGCTACCGTATCTAGGGAATAGCTCCGAGACCCCAGTCAGTAGTGCTTTATGTACCTATCGTGTCAGCCCTCGCTCCCTCCTCGAATCGCGTGCCAGCCCGGCGACGAAGGAGACTGCGAGGCACTACCTACCAAGCAGGTGGGAATCAGCAGCACAGCACCGGGCGGCGCCAAGTCCAACGCTTCCATCATCCGATCCGTAGGGCTGCATTTTGGACTGTGCAGGTTGCAATGACGTTGCGGATATGTTTTTGGGCCGACCTGCGTGGATCTCCCGGGACGTCTGTGGGGGCCCCTTCAACCCAGGCCAGACCAGGCAGTCTTAGCAGTCCAAGCAAGCAGGCACCAGACAGGGGGGCTGATTCGACCGGACATTTTTAATTGTCGTTTCGTATTGAGGCCGTTCTGAGGCAAACGATACGAGCCGCCGTTGATGACAGCTGATGGGAAGCGCGCTAGACTCCCCTGCACCGAGCTCCCACGCTTTGCCTTACTAAGTCGGGTCTGGTAGGGGCATCGTGACCTGACTCGATTCTACAAATCTTGTTCATTGGGCCGATCCCACTCTGCACACTTACTCACACGTACAGTAGCTATACTGGCCTTACTAATGCGCCGCCCGCTCCGCATCTACATAGTACAGAACCGGAGGTGGCTGGTTTTATCGTGTTTCCCTTAGACCTGACCCTACAACGAAGCGAAGCCCGTATTCTTCCTAGAAATGTCTCTTGGCTAGACACCGCTCATCCGTATTCGTCTAGTCGAAGAAAAAGAACCCTAGGCGACCTCTCCGTGCAAAGTCAATACACTTCATGGTGGATGCCTTCCGCAAGAGAGCAGTCATCGTGTTCTACCGAGTACCGGAAACTCCAACCCGATCTAGCCATTGTGTCACATTTCTCCTAATTTGGGGACGTGGCGACAACGGATGTAGATACACAAATTACCTATTTAGGTAATCAGACCTCGCCGCGGAGCCTTTTGACGGCAGCATCATCTCTATGCCTCCGAGGTGTTTCAGGGATATACACTTGGGTGCATGCGTGGGCATTGCGGCAAGCTTCCGCTTCTTTTTACAACTGAATGAAAACACGCCATGTAGTATTACCTATACTTGCTAACGCCAGTAGTTTCTCTTTAGACGGAGACGAACCTATGGAAACAGGGGCTTCTCTTTCGTTCCTTTCAATTATTCACTTCCTCTCCATCCCTTTTCTCACATTTTCTTATATTACCTCTGAGCATGTCGCCAAGCCCTCACTCACAACTGCTGAGATGTCTATTCGAAGCGGATAGAATAGAAGTAGCGATGCCGCTGTTCTGGCGTTGTCACACAATCTGACCATCATTTCCAGCACACTAAGCTGCGTAGGCGATAACCGACTCCTGAGATTGCTGGAGACTAATATTGGTGGGACAGCATGTTGTAATAGGCTTTGCCTAATGGAGAGAGCATATGGTTGGTTGAGACTACATCACACGACCGCGTCATTGCATCTGTAAGAGAAACCCCCTAGGTATAAACCATCGATCTCCGGCCGGCTCATCTGACAGATGCGCAGTCTTGGCGGGGATGAGTCGGACTAAGATCTGAGCCTTACGAGGCTTGGGCACCAGATTGTCCTACGTACCAACACTATCGCACTTATTGAAAGTTGCCGTGCCTGGATGATCATCCGACCCGACATTCAGCCCGAACTCTACAGACCTAGCGATCAACTTCGGAACTCATGTAGCTGGCAAGGGATGCGGTGGTCTCTGTGATGTAGATGGGTTGACGAGATGCTCAAAATCTCCACCCTAAGACTACGTCCCTGAATGGAATCTTTGTGTCCCGGGAGTTCCTTCGAGGACACCGCGATTCAGGTGCGTCTGTCGACCACTTTGGCGCGTTGTTGCGTTTGTAAGTGGTTCTTCCCAGGTAACCAGTCCAAGACTTTTCTGTGGCACTAGGGGTGGAGATGAGATAGGCTACATTTACATCGGAGGAGCGTGATGGATTCCGCGTTACTGCAGTCCGGGTGGCATGATACCAAACGCGTCAGACAAATTCACAGTATCTCCTCGACGGCAACTTCCTGCGGGATATCTCTGTTGGCATATTATCAACTGTGCTCCTGCCTAGCTCCTGCCCAATGTACGTGTACCCTGACTCCTTTGAGATTCCAAATATGTTTTGGTATTGGATAACACAAAGACCATGTTGGCGAACAGTGTGCACAGTCGATCTAAATGGCAATACTTGCCTTGCTCTTGATCTACGAAGACCAATCAGGCTAGTAAGGAACATAATGATAACCATGTTGTGATCCACAAGCAGAGCGAGGGGCAGGCACCAATTCTACTCCTCCGTAGCCCCTAGGGGTCATCCTACATGCTTCGCTTCAATCACGGCACTCTACTCAGCTCGGGACAGAATCATTGCGGCATATAACTTCCGTCCAGGGAACTACATCATGTCAAGTCGCATCTTGAATGGCACGAACATAAGGCTCAAGTGCCTCACATGGCATGCTAGTCTACTACTCTAGGCATTTCAATGCTGACATTTGAGCTCTCGATTAGTTTATTGTCTGGCTCACAGAGAGTGGACTGGTTGTATAGACTGGCCGAATCCCGCCCCCTCCCAGCTAGTGTCAGACTTTTATTCTAGACCTCAGGGCCACGAAGAATGGAGCAGGCGTCAACTACGGGTCTGGGGCGTCGCAGTTTGCCTCACCTTGGGGGCTTACGAGTGACCCTGGGGTGTAACGCTTATACAGCATACATATCATTCGCCTATAATTATCTCCGCCGATGGTGAATAGAATTTTGATATTATACTGCCCCTGAATTAACAGCTGTATTTCCTTGGCTTCGTAGCTAGGAGGCCGCATGCCGAACATTCGTCTCATATGACACAGCGTCAGGCTAATCACGCTTACAACAGCCTATTGGTTACTTGGTCAAGTAGCTGTTGAAATTAACAATTCTAATCTACGCATAGTGGAAGTAAACCTATAGGTACATGAGACAAGGGGGGTTTCTGAGGAAAATTCAGAGACGATAGAGTATTTCCTCCGTATAAAATCAGTCCCCCTTGACTACATAAGTGCTGTTCTCCTGATCCATTAGCGGCAAACCTGGCACTGAAGGAAGATTTATGCAATAGCGACTACGACGTTATCATGGTGACAATCACACTTAACAACGGTCTCCGAGTCAGTTCATAGGAAAAGGGTGACGCGAGTTATAGGGGTATCGTGTAGTTAACTCCCACAGCGGAGTGGTACTGAAACCCACGCGGAACCAACCTCACGTGTTTCTCGGGCCAACTTACAACGTCAAGTACGTCGCTTTTGCGGTCTCTAAGTTCTTTCCAGTCATCTATTGGATTCCCCTGACCTAGCAATCTCCTTTGATGTTTCGTTCCACGTCTTAGAGTTGCGAACATCATCGCACATCCGTCTCGTCTAGGGTAGCCCCTTTACCACCTAAATCCTATTTTCCCCGAGCATCCGAATTTCTCGTCCCCTTGACAAGAAAAAGAGAGAAAAGAGAAAAGACTTGTCGCTAATGACCGTCCAGCTCGCTATGTACGCTTGGTTCTATCTGAGCATTGTCACGCCACGTTACAATTGAAGAGAGAAGGAGGCTTATGAGGAATCAAACAATGCAAGAAGGAGGTTACTCGACATCGTACGATCATGCGCGGCTCAGAGGCGTTTATTTGAATGTACTACGAGGTTCTAATGGAGGTACTATTCACCTCTATCTCGGTTCAATAGGCTCTAGACTGAGTCTATGAAGTTAAGAAGCCTTGCGACATTATTACAAGGATCAAGCGCGCATGTTTGACTACAAGCGAGTTACGCGTCAATCCACGTTTAGTTTTTCGAGTGCAATCCGTATAAGTCACTGAGAGCCAGGGGGATCAGGGGTAAGTGTACCATGCAAGCTTGACTGACTCATTGGCACAAGTGGTGACGACGAAATGACAGGCGAGTAAAGCGTAGGCTAACTATATTGCCCTGGGGACGAGATTATTGCAAGTGAATAGGCCGCTTGATCGCCAGGCCGTGCGACTCAACATGCAGCTAACAAGATGGAGGCCGCTTGATCAGACACGTCCCAGATGCGAAGTGGTGGAAGAAGTTAGAATAACAATAAACTTGAGATACTATTAAATATAAGTAGTCTTTATGTTAAACATGAGTAGCTTGATATCTACCATGCTGCCTGGGCTTTTATGGGAAGCCCATTCCACAGTTGGGCTTCGGTGAATAAGCAGCCCCCGAGGCTATACGTGTCCAACGTCAGCTGAAAGCCATACCTGGATGCCGACGAGCTGACCATACATTAGTAGATGACCAACGATACCACCGGGGAATAGAAGGCTGGAAAGCATACGCGGTCTATTCTGCCTTGTATTGTACCGGCCGAGCCCGTAATACTGTCCAATGACATGCTATCTTGGCTACTTTCTAAACGCTGCGTTTCCTTCTCTCCTGACTATTTCCTCGTTTCCCTCATCGTATCGCGCTCAGTAATTCTTTCCTACTCTATTGTATTTGCCTATTGTACCGATTTGTCTTCGCTGGTGGGCGAGATTTGGAGGAGTATTTATTTGAGGTGCTGATATAGATAGGCGCGTTCACGAACAGAGAGATGCAATGGCAGAAGCCTCCAACAACCCCACGCTTCACACAAGCAAAGCAGATGCTACTCGCTAGAGCCCCTCACCAGTACCGTCACCAGATCAAGAGCAGTGTTCCGCCCCAGTATAAACACTCAGTCGGGAATACCCCTCGTATAAGGATCGATTGTGTCACTAGCTATGTTTTCCTAACATCATGAATGATTTGACTAGGTTATACCAAAAACCCAGATTGCACTGAATCTACCTTCGGCACTAACGAACTACAAACATGTCTCCTATGCGTCATGACATATCGCGAGTCGGCTCTGAAGAGAAACAACCATACTAGGCCTCAGTGTACAGCCTTTGATTCAATACTTCAATATCTAGCGTCAACTATCATATTGAGAGTGGCGCAAGAGCGCCCTAGCTCTACGAGCATTAAGCTCTGCGGTATTGCCGATATAATACGAGTTACGATAAGATGTGAGTAGCAAGGTGTGAGATATTGCTGTGACAGGGTTGACTAAAGAGAACTGTCTCATATTACAGAGGAGGCTGTCAAACCAGAGTCCCATATGCTGCCAGCCCCCTTTCTTGAACACTGCGTGGGGCCTCAATATCAACCACGACAGCAGCTTTCTCCGGAGACGAGAGGTTGAGATCTCACAAGGCTGTTTTAATTGGCATGATTCGGGTAATAACAAATTTGACACGAAGATAATAACAACTTTATGCATGGCTAATATGAACGTTCTATAGGGGATCTATCAAAACCCTAGACCATCGCCGGCTATAAATGACTAGTACAACAGAAGGAAATCAAGTAATGCCTGACTATACCCTAATCGTCGATTACCATCAGACAGCAACCGACCTCAATGCTTCATGATCAAATGAGGCGCAAACGTCGAGCCAAGAACAGCGCCAAGACGACAAATCCTACCAGACTTCCAAGGATACCAAAGAAGGCATGAAGATCGGTGCCGTCCATGAACGGCACTCGAACATTCATGCCGAAGAGACCCGTGACAATGTTGAGCGGAACAATGACAGTGGCAATGAAAGTGATCTTACTAAGGCCAGCATTGGTCTGCGTTCCTTGCGAGATACTGTCAATGGTGAGTTGGGCAAGATAATTGCTGTGCGCCCGAGATAGAATCTTTTCGAAGTGTGTCAGATTAGTCATCATGGTGACAACATGGTCCTGAATATCGCCCAGGTACATGCCTATGTCCATTCGTGGCGTGACTTTGTAGTTCTCATTGCATCGCTTAGTGAAACCCTTGAGGACGTCTGCTTTGCCGCCAAGGACTCGCATCAGGCCCAACGTATTCTTACGAACACCGCCCAGCTTACGTAGGAACATGTGCATATCGTCAGAACGTGCCACAAACACTGAATCCTCGATACCTTCAGTAAGCAGTTCGATCCGTTGGATGGCAGGCGCAAAGGAATCGACAATGTTGTCACTATACTGGTAGGTTAGAGCGAGCTTCAAAATTCTGAACAAATGATCGGTGGGAGAGGGCTTACATCAAAGCATAGCATATCCAATCACTACTTAGCGACACATACTCCTTCAGGTTGACAATTCGCTTTCTGACTTGGGAAGCGTGAGAGTTTGGCTGGAAACTGAAGCTCAGAGTGCCTTCACGCCAAACAAGGACGTAAATATTGAATGGCTCGTAGTCAGGTCCATCTTCATCTTGAACCACATTAAAGGATCTGAAACACGCGAAGTAGTAGGAAGAAAAGATTTCAATCTTCTCGCGAGCTTCTTGGGTGGTTATGTCTTCTATCGTTAAAGGATGGACACCAAAAGCTTTACACAGTGTTCGAACTTCTTCTTCGTTTGGTCGATTGACGTTGAGCCACCAGACACCATCTGGCTCATCACGGGGGAAAGTGAACAATCCACGGAGGTCTTCGCCAGGAAGGACGAGATCTCCAAATTCAGCTGCATGTATGGTGGACTCCCACGCAGATGAGAAGAAGCTGAACCGATTTGGATCCATGTGTTCCTTATCAACGGGGCCAATACCAGGCTCCAGACCTGGATCCTGCACTGGTTTGGACGGCTTTTCTCCTACATCGCTAGAAGTAGAAGGAACATAAATTATATCTCCGTCAGTTGTGACCATGGGTTCATCGTGTCCATCTTTGTGCTCATTTCGCAAAGTTGGGAATACTCTTGAAGCTTTCTGGGCTTCAAGGTTCTCTCTGCGTGCTAGCTCCTCTGTTGCGACGAAATTCTCCAGATAGTCAAAGTCGATATAAAGCTGGTCCTGCCGATGATCATCTTGCATAGGAAAACACACATCCTCCTCCGCTGTCTTGTTTGTTGCCAAAGACGCCGCATCATCAGCAAATGTCACAGGTCTGCTACGCCCGGACCGTTGGCTATTGCGACTGACAAACGACTGAGTGCGGTGAAGGGCCTCGCCCTCATCTTGATTGGCACGGCCATCGGAAGTTGAGAAAGTACGCTCCCGACGTCGTGCTTCAGCGAAAGCTTTCACAGAGTTTGGTGGCGATATAGCTCGCTCGTTTGTAGAAGTAAATGTCGGGCGCCGACCATGTGGAACAGGGATCGTCACATCATTGTCATCCTCATCGATGATGGCTTCTTCAAAGTCCCGAACTCTAACATCGGTTGGAGAATACGGTCCATCGGTCTCTAGATACTGACGAGAGCCATAAAGCGTGTCAACTGTTCCACGGCGAGGGCGGTCTAGCCGCTGTGCGGAAGCAGTGTTGTGGCGATGATCATCCAATTCAGGGACCGGGGTCTCATAGCCCTTCTCAGAGTTGCTTCCGTCGCGTTCCGACATGTTGCTAGAAGCGCTGTAGCGGTACACGTGATAGAGATATCAAGAATGATACAACAATATTTATCCAGATGCAAAGTATAGTAAGGAGAGAGAGCCTGGTGGAGCCTTCGATGGGCTATTCATACGAAGGTACGCATAGTGGTTGAATTCTAGCCCAACAGCATTCGCAGTTCGCAGCAGGCGTAGCAGCACGCCGACTGCAGGTTAACGTTGTTGTATGCCAGAACCAGTCCAGTGGATGAGGGTAACCTAATGGAGCGATATAGAGAGGCGCAATTGAAATTGGGGTGGTGAGGAAAGAAACTTTCGACTGCCCAAAATAGGGGAATATACCGGACCAGTTAGGGAGGCTTTGTGTCAACGCCGCCGTAGACCCAGCAAAGAGGGCCTAGAAGCGGTCGAGAGAATGAAAACTTGGTGCTGTTGAGGACCGCCAACTTGTTGGTTTTATATGTGCTGCGGTGTATTTACCGCGAGGAGCAACCGAGGGCGTGCCGGAAAATGACTCGGCTGGTTGTCGTTGAGCGCTCGTAAACTTTAATTTCGGAGGGTTCTCAAATGACAGCGGCCGACGATGGCGCGTCAAGTCGGTATATATAGTGAAGAGAGGCACGCTGCAATCGAAGACCGATGGTTGAGCATGCACTTAAAGCCAAATGGTGGCAGGCAATGGAGCTGACCAGAAAGTCTGCTCAATGGAATCAGCTGGTTGTTAATGGTCGCAAATGCAAGGCGAGTGAACTTACCCTTTCGTGACACCTATACCGCCGCTTATCAGACTGAACCTAGTAGTTAAGTAAATTGCACACGAGCTCAAGATGAATGCGAAGGGGGAAAATAATAAGAAACCCGTCCTTGAAAGCAGGAAGTGTCTGGGACGAAAGATTGTTTGTTAGGGTGGAAGGGTTTTCGTTGTCACTTGGCGAAGGAGCATCCGATGTGGCTACGGCGCCAGGAGTAGTTTTTTTTTTTTGGTTCTTTTTTTGTTCTACCTCTTCAGTATGTTAGGTACCTACCCTAACTAGGTAATGGCCAGCGCTGTTACAGAAGTGTCACAGCGGATGCGGTGCGCTGTAATGCACGCACAATTGGAACACCTACCTACCTAGGTAGGTACTACAGGCAGAGTCCACCTAGGTAGGGCCCCCTTAGCAAACCTAGGTAGGACCTACCTAGTACTCAGTACTTACAAGAGTACTTATCAGGTAGGTACCTACTTACAGTAAGTAAGGAAGCCTGGGCAGCTTGCTAGAAGTGATATTAAGGGGTAGATTCTAGAGCTTGTAGCCTCCTATCCCAGTGGGTATAAGTGGGGGATTTCTCATGAAATACTATGTACCTACGTCTATGACATTTACCTCACATGTATTAAATCTGTAAGGCGGTTAGTGTTTGCTTTCAAAACTAGGGAAGTAATTTGGTACCGGGAGTCTGTGTAGCGAAAACAACAACCATCGTGAATTTGACACAGGTATGGGGCGCCAACCAGTTTTCTTTCTCCTCTCGAAGCTCGAAGCCACGCCAATCTTTATGCTCTGTTTCGGTATTCCATTAGGTACACCTACATACCCAAGCGTACACAACATACTACCTATCTACGAGAGAAAATATCAGTACATTGTGAGTTTCTTTTTTTACATATATCGGATTGACTACGAAGTACAAAGGCAACGCGTATATCAGACGCATGTACAGTCGGGAATATGGAGTATGATACGTACTTACCTAAGTACATATGTCTGTCTCGTAATGTAATAAGCTAAGAGCTAAATGTAGAAATTTGGATACATGCATAAGTACTTTTCTAATTAAGAAGAAAGTTAAGAGGCAGACCTTCAAAGTTTAGTGGAAATCTACTACTATGTACATAGCCTAGTTATGTACCTAGGTACTTCCAAGCTACAGTAGGTCCACTAGAATACTCTAGGTAGGTACTTATATGAGTGAGGTGGGTCGCGCTGCAACTGCTCAATAGGTCCTAAGAGGACTGCCACTTTAGAGGCGGGAAGCGACCACGTCGCAGCATCTTCTTTCTTTGTATGTACTCGACGAATGCACAAACGCCGACAAGAACAGCGCTGCATATAACGCAGTGCCGATAGCTCCAATAACGCTGTGTAGTCGAGGATTCATTGAAGGCTCAATCACAGAAGCCGCGACAATGGCAGATCAGCTACTCGAGCAGATCCGAGATGCCGTCGACGGACAGATTGTGCGTCCCACTACAAGCTACATGAATGCCGTGGACTATGTGTTTAACTGTTGACATTCGCAGGACTTCCAAGGTCAGAAATTAGCCGATATTCTGGCAACTGTGCTTCTTTCTATCGTTGGCGTATGTGTCTCTCCCACCCGCCTTACAAGCGCAATGCCCACTAGGCATGGAATTCGGGATTAAAGGAGTATCCTCATTAACAATATCAATAGGCCATCTCATTCCTCGCCGGTTTCCTCCTCCAAGATATCGCATTAGCCCTCAAAATTGGTCTAGGCGGCACCGCCCTGACATTCCTCGTTATTGTCCCTCCGTGGCCTTTCTTCAATAGGCACCCTGTGAACTGGCTCCCTGTTGGCGGATCAACGATTCCAAGCAGTCACCAAAATCTAATCATAGACGAGAAAACATTGGCGGAACGATAGTCCGTCGATCCCCTTGAAGTCTATGCTATCAAATCGGATGGTGAGGCTCTCGTGAATATAGCACACAGCAAATATACTTGATTGTTCTGAGCCTGAGTATACCTGACTATATCAGGTCAAACCGTGCCCCAAGCCCATTTTGTCTTTAAAGATAAGCGTAGCAGTGGAAATCGAGAGCCTTCCGCATTGGCCATACCTACGTAGTCACCAAGTCTGTCACTGAGCATTTCTTCTCACACCAACCCTTATCGACCATACTTCTGGAATTCCCAATCTCTGTTGTCAAGCGGGCAGACATGTCGAGCTTTCAGCCATCTCGAGATGCAGTGGAAATGGAACGCGTGCTAATAACCAGTCAGCCCCGAGTTTGTGGCTCACATGTCAAAAGGTGGGCGGTCTTACGTTGCAAATACCCCAAGCAACAGTGCACTCTTCACTGGTAGCAGATGCCTGGTTGGCTTGGCACTCTATGCACAAATCCATAATGTGATTTCGACAGATGGCACAGTTGTCGACGACGATGTCCCAGGCCCACAACGCGACCGCATTCCACTAACGCTCCAGTGTCAGAAAGGAAGGCTCCAGGACAAGTCCAAGCTTCAGTGTAGTGTAGTGTTTACCTTCTTTACCTCGAATCTCTTCTTCCCGTCATTCTTGGCATCGACGTCACCACCCTTCCGCTTGGGTGCAGCAACAGTGTTGCTAGGGGCATCTGTCATATCTACGTCGGCCATCGTGGCGATCTCTGTAGTGCGTGATACTGTGGTGGTTCAGGTGTAGGTAGTTGATCGAGGTATGGAGGTGTCGGAGGGGTAAGGAATGGCCGCGATAGTAGACTGGCGGCTGTTTGCTAATTATTGGTACAGCCCATTTGAATGCTCTGGCGTGGGAGATGTTCCTCTCGACTTGAAAGTAGGCACCTGGTGGTCGGTAAGCCAGCTGCTTACCACAAGACAAAATGATGTCAGTATAATGAGGGGGGAGATCGAAATTTACCTTGTTCCAGCGTGGATGCGTCGCAGGTGATGATATGGATTTCACAGACTGGCACTCGTTGTTCCCTCAAGGTGGACTACCTACAATGTACAGGTAAGCTACCCAGGTACGTAGCAGGTAGTACATAGTGGCTACCTTATTGACTGATTTACTGAGGCAGAATCCACAATAGTCCACCCCTCTTTAATACATTGCGGATAGGTACCCATACTGGACCTACCTGAGCATCTATCTCAATACCTACATATTCACTTGAATATTTAAACATGCGGGGCTTTCAATTCAACCTTGCTTAGGTCATGTGGATGTTTCAGCGCCACCCAAGTCCCGTGATGGATGCTGTCCATGCCCATATGTACTCTGATGTACTTCAAGGCTAAATTCCTATTGTAGATATGTAGGCAGGTACTTATGAGTGTGTAGTAAGTTGGATTCCTTATTATCTTTGCATAGCCACCTTCCACTCTCCCGCCTCATTCATTCATTCATTCCGTTCCATGTTATTAGTATCATTATTAGGTATCAATATTGCTTGTTACTATTTGCAAGTTTTCTTCAAGAGCACATCGCTAACTGAATCTCCGGTATCCTCAACGCTGTGCAGATACTTCCGCTTTCTCGCGGCCGCTGACTTAAGGATCGCCCTTGCCTGACTGACCCGACCCATTCAAGAGTCATCCTTGTTGTTCTCGTCACCCCGCATCGCATCCAGTCGCACACCTATCGCCAGGTGGTCCTTCTGGGACAGTTTCTATCGCGTGTTTTGCAAAGCAAAATACGCCCTCGTCTCACTCCCCTATCATTCTTTCACCACGGAATACATGTTTCCACTTGAGAATGCAGGAGTTCGTACCAACACCAAAGGGCACACCTAACAGGCGGCGTGCTCCCACGAGTCGAGGTCGCAATGGCTCCCAGAAGGTTTATGCCTCTGAGAACGATCTTCCGACCTACAAGCCCAACAATATCGCGAGCCCGAGCACCCCTCAGAAGCATGGTTCTGGTAGATCTGCTGCTCCGCAAATCCAATCGACGAATCAGAAACAAAAAAACAAAGGGAATAGGAGTCGCAATGCCAAGAATGACGTTGTATCGCCCGGTCGCCGACCGGATGGCGAAAGCCCGTCTTTCCAGTCTAAGAGGGCACCGGTAAACATCTTCGCTGGCTCGACGTTTCATGCATCTCCCGCGCCATCTGCATTACCCCTTCCAAGTTTCCTAGGTTTGTCGAATGCGGACTCTCCTGCCGTCAAAGACAGGACGCCTGAATTAGCTCGGGATTCAACCCCTCCCCAAACGGACTCGGACGAGGGGAGTCAAGTGGACGAGCCTACGCCCCGCCACAGTGACTCTCCCTTGGAGTTTTTTTTTCGCGCAGATCGAGCTGAAAAGGCTGAAAGGGCGCGGGTTCGCCGAGCTAGCTCAGCAAACACAGACAGTGTTTCAACTGCGTCATCTGTACCTTTGCAGGACTCCCCTCGTAAGGAATGCAATACTTTCCCCAAAACCATAGCTCATCGTTCTCTTCGGCGCTCGGGAATCATCGAGAACGACCCCTCGGTAGGCATACCTTCGAGTGAGCTAGATGGTGATTCTGGGTTACCTGTAGGTCCTGCATTCTCGACCCCATACTCGGAACGAATTCGAGCGGCTCGTTCAAACTCAGCACATACAACTCCAACATTGCATCGAAACATGGATCCGGCTTCTTCTGAGGCTCTGAAACGGTATCTATTTACTGGTCAACTCACACCATCCAGATCAGAAGAGCTACCGGCCAAACCAGGTCTATCACAGACAACGCCGCAACCTGTCCAGCAGCAGTATAGGCCTGGTGCTAGTCAGTACCAGGGTACATACCAGGCGTCGGAGCGACTACCGTTCCCTAACCAGAGCCTCCCTCGAGGGGCGCCAGCAAACCACGCACTGCATGCTCAGCCACCATCATCTCTCCATATCCATGCTCAACCGAGTCCGCCACCTGATCACCTTCTCACATTGGAGGGTAATCTTCGGCAAATACTCAAACTCGACGCTCTGAGTTAGCCGCGCTCTTCCAATGCAACTGCGAGCATAGGGTTGGATTTCTTTACGGCGTTATAAATGGATCTTACGATATTATCATCAGTATTTACTACTGTGATTATGGCTTATCTCGGCTTCATTGCTTTTACTCTTTTTTTTCCACTTTTTTATTCAAACCTATGGTTTTCTCTAAGAGACGGGGCCCATCGTGTTCTAATACACAATGATTGATGACGGTGATGCATTTCGGACATCTACCCTTTTCCATAAGGGAAGACATACTAAGTTTCAATACTTCTGTTTCGGTTGAACTTGAGTAATGTATTAAAACTCATAGGGATTTGGGGCGGGGTGTTGAGCGTTGAGCGTTGCATGTTGCATATCGCATATCGCATATTGCATGTTGCAAGGTACATGGAAGCGGTGGCTGAGGCTCGGTTATCTCGGATAATGCCTCTTGGTAGTCGTTCCGGGCATGGAAGTTACATGATAATCGTGGTACGACGTCGGGATTGCATTTGGTTCGGAGCCGGTTTATATCATATGGAAGCATTACATTCGGTGTTCTTAGGTGAAGGTACGGAACTGATCGGATTGTATATGCCTACAGTACCGACATATCTAGTGGTGATGGGGTGTTCAGGCTCGGCTAGCATTATCAGGGAGGTGGGAAACACGGTGAGAAAATGAAAAGAAAAAGCGGTGGATTTTTTTTTTCTTTTTTTTTGGATGATATATTTCAGCACTCTGGTCTTGGACTTCCTACGACAGACCTTAGGCAAATAATAAGACAGACCTCGCGGTCTAGTATATCGTCCAAAACTTGAACCATCGACTCGTAATTTGTGAGCAATTGCTGGGTAACAACGGCGATACCCCGATATCAACTATTGCACCTTTGTTACAATGTCCTCACTTTTACTTGTCAATCTCACTAAATTAGGAATTTGAAGTCGAGAGTATGTTCATCTATCTAGCTAGGTATACCTAGGTATAGAAGGGATAAAATGCGGTGAAACAGAGCACCACATTGGACGCCCAATAAGGCTGACGTCATCTTTCTATAAGCATCAAAGAGGTGGGTGACAGGGATACTGGCTACACGTGAGTTGGTGCACTGTTCGCGTTGGTTGCACTCCGGATCACCACGTCTGCTAAGGGCATCCAACCATCAAACCTCGAACCATAAGCAGTCTTCCTCGCCCGCTTCATCAAGTCAGCTCCGATACTCACTCGCGCACAGCTTTCCCTAAGGCAATTTCGGTGAGTTAAAAATCGGTATGGATTCTCATCAAGATCCGTTTGACGGCGATGAGGAAGCAGCATTGCGTTACGCAATCGCGTTGTCACTCCAGGATCCTAACGTGCCTGCATCTCCCTCAACTGCCCAGAGACCAATTGTGCTAGATGAGGGCGAAGATGAGGAAGAAGATCTAGAAAATGGCCCAAAATGTCCGCCCACGCCGAAGAAACCTAGCCAGCTAGCTGGTAAACCCACCAGAACACTACCGGCGACAAGTCACTCACAAATAGCGCCTCATGCCACACCTTCACATATTAAACCCAGTAGTCTCTCATCTCTAGGCCTTGACAGAAAGAAAATGGAAGAGGAAAGACTTGCGCGGGTCGCTAAGCGCAAAGCCCCGCCGGATGAAGACGCTCTTCAGCGTTTGCCACAACGTATCAAGATTGACGGTCAACCTAAGGTCACGCCACTCGCGGCACCTGCTCCTATATCCTCAGCCTCCACCAAATCGCCGCAATTACCTTATCCCAAAGGCGTCGTGAGAAGAACTGTAAGCACTTACTTATGCAGTCGCTATCTCGCCTTATTCTTGAGTGTTATTCAAGTGGCGGTGGACTAATTCAGATACCATAGTGGGCTGCTGGATACCCGCGCCAGGACGATATCAAAATCGAAGAAATATTCCAAAAGGATCAGCTTGAGCTTGCCGTCCTCAGTTCTTTTCAGTGGGATGATGAATGGCTGTTAACCAAAATTAATGTGAATAAGACGAAGCTGGTCTGCATTGCATTTGCCTCAAATGATCAGCAAAAGGAAGCAATGAGAGCTAATGTGCCTAGAGATCGTATCCGGTACGAGATCTCCGCTCCTTAGCCCTCGCAGCTTTCGTGATGGCAACTCTGGGGTCTCTCTCTAACATGCTGCGCTGCCGGATGAACCATAACGCCAATCTCTGACATATGTCTGCAGGTTTTGCTTCCCTCCCATGATGCCAGCTGGAAGTATGCATTCAAAACTCCAACTGCTCAAGTTCCCCAATTACCTGCGCTTAGTTATTCCCACTGGTAATTTGGTGCCTTATGATGTGAGTGTAACGTCTTTCTTTCCTAATCAGATTGCCGTCGAACCATGAAAATCTTTCTTGGCCCAACGAGGAATCAACATATAACCTATCTTTACACATTTGCTAGCAACAAGCATCACTGATCAGTTATATATTGCATAGTGGGGTGAGACAGGTGTAATGGAGAACATGGTCTTTTTGATCGATCTGCCTACGACAACAAAGTCAGAAACCCCTCCAACCATGTTTAATCAAGAGCTTTGCTACTTCTTGACGGCATGTGGGCTTGATAGCACTTTGATCAACAGTCTTTCGAAATATGATTTCTCGGAAACAAGTCAATACAGGTTTATCCATACGATGTAAGCTTGCTATCGCTCCGAAATGAGTTGTATGTTACTCCAGCTTAGGAAATCATAGTGGGCAGTCGCATATAGGAGACGCATGGCAACGAACAGGTACGATAGCCCCCTCCTTTCGCTATCCCCGCTAACTCTGACGACAGGGTATTGTGGCCTTGGGCGAGCCGTGGAGTCATTAGGTTTGACAACAGACTCAGAAGTTGAACTAGATTTCGTAGTAGCATCGCTCGGTTCAGTTAGCACTGACCTAACCTCAGCGATATATAATGCCACTCAAGGTATTTATTTGTGTAATCCTCACAAACGCACTCGAGCCGTATGCTTATCTAATATCAGGAGACAATGGACTGAAGGAGTACAACAGAAGGACCAACGGAGGCCCCAAGAAGAAAGCCACTCAAAAGGTTGGTCCAAGCTACCATCCCGACAATTTCCGTATCTATTTCCCTTCTCATGAAACCGTAAGCCGAAGCCGTGGCGGCAAGAACGTAAGTCAGGTACACTACGACTGAACAAAGATACAAGCATTAATGAGGTTACATAGAGTGGCGGTACTATCTGTTTACAAAGCAAGTGGTGGGATTCTCCAATGTTTCCTAGAGAACTGGTGCATGATTGTGAAAGCGTTCGACCTGGTCTGTTGATGCATACGAAGATACTCTTCGTTCGACACCCCCATCGGGACAAATCACACTGGGCCTACCTTGGGAGTGCCAACCTTTCCGAAAGTGCTTGGGGACGTTTAGTGAAAGACCGAGCATCTGGGCAACCCAAACTTAACTGTCGTAATTGGGAGTGCGGAGTGCTTATTCCCATGGAAAGTCAAGCCGGCAAGTCAGGCTGGAGCTCATTCGAGAACAGAATCCCCATACCAATGATCGTCCCCGGCGAGGCTTATGGCAAAACCAATTCCAAACGGCCATGGCTTTTTCTAGAGGCTTAAATCCTTGACTCAAGACCATAACAAGGTGTTACGCATTATAATGCCGAATAACAACTATGCTGTACCGAGAGCTACGTAACCACGCCACACCGTCAGTGGGAAGAAGGCCTGGGTATTGTGTTCCTTAGACAAAGTCTAGCCTAGGCGTATCTGGATAGATTATGAGCAACATGCCATAGGTACTGTCAGGGGTCTCAGGCCGGAGGAACAAGGAGATACTACACCCTAAATAGTCAGAGAAGTCTGAATGCCTTCAGGCGCCTGACCTTTTAGACCTTGTGCCACAATGAGAGTCTTACTGTATACCATGTACAGCCCTCCTGACAGGTACCATGTGGGCTTGGAAATGGCTCATAGTATCCCAATTTTCTACAGTTGGTCCAAGACTCATATCTTCTTTGGCCTGACTACGACAGTGCTAAGATTGGTCATGGCCTAATCGCGCCTTTCATCACATTGCAGACTATTCTATCGACATAACAAGGCTACATGTAATGTTTGGTTTCCACCACCTGCCGAACAAAGCTCTGCTTTAACAAAGCCGATAGTGTGGTGCATATATCGCCTTACCGACACTTCTACGAGGTACTTTATCTTCTACTGTGACCGCAATGAGAATAATACAAGCTATTCTCGCGTGAACTTTTCACCGTAATGAGTATTCATGAACTGCGCTCAAGCTGTAATATACCAACTCCAGGCTATGTTCTCGATTTGATGTTCAAGTTTTCGGCTACAAGCCCCAATCCAATGGCATGTGGAAAGTAGTTTCCAAGCTTACGAGTATGAAGTGTGATACATCAGCCAGAGCGGCCTCGTTTGATGGCGATGCTGTGGTAATTCTGCTCTGAGGGAACCTGGGTCATCACACCTTGACATCACAGCCGTACGAGGTAATTAGTTATGTAGGTAGAAATACTAGCTGGTTCTCTTGTTACTTGCCAAGGTAACAGTTATCTAGAGAGATATAGGCTTAGTACATTCATGCTCGCCAAGAGATTCGTTACTCATAAATATATTCGACTTTTGCCTCCCTTACGAAGGACCTTGTACATTGATCATAAGACGCAACTATCTCTAAATACGAGAATGGTATGTATTATTATATAATCAGCTGTTGACTGTCAGACTCCATGTAAGCTTGTACTATTTACTTGAGCTTATGGCTTTTGCTTTATTACGCACGTGCGGATAACGAGCACTGAAAGCATGTAGGAGTATATAGTCACGCATACATAATGCATTGATATGCGGCAAACAAATTTTCTTTCCTCAATGCTACCCGTGGATGAAGTGAACGGTACCAGCCATGTGTTTTGTAAGGTGGTCCCTTAATAATTGTTGTTCAGAACCCTTGAGCGGTAACACAGGAAATATCTCCGAATGTTATCCACAATCATGTGAAACTTCTGGCAACGGGCTAACTAGGGAAGGGGGTGGGCTTCAATGTTAGTATTGGATACCATTAGTTACACTCAGATCGTAGATTGAATTCGCCCCTATGTTACGATTTGGCCACAAGAGATTGTTTACCCCGCGGCATGCCTTGAATCCCAAAGGGAAGCGCTTTGGCCATAGACAGACCAAACAAATTTACGGCCCGAGGCTCTTAATAAGGTTTTCTTCGCAGCCTACTCGTGCTGGGATTTCCCGGTACAGATCCTGCATGTATCTCACACTCATGCCGGCTCAACAGCATTGCATTTTACTATAATACATTGTTTATTGTGTTTGAATACATTACTTTCTGTCTAACTCTCTTCTTTGAATCTTTTCTTTTATTTAGTTTCTATTCTATCAAGTACTTTTTTGTCCTCCCCCCCTCTTTTTTTTCATATATTAGATTCATCGGTCCTCCTATTCATAGAACCGTGAGCAGTTCAACACCAGCCACCAAGAAAAGGGGACATCGTAAGTTTCAGAGCCTTTTCATTTGACGATCTTGTTCCCTTGGAGAATAGCAGCCTCCTGAAAATCGTCCTGCTAAAGGCATTTGCTTAGGGGACTTGCGTTCTAGACACCAATCGACCGAAAAGCTATCTCGAGTCATGAAAAAGTTGCGGGTGGTTCCGCCCGCGCTTTGGTCAGAGAGAAGCTCGGCGTCCGAGGTTTTGTAACGACTATCTAATTTAGTGCGTGACAGGCAAAGACGTAGACCATCGAGATTTCTATATGGATATAGTTACGCGCAGTGGTCTTCCAACTGTATTAATTTGTATCATAGTGTGCATAAACCTCTTTTGCTAAGTTAACTTCCACTTTTTGAGCGTGAGACTTATGGCGAAGATTTGACAGATATGTGCTGAAGACATAAAGGTAGTCTTTAATTTTTTTCCAACGACAAACACCCAATACAATTGCTTAGCGTGATTAATGAGCAGCATGCAAACATGTAGATAATCATTTATTACATCTAGATGGAGATACTATGTCTTTTTGGGTAGAGGGGGGGAAACATTATGGACTAGACTTTTCATCAGCTCTCTAGCCTCCCTTTTAGCACTGGGCGACAAGCACATAACTAGACTGATTAATAAACGACTGTCACCTAGGATTTTATTGGCCTAAGGAGAAGGCAATATTCCTGTTCACACATATGAGCTGATATAACAAGCAGACGTGGAGCCGGACTAAGTTGGGTCAACATGTGCGACTCAATTCATCTACCGCTCGTCGTATCAGAGTTATCACTGGCATTAGGAAATTGCTCGCAACATCTCGGCCTACCGAGAGCAGCTGGACCGTGACGGCTGCATCCGAATGACGGGAGATCAGCTGTGAACTGAAAGCCAGAGATAAAGCATTAGGGGGGGTTGGTTCTACCCAGGTCCCTAGGTTCTTGGATAGCCGCAGAGCAACACGCGGATGACTAGAGAAAGAATTGGCTGATCCGGCGAGCGGAAGGATATAGGTGGTCAGAGAGGTATCGGCTACCTAGGGCCATTGGTTAAGTTTCTGCCTGCCTGCCTATGTGCTTGCGTATGCATGTGCGTGGTTATGAAAGTCTCAGGGACAACTGGATGTTCCCACCCCGTGTCTTGCTCATAATCGACGGCCCAAGTTCCATCCATGAGTTTTAACAGGCTTTATACACGGAATTTCATGTTTCTCATGAAGGGAGGTTCCTCTATAACTAGTATATGTGTGGCTGCGCACACCCGCGACTACATGTACATAAGATGATGTCTAGGCCAAGCCTGGTGCACTAGTATCTGTAAACAAGTAAAACGGGGGGCCACCGTGAAGGAGGCCGTTCAGAGACTTGTCGAGAGTAGGCGCGGGACATACTCAAGGACAATAGATGAAGGCCGGACATCATAGCCACGGCGATGGCGCAAGATGGACCGATGTAAAGCGAGATGTCCGGAGGCGGACATGGGAAGGCAGAGCAGTAGGCAGAGCAGTAGGCAGAGCAGTAGGCAGAGCGGTAGACATGGTAGGCATGGCAGGCATGGCAGGCATGGTGTGCCTGACTCGGTGCTAAAGGACAAGGACGACAAGGCCAGGTAACGGCCAACATGAAGTACATAGCTAGGTACGTAAGTAGGCAGGGAGTAGGTAAGTACCGGGAATGGTGTAGCCCGGCGCGCACTAACACCGGTCCATTGCTGGTCCTGGCCGTGATCTCCATACCTAGGTAGGTATCGACTATTACCTACCATCTCCGCCTTCATCCGCATCTCCATCCCCATGTCCATTCCTATCGGCATCTCTGCCTCTTTTTCGCTATCTCCATACGTGGCATGGCCCCTGTGTCTCCTACCCCCAGCCCTCCTCCGGTCCCCCCTTTCCCCCTTTCCCCCTCTCCCTCTCCCTCTCCCTCTCCCTCCCCCTGCCAGTGCCAGTGCCACTGCCCCTGCCCCCCAACTACCCTCGTACACGACGCGAGAAACATTGAATACCAAGGCCGGCAAGAAGGTTGTGTGCATTAGTCCATCATTTCCTTAGCAGCAAATCGGTTCGTTTCCTCTCTGCTGACTAGCTGAGAGTTCCTCCCACGCTAGCTCTACATATAAGACTAGGTCGAGTCGCGGCGGCAAACGACGCCTTGTTTAGTAGCACGTACATACTATTTACCTCATGTAGAGGTACGGCGGCCTCTGTCGATAAGCCTGGCACTTGAACATTCTGCTGCTATCGCTACCCCTATGTGTATACTTATAGGCGCCGACTTGTGTATGGGGATCCTTGGATGAACGAACTACATAGCTATGTATATATGTATGTATGTATGTATGTATGTATGTATGTAGGTGAGAGGTAGGTAGGTAGGGAGGTCCTATCCCGCCGTGCGCCATGCCGCATCACGCACACCACACACCACACCACGGCTACTCCTCCGCTCCTCTCGTCACCAAACACCGAGCCCCTCAATTTCCAGAGATCAATTCGTAGGTTGGTCCCTTCGAGTCTGAACGTAGGCACGTAATGGACCGCTTCCACCTTGCGCTACACTTCCCAAATGCTCCCAGATGCTCCCAGGTGCCTTCGGTCCCCCCCCCTTCGGTCCCTATTTTCCCATGCAGGTATTAACTCTCTAGGTCTGCTTCATATCCGCATGCAACAACGTACGTACCAAGGAGAGGTGCTTCGAGAGTCGGGCATTTATGTATCGATTCAATGAATTACATTTCCTATGGTGCGCCTAGCTCTCGCTTCATTCGCATCTTGATCTTGATCTTCCCAACACGAATATACTGGTTAGCTGCTCGAGTGGTTATGCGCAACTCCTGTATCGCCATTGACCGTGCCGTGGAATCTGCCGGGTCGAACACACCGATCCTGCAAGGTTCCTCGATCTTGGTACCTATACTCCTGCTTTCTCGTGCATGTCCACCTAGGTATTCCTGGAAGGAAGGGATGCCTACGTAAAGCAATAACGAGGCGGAAAGAGTGATGGAAGAAAACTGGTGACTGGACTGGCTATAATTACATTAACCCTCGCATCTCGCCCCTTCTTTCTCTCGCCGTCTCTCATACTCATCACTCATCATCTTTCCCGCCTTTCCCGCCTTTCCCTGCGCCTCCCCTTCTTCATCATTATCTTTCGTCTGCTAATCTACAACTTCTAGAGCACCAGTTGATCTTCTCAACTTGTCCCAGAGTGCTCTCTCAACTACTCACCCCCCGGACATCGTATTCGCACCAGTGTTCAGATTTTGTGGACAGATATCTCCTCAACATCTCAAGTCAGCCAAAGTAAACCCATCGCCTTTACTTCAACCTCGTTATAGTTGAAGTGATACCAACTCAGTCATACTGGTACGTTTTAACCACTATTTCAAAAGCTACGCAATGGGATACTTGTTGATGAGATCAACTAACTAATGTCGTCCCGGAAAAAGAGAGTTCGGAGTCCAATCTCCCACTCCCCCTCCCGGCAAACTCAAAAGTGTCTCAAGGAGCAGGGCTCGGGAAACCCGGCTCTTTGCATCCAGATATAGACCGGCCGGTGAACATCCAAGCGTGCGGCAAGCCAAACTCAATCGTAAGTCTAGCATCAGCACCGGACTGGAGAACGCTCCCTAGTCGCGGCACTTTGTATCGCAAGCTGACTTCATGCTCCTACTAGGCAGGCTGCTAGCCGACATACCTTCTCCCCAAATAAAGTTTCATCTAGGGCCCACCATCCCCTTCCCCAGTATCCAGCCGCATAAGTATATCTACTTGGACGGTGGGTGACCCTCTGGCTAGTCCTAGGTGTAGAGGACTTATCTAACCTTCTCACCTTGTAGGTCTATCAAGTCTCTCTAGCCACCGAGGTACTTTGACCGAATACCTAGTGGTCTATACCTTACACCTTAAATCACCTAGCCGAGCTTCACTTTCTACGCAGCTAGTAGAACTTCTGCCGGCAAGATATATCAAACACATCCCAAATACATCTCTTCTTCGACTCCTGATCCCAGATACTGGGCCGCTTTGGTAGAACTGCTCTAATAGATCAGGTGTCTCACGCCACTGGTATGTCCCGAACCGATCAGGATCATCCATCACTGGCCTTTACTAACATATGGCCGCGCAGATTATTGCACCTACCAAATCATCAAATATCGACTTCTCCTTTCCCCACGCCCTCCCACGTTAGAAATTGTTTAATAAAGTATACCACTCACGTTATGCCTACCATGACATCCCAAGCCTCAGGTAGCCCCTTGGCGCCCACGTACCGGGGCTATGTCGGGAGTACCATGGATGCTTTGATCCTTTTTGAAGCCTGTCTAAGTGGTGTTCTCTCTCATGTTTCACGAAGACCTCACGACCGAGAACGACCAGCTCTTATCCAAAGTGGGAACGTGTTCATCTACGAAGAACACTCATCAGGCATTAAACGCTGGACCGACGGCGTAGCATGGAGTCCCAGTAGAATTCTTGGCAATTTTCTCATATATCGAGAGCTCGACAAACCCTTTCAACCCGGCGAGAAAAAGCGCGCCATGAAGCGAAACAAACCAGAAAATGGTGTGTCGAAAGCTCCAGCGGCTTCCAAACAGACTTCTGTTAATCCTTCCGCAGCTGGTTCCTTGACTTCACCATCGAAGGCGGCGAGCACGGACCAAAATACTTCAAAAAACGATTCAGAAAGAGCATATATCGGTTCTTTGGTTGACTCGTACCAATTCAAGGACGACGGCTTAATCAAGAAAACAATCAGCGTGGTGTATAATGGCGTCACCCATCATCTGGTATCTTACTACGGTCTTGAGGAGGTCAAGGGGGATGGGCTGCAGACACCTGCCCATCACCAGGGACTTATGCATGTTCAACCTCGTGGTGAACTGTTTCGCTCCTCAAATTTTCGAGCACCCATCGACGACGGTGAATTGGATATTTATGACCCCACGAGGCCTTATTCCTTCCCTCAAGGTGTGGCGTATATGGGAGTGCCAGTGGCCGGTGTGCCCCAGCGGTCTCTATCTTTCTCGGCCCCATCCTTTGTCCAGCCTCAATGGAGTGGCACTCAGCAATATGCGCACAGTCCGACGTACGACATACAATCAACGATTCCATCACCAGCCACCAATTATAATCAACAGCAGATGGTATCAACTTATCCTTACGAGGTATCACCCTACGGTCAGTCCCGACCATCTAACTATGGTGCTATGGTGCAAAACCGACGACATTCAGCGATACCCAATGCGAATAGCGCAGCCCATATGACGTACTCAGCCGCCATGGTACCTAATGGCACCATAGCAATAGATCATAGTCTTTCAACCCATACCTTTGGGGACATGTTCAACGCTTCGACCCCCAATGCGACGGTGGAAAGCGCTTCAGCTAGCGGAGGAGGGGGCTACGAGACGTCTGAAGTAATCAGTCAGCAAAATGGCGTTCATGGCATGAGTGCTTCTCTACCACAGGGTGCAGCTGGATTTGAGAATCAACTCTCGAACGGATACAGCCATTCTATGAACCGACTGCCGATGAGCGAGTATGTCCAGGCATCGGGAGGACCAGCGTATGGTTCGGCAAGCAACAGCACAACACCAACCAACCTCACAATGGCTCTAGAGAGCACAGATTTAACACCCCGAGATGAGGATTGGGGTAGAGCGGACTCACTGCTCCCTAAGAACGAAGGAGACTATTAGTATTACACGTGTGAGGGTGTGCATTCTGTTGCCAGAAAATGTACCATCTAAAATGTTTGGCTTGTCTGTTTGTTTCTTGTTTCTGATAGCATCTTCATATGTCGGTGCGGCGCGGTTTTTGCCCTTTTGGTCAGCAAGCGCCGGCATGGTAGCAATGGCGTTCAGGGTAGGGCATGGGCATCTCTAATGGTGTGCTCATAGGCTGGTTGGTTGGTCATTCACGGTTCGTTTATTCTCTATTGCTCTTTTTATGTGTACTGGGCGTTAAATGGCGTTAAATGGAATTTAGGAGTTGCCCACCAGAAGTATTTATTTAATATTATTCTGACTAGGTATAACACTCTTTGGCGATAGCATTGTAGCAACACAGGTATTCGAGCGTAATGTAGTTATTGTGAGTAGTATCTGTAGAACTGTGGTGGTATGTCGTGACTCCTCACAGTGATTACAGTGCATGTAACGGTACTACAGCGGGCTAAGCCGCCAAAGGAGTCGAAAGGAACACGGTGCGCATCACTCGGTAATCGCTAATCGCACTGTGGCTAGGACATCTTCGGCCCTGCACACAATAGCTCTGTGTACCATTAGGTATACATGTACACGCTCACTTTGAACCGTAAACCTTCTGACATTGCCCTTCAAACTGCCTAGGTATCTAGATAGGTTGCCCGTCACTTCAAGTTGCTTGATTTATATATCGTGAGAGACCGCGTCGACGTCCCTATACGTCTTGCCCCGTGTTTCCTCTCTTTCTTTCCCCTTCTCTTTCTCTTTCTTCACTTATCCCTTATTTTCTTCCTTCTATCTCCCCGGCTCACATCCAATCAGAGCTAGAGACCAATGCTCGCTGGCCCCTTTTGACCTCAAGCTAGGATAACTTTGAAAATCAGTCAGGAGGCGTGAGGGGCCGCATATAGGTTTCGTTGCCAAAGTTCGCGTCCAGCGTCGGTTGGATGGCCTAGCGTTCCATTATCCTGTCGAGCTGGCACGCAAGCAATCAAAGCGCCGGCTATTGGACTCGGCATAAACTGGAGAGCCATAGACCCTGGGATACAAAGAAACTCGGCGAGGTTTGACGGGTCAGGCTGCGTTGGTTCCTTTATGCTGAGTGCGGTTGAGGTCGTGCGACGTTCAGCGGCTTAGTCATCATGTTGACGTACAGATCTGCTACTGCTACCTCCCCTTTGGCTCAATCATTCTTACGTGGTGCTTACGATGCAGCACGACATACTGGCTGTTCAAAGTTGTTGAAATGTCCTGTAAGATTTGACTCAGCACCAGCAAAAATTTCGTCGTTGTCCATCGTAGCGAGGGCGCGAAAAGGGCCGTTTGTACCAGGAGATGCGCCAACATACAGGGCAAACGGCGTGAAATCGCAAAGTTTTAGAGATAAGTTCGCAGCCACGGACTCGTTAAGGTTTTTATCAAACACGACGGCAAGGTATTTTGCTAAAGGGCAGGATGAAGGGCGGGGGTCTCCATCGGCACAACAAATTTCATCAGCATCACAACCGCAACCGCAACCGAAGGGCATCCGAAAGGTCTTGCCCTCCCTGACGGCACATGAGAATATTTATACTGTGCCGAATATTCTCACGTTTTCACGCCTCGTGGCTGCGCCCTTCATCGGCTACGCCATCCTCCACGACGCCCATACGCTAGCGCTCGGCCTCTTCGCCTACGCAGGCGTGTCGGACCTTCTCGATGGCTGGATCGCGCGTCGCTGGAAGCTTCAGACTGTTGTCGGAAGCGTCGTTGACCCCATGGCCGATAAGCTTCTCATGACCGTCCTGACTGTATGTCTGGCCATGCAGGGGTCATTGCCTGGTGCGTTTTATTCCATCTGATTTTCCGTTATTCTCTCTCTACCCCCACCCCACCAACACGACTTAGTAACCCCTTCCTCGTGAATATCTCTCACTTCTAGCTAACGTAAAAACCATGATATTCGCACCTTTAGTCTGGCTAGCAACTATCATTCTTGGCCGCGACGTGGGCCTCGGCATATCAGCCATCTATTACCGCTGGATCTCACTGCCGCCCCCAAAGACGTTCACAAGATACTGGGATTTCTCACTACCATCGGCTGAGGTGCGGCCTACAACTATCAGCAAGTACAACACGTTCTTACAGCTCGGTCTTATGGGCGCTACTATGGTTGTACCTGTTGTGGCTGTGGAGGCTGGTAGTGCCATGACTGTTTTTCAGTAAGGCTTTGTCTATTCCTTATCCTTCACTCTTTCCACTCCTTTCTCATCATATTTTGGCGAAGGCATGTGTCTCCCATGAATTACCGGCCATTTCACTTGCTTGGAAACCATAGAGATGATCGTTTGCTGATCCTGATTAGATATCTCGTAGCGACTACGACGGTGTGGAGCGGCCTAAGCTACGTGTTTAGCAAAGACGCAGTTAGAATCCTTTCGGAAAATAAAGAACGGAAACCGAAGGACCCCTAGAATTTATACACGTATAGATATTATTCAAGGGCTGTCTAGTCATACGGGGAAAAAAGAGAAGATTAATATCAACTGTCCCCATTCAGTGACAGGTAAAGCCCTTGTTGCTATCTGCATATTTTGTTACAAATGCTTGTATATCCAACGAATCCGACTTTGCGTTTATTTGCGCCAAACGTGACCCTGAACTCCTATGATGCAGATGAAGTCTGGCTATGCTATAAACTCCCGAACAGTTATCCATGTATCCTTGCAACTCACATCGTACACATTTTCATATAAACACAATCATCGTTGAATTCATTTACGCCGGGCCGCTGAATAAATCTTGCGTCCGCGCCTCAGAATCAAGAGAGTCAACCTCGGTGCCTAAGGGCGCCATATCAGCAGCCAGGACATTATCAAACTGTGTTGGGCGGTGCGCTTCTTTGCTCTTCCTCACGAAAGTGAGGAGCCGCACGCATCCGGCAGGTGTGATGCCTTCGATGCGTCGTGCCTGTCCCATGCTCTCCGGTCGCGTGGCTTTTAGAATCGCCTTCTCCACGATGCTGAGACCCGCCACATTTTCGTAGTCAAGGTCTGTAGGGAGTCTCAACGCCTCGTCGCGCATGGTGCGCGCGGTTTCCGCCTGCTGCATGACAACGTATGGCGCGTAGCGCGCTTCGGTAGAGACGCGGTTCTGGATCTTTTCGGAATACTGATGAATCTCAGGGATCTTGTCTGCGAGTTCGCGAATGCCGGTGTCGGGTTGGCGGAGCATCTCGTAACCGTTTCGCCCCCTGCCATCAATTCGCACGCGGAACCCCGCTTCCAACCAGGCCCGGCTAGTAAGGTGGTACGAGGCAAGAATAGAGGTCAGGGAATCGAGTTGGTCCTTTAAGTCGGTGTGGGCCGACCAGCGCTTGTCCGATACCACACCCCAGGAGCGACCTTTAGCCGTGAGGCGAAGGTCTGCGTTGTCGGCTCGGCTCGCCACCCGATATTCACTGCGCGACGTGAACATACGGTACGGCTCAGATACACCCTTGGTGATCAGGTCGTCTATCATAATGCCGATGTATCCATCGGCGCGGGTAATAGTGACGGGCTCGAGACCCTGCGCCGCCCGGCCGGCATTGATGCCAGCTATAATACCCTGCCCTGCAGCCTCCTCGTAGCCCGTCGTACCGTTTATCTGGCCGGCGAGAAATAGGCCAGAAATTGCCTTAGTCTCCAGTGTGGATTTCAAACTACGCGGGTCGACGTAGTCATACTCCACACCGTAGCCGGCCTGTGTCATGTGGGAGTTCTCGAGTCCCGGAATTGTGCGTAGGAGCTGCTCCTGTGCCTCAGCGGGAATCGTCATTGATAGTCCATTTGGGTAGATAAGATCGCTAGAGAATCCCTCCGGCTCCAACCACACGATGTGTCTATCCTTATCACCAAACTTGATAATCTTAGATTCAAGCGACGGACAGTACCGTGGTCCCTTCACAGTCTCTCGAATATGAATAGTCTTGTCAAGATTGGCGCGCGCGATGTCGTGTGAGCGCGCATTCGTGTAAGTGACCCAGCAGAGCATTTGATCTTCCACCGACACGCGGTCGTTGAGGTAACTGAAAGGTTCTGGTGGATCATCACCAGGTTGTATTGCGAGCGCACTGTAGTCGATACTATCTTTTGCAATCCGTGGCGGGGTACCTGTTTTCAAGCGCCCAAGCTTAAATCCAGCGTCACGTAACGACTTGCTCAGCCCGAAAGTCGCTTGTTCGCCCATACGCCCAGCTGGATAAGTCTCTAATCCGATATGTATCTCTCCGCCAAGGAAGGTTCCCGTCGTAATAATGACCTGTGTCGTTGGCAGTATCTCACCCGTCTCCAACCGTACACCCGTGATTCTGCTCTTGGCGGCACTATCTGGGTCCATGAAAGCCTCGTCTATGACGATATCCGAAACACTGCCAGTTATTATAGACAAGTTTGGGTATGTTTGCAACTCCTCGCGCATGTGCTTCTGATATAGGGCACGGTCAATTTGCGCTCGTGGTCCCCAAACTGCGGGTCCCTTTACCCGATTCAGAACCTTGAATTGCACGCCGGCCTTATCTATTATCCGCCCTGATACTCCGTCTAAAGCATCGATTTCTCGTAGTATTGTCCCTTTTCCTATCCCACCGAAGCTGGGATTGCACGAGCATACACCTAAGTTGTCGATCTTGGGCGTTATGAGGGCAGTTCTTGCCCCAGAGCGCGCTGCGGCGGCGCAGGCTTCGGTACCAGCATGTCCACCGCCTACAACAATAACATCAAATGGCCTAAGATTTGAATTAGGTTTTGTTGGTTGAGATGTGTACTGTAATTGGTTACTGACCTCGTTGCCTCCGGCGCAACTGTGGCAAGACCTCTACGCTTGGCACAGAGCGCAGGTCGTCGCCTCAGGGCACGACTGGTGCGACCTAGGCTCTTCGACTGCCACATGGACTTCATGTCGACTATGCCGCGTCGTTGTGTATTAGGAACACTCAGTTACAAGATCGGAAGGTCAATACATTACGCATCCTACCCAGGTCGCTGTCGCAATTCTAGCGAAAAGTTACTGATAAGAATCTAGATAACAGTGTGCCCGCTACTACAATTGGCAGGTGGTCTAGCTTGGGCTACGTGCCAAGACCTATGATCGGCAGGCGGTGAATGATTCTGCCGATGATATGATCAAGCCCAAATTGTTACCTAGGTAGACTTTCAATGATAGATGGTAGCTCCTATGAAGCCCATTCAGATACTTGGAGAACGGTCTACATGGCTGTTTCAGCTCGTATTTTCAAGATATACGTGTGCATTCAAGCATAAGCAGTTTCTTTTGATTTACTAGTGAGTTTCGCGAGTTTTATAAACTTCAATACTAGTTATACCTAGATATTGTAAGTTCCTCAAGGAAGATGTGAGGGCGTGCATATAGGTAGAACTCTCCTAGTGTACCATAGGTATCGTTCTTTTTCTACCCCTATATAACATCAACATTCGCACCTCATTGCATAAGTACTCCTTTTGTATTAAAGTAGGTGCTTAGCGAAACTCAGTTCTATTTTTCAATGAAAAAGCAATTTGCCATTTCAATACTATGCTAGAACCTAATCATGTATGTCGTCATCAGGCTGTGAAACATCCAGCCACTAATGAAGTGGTGCATGCATACATATACCATGGATAGTAGGCGGTCTAGCTCACCTAGTACCTGTTACTGCTGGCGGTGAACAATTGTGCCGGATAAATCATCACCATTCATGGTGCAGTTTCAGGAATTATTTAGACCTAGCTAGGTACATGGAAGTTCCAGCGTTGCATGAATCATTGGCTTCGGCTTTCAAAATAGAAACTTGCCTTACTAAACTAGTAAGAACCGGTAATTGAGCATGTGTTCTTGTCACAGCGAACTTAATATCACCTTCTCTGATCATAAGCTTGTACAAGCATCTCGTCAGCATGTTCGGCGATCTCTATGCCCTTTCCGACTGCACTTAAATCTTGTTCCAACTGAGTATATCCCCGTGATAAGCTGGGGGGGGGATATCCAGGTACCAGTACATTGTGGAATACGTACCTGGACTGATGATCTATCGCCACACCCAACCTTGATCCCAGATATCTGCTTATGCTACAACTAGAATTTTGCATGTGACGAAGCATGAAGTTTGGCATATTCAGCTCATACCATGATCTACTTGGACGGAGGGTGGCAGAGGTGCTCAGATCCACGGTATAGCATGAAAACACCAAGCACGTAGAAAGGTAATTGACTAGGCAGACGGGTTATTCTGCTTGGCTATTTGCGAGTATAACCTAAACCTGCAGCTGGTTGTTGCAGAAAGGGTGTATGCGATAAATTTGCTGTTGAGCTGGAAAAATCAAGGTATATGAGTTGACGACTGGGAAAAGGAGACACGTAAGAAGAAAGCCCATCGGTCCGACTGGTTCAAGACGCTCAGGTGGTATTCAAGCCTAATGTGTTTCTAAACAAGAGATACTCTATGGTATGCCTTGGCAATGGCAAGAAGTACTAGGTGGATTGCTGGTCTAAGAAGTTTGTTGGTTTCAGGGGGCTTGCCTCTCTTCTCAGGATAATCTCAAACCAGCCACAATGGCCCAGTTATGATTGGTCATTGGAACCGGCCCTTCTGCTAGAATCATGGCTACAATCTTTATAGCTTTTGCCGTTTATGTCCGTGAAAAATGAGCGTACATGAAACCCGTCGGTCGTTGCCGCGCTTTCCAGCTCTGAGCCGGGGGTTTTTGTTACACGTGTAACCTCTGTGCCGGCTGAAATATGCAGTTCGCCTTGCACTTCGGCCGTACGAAGGACCATTCTAGGCTGTTCATGATCTTTCAAGACATGCAGGCAATATTGGGCAATATTGGAAAGTGAGGTTATACAGACCTCGCTTCTTGAAACAGACCCTAGAGACCCAGGCGGTCTGGGCTGGCAGATCATTTGTATATAGAGCCATCCCAAGCCATCAACAGCCGAGAAGGAGTTGGTTGGTCAAGGACTACTGCAGCTCTAGAAGATCATTGTAATCTGAATTCCCAGTTCCAGGCCCAGTTTACCTGCCCTTGTTATAGTTTTACTAGATTGTTATTTCATGCTATCTTTGTCCTATAAAGGATATCGATTTATGGATTTATGAGTACTATTTTATTTTCTATTTCAATTGAAATAGATACACTACAAATTACTATACCAAACGAGTTCATACCCTTATGACCAATCATAATCTCCCCTCTGCTTAACGAGGGCGGCCTATATAAAAAAGACAAATGACCAGCCTCGAAATTAAGCTGTCCAATATATTATAATCTGTTGGGACCATCTAGGTCCTTGACTACCAGCTCCCTTCTAGACCCTGGTGGCTGAATGGGACATTATATACATTAGCATGGCTCTTGCTTCGGCTCCTGCTAATATCTAAATCCCAGGATGTTTCATTGGTTAGGAGGTCTATATAATTTTACCTCTTGACAAGATGCCGCATGCTTTATGAATTGTCATGAGCTTTCACGAGGGGTCCTTTGCAAGGCATGCGCTCACAGCAGTATGTGCATGTAACAGCTCGATGAATAAAATATATGGTCGTATTGATACCCCAGGTTTACATAGAGATGTATATGCCTCTAGATTTAGCTTTTCCTCATTCGATAGATATTTATTTAGGATGACTTATGAGATAACATTAGTTCAACAGCGACCCGGCCCGGGCGGGGGGGGGGGGGGGGGGGGCGGGGGGGGGGGGGGGGGGGGCGGGGGGGGGGGGGGGGGGGGGGGGGGGGGGGGGGT